CCCATTTTTGAACCTAACTCTTACCCGCCTACCCACCCCTTGATATGTTCAATAAAGGTATTCTGATAGGCGCCAATGAAATAGTTTGCCAAGGGTAATCTACTTAATTGACCGCATTAGACTCTAAATGAAATTTCAGACTAATGCATCGAACAGCAGCAGAAAGTCCAAAGTAAGATCGAGTAAGGAAGGACCGTGCTAGGACTCGAAAGGCGTAATCATACCCTTCTACATCGGCCGCTTTAGACTCTAGATGGAAGTCCAGACTAATGCATTCAAAAGCGGTGTGGGTTCATTTACTCGACTGAAGAAATTGATCCAAGATTTAGGTTTCTGGGAAACTGCCAACCTACCCCTCCTCTGAGGGAATAGGGAACAACAATGGTTTTAATAGTCTTCGTCAGAGATTACCTTAAACGATTTACTTACTTTGCAACGTACACACAAGGGGATTCAAAAATATTATAGCCTTCGAGCAAGCTCTACTTTTAGGGTATATAGTATAAAGGAACGCGCGCGAGAAGCACGCAAAGGAAGAGATGGGAGCAAGGGGCGGAGAAAGAAGCCACAGCCTCTCGTGGGTTTGCTACTCACTCGCGAGTTCTCTTACCCTGCAAACCGGAGACGTATTTCCGGTCGTCGCTTCTCTTCCTCCGAAAAAACCGGATGCTCTCGCAAGCTAGAGTTCTCTCGTCGTTTGCTTCGCTCGCCACACGAAACAGAGAGCTTTCTCGCAGTCTACGGATAGTAGGGGCCTTAGGCAACGAGAACCTTGACGCCCCGGACGTCACAAATGGCAACCAGAAGTCGATAATTTCTCTCTTTTAGTGATCTGACTCGACAAATTTGCATAACAGGAGTTAAAAGAAAGGTATTCAGATTCGTTGGGTGAGACAGAAGCGTTCCATCAAGTGAGACATGGAACATCGCTATTCATGACGTCCGGGACGCCAGCTTTTTTTTGCTTAAGTTCGTTATTACAAAAAGGAAAACCCGCCAGAAAACTTAAAGTTTGTCACACAGTAAATAAGTCTCACCTTAAGCACAGAGGGTATCACAGGTCCGACCCATGGGATGAAATCATCTTTAAATGTTGAGGGAAGGTAGATATAGAGCATCAGATAGCCTTCTCTGACATGTGATGCAAGCTCAGTGCGTTCTGTAGTAGAAATCACTTCTGGCATAAGCGTTTCCAGCCTGCTTGTGCCTAGGGCACACAGAACTTCACCTAGACCTAGTGAAACAAAAGCCAGTTAGATTTCATATATTCTAGTTATAAGAGAACATCTTTCGATTAACTATACTTGCTTTAGTTTTGTGTTTCTGCGCGATGTAGTCGCCTAAAAAGTTTCGCTCCATTATTTCATCCAATCAGAAATTAAACGGAGATTTGCCTCGTACGCGTTTCCGGCACTTTACGCGAACTGCCGGAATTAACTTCCGGTTCTGATTGCAGATTCATTTGACTTACTTTGTCTGTTTTCACTGCACAAAGTTGGTGCTTTCAATTTCTTTTTACCACAGGGAAACAACATTCTTTACCATGTACATACCTTGGGCAGCTCCTGATCGATCCACGCTGCTGTTTTCTGATGTTAGCGTCTCCATTAACCACGGTAATAAATCTTCAAAGCTCTCCTCACCCATACCGCGGACCAAAGCACCGAGGGCGCGAGAGGAGACTGCACGGACCTGATAAAAACAAAAGCAATGGAAAAGACGGGGCAGTGTCACAAACGACAGGAGACACAGATAACTGAGATTAACAAGTTTTTTGCAACATAAACCACATCACCACTACCACCACCACCACCACAACCATCATCATTATCATCAACATCATCATCATCATCACCAACACGATCAATATCATCATGGTCATTATCATTATCATTGTAGAACCAACAATGCAATAAAAAAATGATAAACAAATGTCTTTGCGACCATCACCACCAACACCATCATTATAGTCATTACCATAATCATCAACATCATCATCACTAAGGAGCACTGACGGTAGGCGATATAGTTAAAAACAGAATAAAGACCAGGTCATCATCGCCACCATCAAAGAAATTAAGACTGAAAAAGAATACACGACCGTCATTATCATCACCATCACCATAATCATTACGATAATCATTATCATATCCACAAACAAATCTTTTTGTACCTCTGGTACTGGATCCAACAGGGCCTGTTTTAATCCTGGCACAACTGATCCTACATAAGGTGCAAGGTCCTAAAACAAGATTAAATAAAAACTTCAAAGATAAATAACTGGAAATACTACAGACTGCAAACAACAAAAAGAAGAACATTATGTTTCAGAAATGGGTTGACCAAGTCCCGAGCTAAAAATGTTTTCTTAGATAAGGCTCGATCGCAATTTTCTTAATTGTACACGTCACTGCAAGGACCCCACATGTAACTCATATGGTATTGTGTTTTGACTGTCATCTCGTGTATAATACCTTTTTGTCCGTAAGGGAATACATGTTACCAATGATCTGAGCCGCCATTTTCTTGGTCTCCGTTGAACGTTCGCTGAGCGCGCGTTGCAGGACGGGCATGATCAGAGCTAAGGAAGGAGCGTCGATGAAGTGGACAAAAGAAGTTTGCAGTAGAACCTGCAAACAAGGGGCTGTCTTGGTAGAGGGATCCATGAGCGCTTCAAGGAGCACCGAGGATATGGCTAAAAACAAAATAAGAAAGTTTACTTCAGCCTTCAACCATAGCAATTAAATGCGGGTGGGCAACAAGACGAGCCCGCAATCCTAATCTCAAGGTTGCTAGAGCGATTCTCTAATGACCTTGAAAAATGGTTTCGGCAAGTTTTCGTTATTTTTTTTATCAGCCAATGGATGAAAAGATCAAAACATGGACTCTTCGTTTTCCCGCCAAAGAAAACCCTAATATGGAGAAGGCATTGTTCGATTGGCCAATCGAGTTGCGGTACGACGTCAAAGCGGAGTATCGATAGATTTCTAGAAAATTCACCCGAGCGTTCGCTTAACCATCCAAAAGCCACGCGCGTTTGTATCCGTTCGATAAACCAATCAAATCGCTCTATTTCCGTTCGTTTGTTGTTTCTGTTTTGTTCGCGCGTTTTCATTTCAAAGTCATACTAAAATCACTCTATTACGCACGGTGCGAATGTATCCAGGTTCGTGTGGACGCCCACTTAGTATGAATGGAATGCATAGAACACAAGCTGATCACGTGCGTTTGGTCTCTCTATCACTCGTAATCTGATCACGGGTGTTTTGACGACGTGAAACGTACGCAAAGCGCAGCATTGGAGAAAGAGCTTTTTGACCTTCGATCGTTGTCGCCCGCACTCTGTAACCTTTGGGTATTACTAGAAGAAATCGTCTGACAGAAGACACCCCCGAAGACGACCTACATAACACAACTTTGTCAGTTGATTCTTATAGTATCGCAAATCACAACTTAAAAAAAAATTAAATTCCCAAAAAAGTTTTAACGATCATTTTGCACGTTAAATTAAATGAATTGCACCAGCCCAAACCGCTGCTGAGAGAGCAAACAGGTCAAAACGACTACCAAACGGCTAATTAAGAGAACAGCCTAGAAACGAGTTGGTTTTCAGTTTACCTAAAATCTCTGGGTTCCTGATAACAGAGCCAATTTGTTTGAGGGCCTGGGCACCAGCCTTTTGTACCTTCATGTGTGAGTCTGTGAGAACGTCACACAAGCGAGGTACGATACTGGGAAGACACGAGGAAAGCTGCTTCGGAGCGCAGAAAGCCATAGCACCGAGTAGCTCCACACTACCTGAAAAGGTAACAAATTACAAAGCATCTTCAAGGGAAACTGTAAAGCAGAATCCAGCCCGCCAAGATTAACGAATGTGTATGCGGAACATAAGTAATCTAGAGATTAATAAGCTTGTTTCCTTGTTCGCGAAAGTAACTTTAGAATTATGGTCTTACTGACTGACTGACTTTTAAAACGATAACATTTATAACAGTTCTATAGGAAATGTAATCGCAAAAATGTAATGGCAGTTTTCTACAAGTACAGTTCATTCAGCGCATGCGTAAAAAAAAACGATGAACCAGATAGAGCCAAATAAGAAAATAGAAGACAAAGGTGTGTCCGGAGCCAAACGACAAAGGGTAGGAAAACATGTACCTCACGTCTAACGCTGGGAAACGAGGTGCAAACGAAATGAAACATGCCGTCCCTGCTAAGCGTGGAAAAACGAGAAACGTTCACGATTTGTTCACTATCGGCGTAACTAGCTGAATAGGGACCGAGCAAAATCAAAGCAAAGTCTAGTTTCTTTTACTTATCACTTGATACAAACCACAGCTGCTGGTACATACCAGTCTTAGTTCTCCAGGAATCTTCTTCTAATGCTGCTAACAATGAAGGTAAAACAAGTTTGACACCATGAGCGCTAAGGTTTTTCATCACCGCACGAGCAGTGTCATCGGTAGCCTGGGGAGAACAAAAAAAACAAGATAATATGGGTAAACAATCATTGACAAATAAATGTAGCGCAAAACAAAATTTTACACAAACCTCACACGGCCAGATACACTGTAAATCTCAACTCAATGTGTTACTTTTAGAACCGAAAATATCACTATAAGAGTATAAGTACTGAGGGTGAAATTCTTCCCTCCCCTCTCCTTTGTCCCCTGTTCTCCTCGCTACGCTCTCTACCCACAATATCTACCAAAAAACCCGGATCTGTAAAGACCTTATTTGCGTGACTTCATGGGGCCAAATTGGTGTTCGAAAACAATAAAACAGCGGCCATGTTGGTGAACCAAACCAAACCTTTGGGAGTCGAATTCCTTTCTTGTGTTGTCATTTATTTTTTGTTACCATAAATCTGCATAGGTGCTGGAAATGCGAGTAACTACACTCTATAAGATTCTAACAGACTGCTCACCCACCTCTCCCCCAACCCAGCGTTTACACTAACGTCTCACTATGGGCAACATTTTGTATTGGGGAGGGGTAGGCGGACAGTTTCCCCAAAATCGTATACTGCTCTGCACAGGCACTCCTACTAGTGTTTGATATTTTTTACACCAACGTATGTGTGCACTCTGGTGCAAATAACAGTTCATAAGATTCAATCCACAAGCTCTTCTCATCGTGTTAAGGTAGAGCAGTTAGGGGAGCAGGGATGGCGCAGTGGTGAGAGCACTCGCCTTCCACCAATGTGGCCCGGGTTCGATTCCCGGACTCGACGTCATATGTGGGTTGAGTTTGTTGTTGGTTCTCTTCTCTGCTCCGAGAGGATTTTCTCCGGGTACTCCGGTTTTCCCCTCTCCGCAAAAACCAACATTTCTAAATTCCAATTCGATCCGGAATGCTCGAGCGTTTAATACATGAGCCCCTGGCTCGGTAGATTGGGCAACCACTCCTCACGCTATCGAGCTTAAACAATTTTTTTTTTTTTAATTAGAGAACTGGATACACGGACGTCATGGATTTGCCACCCACCTCTGATCTTTATGCTTTCTTCAGTTTTTGCGTGTTTGGAAATCCCAATGAAACACTCGCACTCGTTTTCAAAATACAACAACAATTTAAAGCTTCTTCTCTTACCTCTCTAACATATTGGTTCCCATCACCAAAACAAAGCAGTAAGTTTGGTAGCACATGTACCACGTAAGGTTCAAAGAGTCGACCCAGCATAGAGCAAAGCATCTCATATGCAAACAGCGCTCCTTCGCGGTGGCGATAGTTCTTTTTATCCTGTATGGCTTCCTGCAATGTGGACATGATATTCAACTGTTTGAGGTACAAGATTCCAAGTCCCTTGACCAATCCGGAGAGACCATATGCTGCTCCTTTTCTTTCGCCATATACCGTGGACTCAAGGAGCTGAAAGAAGAAAAGGCACGGACATTTTTCACACGACTGGGCAACTTGTATGTTGCAAGGATCAATTAGGACAATATTGGCCAAGTCAAGTAAACAGGAAACTAAGAAAGATAAAACGTTTATTATGCCACTAGCATGGCCTGATAGGTGAGTCGCCGGACAGGATTTAAGCCCTTGACTTATCAAATACAAGTTGGGAGCTTTCATGACCTACACAGAGATTCGCAGCGAGCCAAGGCAGAAGTTCTTTTGTGACAAGAAATCTATATATTACATACTAATTTTCGTTGCCATTACCTGGTTTAAAAGATTCTTCACCATTTCTGGCGCTTCGGACTTGATTGCTGGCACAAGCGGAGGAAGACAGTTGGCTACAGCTTCTTGGACCTAGTGGATAAAAAAACAGTCACCTCTCTTTTAGAGGAACGGTTTAAAAAACTAAGTGTCTTTAGAGAGTGAAAGAAGACCAAAAATGGTAGGGACCAAATTGTACTTATGTGCGCTTTTTTGCTTCTTCCAATTTTCTTTTCTTTGTGGCACTTGCGCGAGTTTATCCTGACAAAATATAGTTTTCTGTGTTATAGACAAATTGTTTTAAAGTTATTCGTCAGTATCGCGTTGCGCATCCCTACTGCGCATAATTTCGCGAGTGATTAGCGCGCGCACATTATAACATGGCTGTTTTTTCATGATTTTTTAACTGCGCAGTAACTTACTTTCTGTGGAATAAATAAAGACCAATTCCCGATGCATAAAAAGAAACAATTGTGGGGAACGTGTACAGAGCATATACTCTCAAATACAATCACATTGATATTGTAAAAAATTACTGCGTATAAACAAGTTGCTGCTGTTCCTAAACAAGTTTCAAGTTAAGTTTAAACAACAAAAACAATAGGTAAGGTTTGGCAAAAGTCTCACTGTAGGTTTTACGCGTAGTTCAGCGGAGTGACCCTGAGTTCACCTAACTTAACTTGTCGACGCCATTATTTTGTTAGTTTTAATAGTTAAGTCATATATGGTCTGAAGAACACTGTTGATGAAGTGTAGTCGGATAGGTAACCCAGGCGGTGAAGAGACAGACTATTCAATAACAGAGAGCTTAAGCAACAACGACGGCGACGGCGACGGCTAAGAAAACGTCACTTAAAAAGTGAAGTTGCGTTGCCTCAAACTTTTTCGCGCTTATTCCACCTGGTTTCATTCGTCAAATGTTGGAAAATTTTTCTGGAGCTGAATTCTAAAAGACTGTATCAAAGTTCAGGAAAAGAAAAAGAAAGTCGTCTAGTGTTCACGTCCTCGACAAAACGTGAAATTAGCCACTTTCACGTTGTAGTCGTGCAACGACGGGCAAAGAAATGTACAAAAAGGCGAGATGTACGTGCAAAGTTCGGCTTGCTTTGCCAATCTAAACCAATTGCCTTTTTGCCGTTCTCGTTCACGTCGGCGTCGTCGTTGCTTAAGCTCCTTTATCAAGAATAGAGGAATTGCTGGATTCACTAGGAGAGGGAAACTGGGCCGAGTTTACTTTCGCAGAGGTGTCTGGGATTGTTACTAGGGACAGGGAAAAATATTGACCAATAGCTGACCGGCGCGTCAGTAGTAACGATCCCATAAACAATTGCGGGACGTATTTCCGCTCCGGTTCTCTTCTTGTTTCTAAAGTGGTAAATGGACTTACCTGTTGTGAAGGTGTCGATAGTGCATTCAAGAGTTTTCCAACAATCGGCCTGACCTATAATATAGGTTTTAAAGGAAAAAACATATTACTTCAGAAGTCACCATATGGTGGCAGGGTAACAAATTGTCAAGACGCCCCTCTTGGACTATTTAACTCCTTTCTCTCAAAAAAGGCAAAAAACATTAAAATGGGAAAAAATCTCAAACTTTATTTTGGACTAAACTAAAAAACGAACGGTACTATGCAAAAGAATAGCTAAAGAGGTTTCATTTGATCATCGCTCCATAGCCTTTTATCCAAACACAAACGTATACACCACTTGTGTGCTACCATAAATGACTCTGAAGGTGATAAGCCTGAGAATTTAAGAGTCCTTAAGGAAAACAAGGACTCTGAAAGCAAAAGGATAACACAATGCTGGCACTCCGTATTACCCTTGCACCAATATACCGCTGATGCTGACTCGTCCCCAGTCCTCTCTATTTGGATCGCAAGTGGAGTACGCAATATTGACTGGGGATGAGTCAGGCGCTGTTGTACATATTGAACGCCAATTAAAGCTAGACCTACGGAAGCAGAAGTAAAACTGATGAAGTAATTAAAGAACTTACTTTCGGGTCATCTTTGTCCAAATGTCGCGCTAAACAACCCATTAAAATGATAACTGATTGACGGATCGTGTCATGCGCAGAAGTGTCTGGTGCCATGTCCAAGAACTGCTCAAATACTGGTAAGAGAAGAGATATGTTTGCCTGCAAGAGAATTTGAGAACTAATTGATTCTCCATCCAAAGACTTTCACAATCTCCAGTAAGATACTCTCAAGGAACGTGTCGTCCATCCTTTGCATTAAGCTATTGTAAGGGCCTGTTTACATGGAGGTGGGAGACACCAGATAGGTGAGGTAACATGTGGCGGGTCACCCCACCTATCATGTAAACGTGATCAAATAAAAATGAGAGATTATATGGACAGGCGGGTAACCCTACCAAAGCGGGTTACCTCACCTACCTGGGGTCCAGAGGTCTTATCCCATGTTAATACAAGTACAGTATAACCAAATGTTAGTCTATTATTCAATAAACACTGGGGGCTTTTAACTGACAACATTTTACCAACCTTGCCGTGATCATTAACGGCCTTTAGAGCAGCATTTAACATGTGTTTCCTGACTTCTAGATCACGATCTCCAAGACCCGTCGGCACGAAAAATACAAACAATGGTGGAACCTAAACAAGAGAAGAGAAAATTTACTTGTAGCATAAACCATAAGCATGATACAGCCGTACATTGAGCTCTTTTGTTAACTTAATCAGCGTTCAAATTTCCCTGAAAACTTTTAAGTAAAGACATCTTTCAGGTGGCCAATCGATTTTCAGTCTTCTCTAACTGACTCATTTTCTTGACCAAGACATATCGCAAAAGGAAGAAAGAGATATACGCATGTATACAATTAGCTTGTGGGGTAGTCTCTCGTAACGGACGGAGACGAGGGATAAGAGAACGTCTTCCGCTTCTTTGCACGCCCAATTCCCCCATCCCCGGCCCCAAGGTTAGCATAAAATCCAACACCTCTGTCTACAATATTGTTGTTATTGGCTGTTTTTAAGTCGAGCGTGAGACTGGGTCTGTGTTGTTCCGAACTGCACCACGGGACTGTTCTGGGACACCATCGCTTCATTTACTGGCTGCTACAAAGTTGCGCCGGAAACTGGGTAAAATTTCTTCCCCAAAACAGTCCCATAGCACAATTAGATACAACTCTAACCCAGTTTAGGAGCAAGGGTGGTACAGTTGGTTAGTGCACGGCCATTAGTGCACGAGGTCCCGAGTTCGATCACCGGTGACACCACATCCTTGTTTCAACTTCTCTCCTTTCTGTGTAGCTTTGACTAGCTTTAAATACCCTTAAAACGGTGCATTGATGGAGAGGGGTGGGGTGGGGGTGGGGGGGGGGTGGGGTGTTGGGGGGTGAGCGCACCGTCGACCTCAAGTTTATCGGTTATTATTACTGTCACGAGTTATCGAGGTAAAATATGGTTGCTTTACCTTTGTTTTTCACCTTTCTCTATCGCACTTCAAAATGGCCACTAACTCGAGTAATCAAATTTGGTGGGAAAAACCCTGCGGACCTCCACATCTTTTTGACAGAAATTACAACACAAACCGTAAACTGCCGCTTAAAAGACCTGGGCTTACACATCTTTGTGAGAGACTTTAGGAAGGCTTATACACGGAGGGGCTTATAGTAGAGTGGGCTTATAACCGGAATAGAAAAAAAAACACTTCGAGACAAGCTTTATCAGTGTTGTTGTTGTTGTTGTTGTTGTTTTTTTTTTTGGGGGGGGGGAGGCATTTACTGGCTTTTTATCAAGCTTAAAAACGTGCCTATAACTGGGGGGAGGCTTACAAATAGGCGAGCTGATAAGCGGCAGTTTACGGTATTAAATGCTAGTAATTTTGAGAGTTTGCTTCGGTATTAGTTCTAATCACTCACCTCTTCCTCGGAGAGTTTAGGTGACAGCTCGCCTAGTGCCAGTGCAATTCCACACCTGGCGTCTGATAGGTCCACGGTGTCATTCGGAACAACTCGGCCCAGGTTGTCAAAGACGGGTGGAGGAATCTGCAGACAAATTTGCAACTTTATTTTCCTTTCAAAGATACTTAGACTTTCTCACGGGAACAAACAATAAAAATTAAAAATTAAAACTAGAAATAACCAAAGATTACAGAGTGCGGGCGACAACGATCGGCGGTCCCAACGCTTATGCTCCAACACTGTGATTTGGGTAAGTTTTTGACAGATGGCCAAAAGACGAGTGATCAGATTGCAGGGCGTAAAAGGTCGAAACGCGCGTGATCAAATTGCGTTTTGGGCATTCCATTCATTCTTAGTGGAAGTCTAAACGAATGCTGGCTACATACAAGCGACGCATGTGTAATAACAACCTAGACATTACGATTGCGGGCTCCTCTTGTCGCCAGCAATCAAGTTGTCATACAAATACAGTCAACTCTCTCTAAGACGGATAATATACCTTAGCGACAATACGATTCGTATTCACTTAATAACGCCTATTCCACGTCAACTTCACAACCTCAAATTCTCCACGGGTAACGGAAGCAAACATATCTTATAGTCAGGTTTACATGTTTACACCACACCCTGATCCCATTCGCCCTGGCCCCGCCCTGATCCAATGTGAATGAACCCTCTGCAACTAGCTAGTCACATGACACAAAGACTCTTTGGTGGAGAGGAAGCAACATAGTAGGTCCCAAAAACAAATTTACTGAACATTTTCAACAATAATTTTCCTTTCCTTTTTTCCTCAGGGCGATGCTAAAGGGAGTTTTGTCCCAAGTGACCGGTCAGCTGCAAAGTGGGGGAGGGGAGGGGAAAACATTATGTCTCTTTGTAGCCAACGTATGAAGTCATTTCTCCTACCCCTCCCCCGAAATAAAAATTACTATTCACCTTAAGTTTGACGTCATAGAGATCTACAAGCTGTTGCAGAATGGATGGAGCTACATCCGGGTGTTCAGTGACTGCGGCAGCGAGTGCTGGGGCAGCGGCTTTTCTGATAACCTCAAAGTCATGTACAACATCCTCCAAAAGTGCACTACACAGTGGTTCTGGAACACTGAAACCCACCTCCGTCCACAGCCTGAAATAGGGTCAGAATTAGTCGATTAACAATGTCAAGTTCAAAAACCTAATTTCGAGTAGACCCTTCCAAGGTTGTTTTTAGGTTTTGATGGGGACCAGTCAGCGAAAAACCATCAACAATGCTGGAAAACGTGCCTTAAAAATTAGTAAACTTGCCAAGTTTGAATGTTATATGTCAGACGCGAGGGAACATATAGCTCTGCAAAAGTAGAGAGAAGTTTGTGTGATAGCCTGCAAGCAAACTCTCCATGTGGGGGAATCGCGAGAATTCACGCGAGAGCCTCACGCGAAAAGAGACGCGAGTGTGAGGCCCTCCGCCCCTCGCAGCTTCGCCGCTCGCGCGCGTGTTCTCTCGCTGTTCACCTCGCTCGCCATACTTGGAGAGCTTGCTAGCACGCTACTTGTGTGACGGGGGGGGGCGTTGACGGGGGCAGAAACTTCCCCTTCCCCAACATACACGCCACATTGTGGAGCTATATCTTCGTGTTAGGGTCTATTTAGACCAGGTCAGTGACTGGTAGGAACGGCTATTTGATTGATTCGACACGAACTGAGGTGAAATATTCGCCATTAAGGTAATTGTAATAAATAATTACCATAAATGACCCAATAGACGCCCACTTCCAAATAAACGCCTCTTGTCTAATAAACGCCCCCTCTACGTTGTCAAGATTGTATTAGACGCCCCTCTCTAATAAACGCCCCCTATGAGAATTACTCCAGAATACTAGCAATTATCAAAACGAAGCAAAATCATTCGCTTCATTCAGTTTCTTGCTTGATTAACAGGACTTTGCGTATTTCATCTTGTTCAATGTCAAGTTCAAAGCACGGATAGACTAATGATGGCAACACAATAACTCTGAGAGACGATTCTAACATTGATGTTGGGATTTGAAAGAGCGATATGGATCTCTAGACGGCCTAGACATATCAATTGATAGAGTGGATATTCCGCTATTTTTAAACTCTCTTGATATTTTTGCGAATGTTGCTACTGCAAATATGTAACTTTCGAAACCGTTTATCACAAGGATCAAGAGAGGATAAACCTCTCTTGGGAGGACGCATCAAATGCGTGCATTTTCAAAAGCCGTAACTGACCATTCGTATTTTTTCAACTTTAGAAGTTGAAACTCTCCATGTCGAAGTTAAAAACTCTTTTTTTCTTACTTCTCTCCCAACTTGGAGTTTTCGTCATCCACGTCAAATTTTGCAACCCACAGACGTCTTACTAGTTGGGCGGTCTGTGCACTCCCATGATCCCCAGCAGATAGAATATGTGTTAGGACCAGAAGACCTTGCAAGGTGGCGAATCTCAGTGAAGCTGCGGGAGACTCCAAAGAGTGCAAGAGGACGGAGATCTCGGCTGGTGATACTGTGGTACAACCATCTTCGCCACTTGCCGCCTTGCACAGTTCTACCAAGCTAAGAGATGCAAGTTGCTGAAGGAAGAAAGAAAAAAGAAAAAACCCTTAGTCAGGTAAAAAAAACGAAGAAACAAATGAGGACGTTCTATAACGTCTCGGAGAAGTTCCTAGACGAGACTGTAAAGACACTCGATTAATAAAACTAAGTAGGTTGTCACGTGACGTAGGACGACATACAAAATGTGATCGGCAACTACGGTTAAGGGATACTGAGACATTACAATAGAAGTGACAAAATAATCCTTGATTTGTCAGGCATTTAAGACGCCTCCATACTTCCATCTTCATCGACGTAAAGAAAGCTTGCTTTGCAGAACAGCTATCAGTAGCTAAAAGCCACGCAAATACACGAGAGACCACTGTCTTCTAGGACAAAACTGTAAGAAACACTTGAATAAATTGTGCTTTAAATATTGCGCACATTTGGAACCAGTGTGTTATTTGTTGTAATTGTTGTTTTTTGTCTTTGTGTTGCTACCTGTGTTTTTTTTTTGCCAGAGCTTCGATCTTTGACAATAACGTGTAACTCGTTCACGTTTACAATAAACGAATTTACTATTAATTGTACTCACTATCTGTCTTCTCGTTGGCTAAGGGCCTACAATTAATTTTGGAGATCAGGGCAACCTGCTGATTAGTTAGTTATATGCTAGCAGATAACTGACTAATCTGTAGGTTGCGCGCGCAATGCATGATTTTCGAGAGCAATGTCAAATCGGTTCTATGTGACGGTGTATTTGTCGTTATTTATTTCAAAACAATGTATATGTATATATATATATATATATATATATATATATATAAAATTATAAGATTCGGTTTTTGTGATATCCGGAATAACACTTACCTCGACCTAGATTATTTCGGATATCACAAAAACCTCATCTGATAATTATTTAACATCTACCTGTAACCTTGAGCCTTTAATAGTATCTGGACTGGTGGAAATAACCTCTGCAAACAGAGAAAACATTTCTTTCCTTGGTAACAAAGCTGGATCACTCTGAAAAAGAGCAAAAAATTATCATGTACAGTCACAAGAAGCTTGACAGACTAATAGTTTTGTAATTCTACATAAACTGGTGAAATGTGAAACTGTTTCTTAATCCAATGACTTACTTTAGCATTTTCCACTTAAAAGACTTTTGTCAACAGTCCTTATAGGCAAATTTTTTCACACTGGTTCATCTCAATAAGATAGGACAGGCCAATTCGCTATTTTAGGACTTAATTCTACATATAAAAACGCTATCCAATGGTTATAGCAGGACAGCAAGGCATATGGTACTTCCACAGATCTCCCACCCTCTATCCAATCGATAACGTTACCTCTTTTCAGAAAACATTACTGCGAACTTTAAAGGAGCATAGGAGGCACTCGTTTTAAGGAAGGAAAACAAAACAGGGCATCGGGTACTCGGTAAAAACAAAATGAAGAGACAACTCTCGTTACTGAAACAACATTCGTCACAGGAACAACACTCGTCACAGAGACAGCACTAGTCACAAGGAAAACATTCGTTAAAGGCATTGAAAAATCTTCAAAGCCAAGAAAACGCTGAAGTAGGGAAGGAACCTAAGCAGTAACGTTCACTGTTGGCTAAAGCAGAACAGAACTAAAGTATGTTCTTTTGGCGACTTGCACAACTGACTCTTACACAGTGTCACGCAATGCATGGCGGACCCTGTTGCCTTAGTAACAAGAACGTTTGACGCCATTGGTAAAGTTCATTTACCTCATCTTGTTCTTCCTCGTCCTCTTCATCTTCATCATCACAGGCTCGGAGTTTACAGTGCTCAGCAACAACCTGCAGAGTTTGGTATCTCAGATCTTCATCTCCGTCTACAGCTTTACCGCCTTCTCTTAACAAGCATCTAAGCAGAGGAAAGCAGAAAGCAAACCCTGGAGCAGTAAGAAGCTCAGTACATGAGGCTGTGGAGGCCGAGCCAAGAGCTGGATTGGGTACAGTACGAGTGTGAAGTATGGACAGAACTCGTTTGGTGGCTGATGGTAGGTTCTCTTCGCACCAGGCACGATTGATGCTGCACATGGGTTTAAGAAGTCTTAACGTTACATATCCAACGAGTTCAGCTGATGAGAAAGACAGGAGATCAAATGGGATCAGTATAAATTTAACGGGGATCTACCACCTACCCCTACCCTAACCCGACATTTGCCCTAAGTGGAAAGCCAGTATCAATGTTGAGTAAGGAGAGGGGTAGGTGTGGAGTATGGAGAGAAATTTTTGGTGGCTGATGACAGGTTCTCTTCACACCAGGCAGGATTAATGCTACACATGGGTTTGAGAAGTCTTAACGTTACATATCCAACGAGTTCACCTGAAAAAAAAAGACAGATAACCAAAAATAGAACGTTTGGCAAAATAGTCCTGTTGCATATCTTACGCTAATATCCAAAGAAATCCCAAACATTAATTTTTTCTAAGGCCTTCGAGAAAGCTCTCCAATTGGGGGAATACAGGACTGTCGCGCAAAAAAAGACGCCCCTCGTGGCTGGCCCAGGGCACACAAGAAACTGAATAATTACAAATCAAATGAGAATAGTACTGTAGACAATGCTTATGATGTGATTCAATTTAATCCTTGGTTCAATCTCCATTGTCCTCACTACCATACCCCCACAACAAAGAAAACGAAAACTTAAACCAAGGATAAAACTGTGTCACAACATAAAACTGTGCTCACCAAGGTATTTTTGCTCATCATCCAAAGCACTTTTCCCAAGCTTCAAAATCACAGGCGTGACCACACTGGCCGTCAGGGGGGACTGCAGTAGGGGTAACAGGGTGGGGAGGAGAGTAGGAATATACTGACGCATGGATTTAGGGTTTGAAGTTATTGCTACCTCCAGCAACAATCCTACTTGGACAACTTCAGTGTGTAGCTGTGAAAGGAATCATACCATGAAAAGAACTGTTCACATTCTTGTGTTATCAACATTTCAACCACCTCTGTCCCCCACCCCGTGAATTGCTTTTACACTTCCTTATAACCTCTCTTACAATCCTTTGCTGTTCCCAGTAAATAAGCTTTTTGTAATGGTAGAATACTTCCGTCGAGTCCCGCTTTCGTTAGATAAAGGTGGAATCTTTTACTGACTGTTCCGAGGGCACCAATGACGATCGATACAAGCACAACTTCTTTACAATTCCACAGACGCTTCAGCTCTTTTTTAAAGTCTAGGTATTTTTCGATTTTTTCCTGTTCTTTATTACTATTATTATTATTATTATTATTGCTAAAAAAACCATTGCCAATTTGCCAATCAGGTTGAAGGGAAATTAGAAACGCACTTCCGGAGTCGAGTCTATTCATTCGTTGAGTCCATTTGAGGCCCATAACAAGGATCGCGGCGCTGTTTCACAGACGTCACTAACTGGGGCTAAATTACGTCTGCGACGCAGGCCATAGTGACTCAGGCACTCAGAGTTTTATTTTTTTTCCCGAGAAGCCCCTGTCAATCACTACTCACAATGAATATTATTCATCACCACTCCTCGCAGTTTTGCGTCTATTTGATAGTTTAGATTAACGGGATACTAATTTAGCAAAACAGACAAACAGAACAAACTTGTTGTTTTCTAGACATTAAGTAGTGACTTAAGCACAGAGGTGCCCTAAGGGACGGACCATTATTTTTTTGACAGGGGGTGGGAGGGTAGAAAATTTTGGAATAAATTGTTTGCAGAGGCTGTAAACACTGAAATAAATTGTATGCAAGTAAAAAATAAAGTGTTTGCAGGAAGACGGAGACACATTTAAAAAAATGTTTGCATGTAAAAATTTTCCAACCCCCCGTCCTCCGTCAAAAAAATAATGATCCGTCTCTAAAACAGCAATATCTGCGCGACATGGCCCCTTTAAAAAAATAAACAAACAGAAAAACGCGGAGAACTTGCCTCTTTTAATCTGTCTCTGATTTCTGCTTCCTTCATTAACTGAGCTTCAAAGATTTCTTTCTCCTTTTGGCTCATTTCTTCCTTCTCTGATAACTTCCCCTCAGCTTTCTTCTTCTTTTTCAGTGACTAAAAAAAACACCCTCATACAAATCAGTTTTCAATAACTTTCTTTTCATGATAAACATCGCCTGCGGACAGGCGCTTTTTCGCCTTTTTTTTCGGGCGAACGAAGCACGAAGCGGGCGTGGAGCGCGAGACACGTGCGTCTGCGCCTTCCCCCGTTGCGCGTGTCTGGCGCTCTTTACTCGCTTCGCGCTTGCCTTTGCTCGCCAGTTCTGCAGGCTACAATAAACACTGCCGCTGAATACAAAAACTAACGGCGCATCAAAACAGGCTTGGTTTCAATCTGAGGTAAAGCCTTCGCAACACAAGCCAGTTTCCATGACAAGCTACAAAACAGGTATAATTCACTTGGTCGTATTGTTGCCATATCGTAGAAGCTGTGACGATATTCAAGAGCGTATTCTCTTTAAAAATTGGACATACTTTTGTTCGGATGTACCCTTTCTTTTAAACAAGAAAAATGGTAAAATTTCCTGTGAAAATGCGTAAACTTCGATAGGCAAAAAACATAAAGATTGAATAAAGTATATTGCTACGCACTAGCCCGTCTCTAGTTGGTTTATTGGCAGAATTATTCCGTTCGTTACAATAAGACAAAGATGTTAATTTAGCTAGTAACTAAGCGCCCATTCATAAATTATTACGTTTACCGCGCCAAACCTAAAACTACAATCGGCGACAAAATTAGTTGACACACTTTATTGAATTTTAAAGGGGAAAATAAAGCTTTTCCTCACCCACCCCCTCCACGCAATGTTGTGCCACTGTTCAAATTACCTATAAAAAACAACAAACACCCCAACTGTGAATGGAGGGGAGGGGGGAGGGGTGTAGATTCTTTTGTTCTCTGAAGTAACCCTATTTGAGTACAATGTCTCAACAATTTTGTCGCCGATTGTAGTTCCCTTCCGCGTAAAGCCTGGGGCTGGAAAGAAAAAAGGGCGTTCGCGCTTGCAGAGTACTTATTGGTGACATCAGAGTGCAAGGTAGTCTCAATTTCTCATTCCAGAAACTATAACGGGAATGGGCAGAATGGGTACAAGCCTTCAGCGCAGTAAGTTCTGGGATCGATTGTGTGAACAAGCAATACTTATGATTGATTAATGGTTGCATTGAATGTCATGGGCCAATCATAACTGACGCTTGTCCACCCAAACGATCCCATAAATCACTGCAACCAAAGCTCATACCCATTCCGCGTAGAGATTCTGAAATGAGCAATTGTGAGACAGTCCATTCATTGGAATCTAGTAGCTTAGAAATCTGTTGACAACGTTACCTCACGGACTTCCATTTCCCAGATTTGGTCTTCATAAGAATAAGCTTTGGACTCTTTTTTCAAGTTTTGTCGCTTTCCCGCCTCTGCTACCTTGGCGCTAGCAAAACAGAACAAAAATGTATATTATTATTAAGTAAGTAACTAAATGATGAATACCGCTCAACGAAGCGAGACAAACCCTTTTTTGCAATACTACAGAGGTTAAGCATCACATTTACGTCAAACGGCAAACGTGAATTTGTACCACGTGACCAAGTTTATCCTTTACTTGTCGCCTACTGTTCATTATTTCCACTCACACATTAGTAGTTTCACGCAATTTTTTATGCATAAGAACTGTCTGAGCTGTTTTTATCAGCTCATTTTCTATTTTGAGAAATTCTCAACTTGAGTCTAGCGTTTGCCGTTTGCCGTATACGTGGAGCTTAAACTTAAATGAGGGTCTTTAAGGGTACATGGTCTTAGAACCTAAAGATCTCCAGTAGATGATGAATTACAATTTATTAGGAGTTGCGCAAGAGACTGGGCCGATTTTGTGTCAAATTGCAGTATGGGATAGTTTTGGGTAAACGAATTTTACCCAGTTCCCTTCTCAACCTCGTAATAGCTAATAGCGCCCGAAAACAGCCCCACAATGCAATTCCACACAGCACCAACCCAGTCTCTCACGGAAGACCTTAGATAACAATGACCTCAACCAGGTCGCCGTCCAGCAGTTTTAGTGAAAACAAGGGTTTGGGTAGGGTGCTCAGTCTCGCGGGCTCATAAAACCTGGTCTCGGTCATTCTTATTTAAGGATTTTCGTCTCTCACGCCATCTCAGACTAGCTCATGAACCAACCTTTGAAGCAGACTTGTGTTGTAGATCTCACCCTCTGGCGTGTTCATGATAGCAAACTCCTCCATTGTTACTGTGTAGTAGGCTGGTTTGCTTAAGCATACCATGCTGTGCTTCACAACTCTGGGTAAAATAACTTCCGGAGCAAGTTTTGCCATGGTTTTGAGAACATTCTGAGAAGACTAGATGACAAATCTCTGTGTGAAGCTTTTAGTATTTCTTGGGGTGTTGAAACTATTATTGTCTGAACGACGCTCTTAACTGAATATGTTAACCAGTCATCAGGCGATAAATGTATCTGTCTTATTTGTCGTTTTTATACTAAACGATGGCCATTTACAATAAAAACGAATAGCAACTAAGAGGAAACCAGACTCATCAAAATACTGCTTTATGATGCTGTAATAATTTAATTATTTCTTTAGCGTATTGTTCTGATAGTGAAAATTGTTTTTATTCTTTGGCAAACTGTCAGAGAGTTGGCGAGTCAAAAATTTTTCCAAGGGAGAGAATGATAGGTTTTAAATAGAGGAAGAAGGCTGGTCGGTCCTCCTCCCTTAATTCTTTAAGTGGATTTCAAGATGGCGGCCTGGCAGCCGCAAGTAATGTAATCAGCTTTCGTTTTAAAAAGCAGAAACGCCATGCATAGCACTGCTGAACGAATGAAGACACTTTGTTAACTCCACAAAAATAGTAATTTTTATAATTATTTCTAATAAGCCTTGAAAGTTTCCATTAAATGACTGGCATAGATAAAGCCTACCAGATCAGTTAATGAGTTTTCCGTTGTTGTTGGTGGTTAACCTACAACCCCTACCTCTTTTGAGTTGCTGTCGGACACAATCACGTCAATAATGGTGTCCACATGACGATCAACAAAGCTGCCTACTTCAACATCCATACTGTACATAATCCTGATCCATAAATTCTCTTTACAGGTAACTTAAAGCAAAAGAAGTAAAAGATCAAAGTCTTAGACATAAGTGCAAAAAATATACGGTATCACATTTAAGTATAAACCCATCCACGTTTTTTTTTTCAAGTTTTGATAAAGACCAGTAAGTGAATATTCATTGACGTTGCCGGAGAGAACGCCTTAAAATTAAGAAACTTAATAAGTTTAGAGGACACGCGTTAAAAGCGAGAAGAGATAGTGCTCCACACAGTCGGAAATTGTACACTCAGACGTTTGTATGGGGGCACGAACTACTCCCCCCCCCCCATATAAAATCTAAAAAGCGCTTTGCAAAGTGACCAGAAACAACACGTTAAAATATGTGTGGTTCTTCACATTCCACTTCGAAACATTATCATTGTTGAATACTCGGACGTTTCTGAAGATGGAAGGAAACATACCAGGTTACATTACCGAATGTTAAATAACATAGGCTAAAAGCAGCATCAGATACGCTTACATATAAGAGGATGGTGTGCATCCAAGAGGACCTGCAGTGCAATCTTGTCTTTAGTTTCGGCAGGAAGGTCTGGGTTGCTGTTCACAACAGCATGGATCAAACATTGGAGAGCTGATGTAAGGATCCTGTGGCTGACTTCAGTTGGGTTGCCCTGTGGTGTATCTCCATTTACTAGAGGAACGGAACTGTCTTGGGCCGAAGGCTGACGGACATAAAACAATTATTTTAAACACTTGAAAAGCTGACAATAATTAATTTAGTTGGTAGTCAAATGTTTTATAATTCTGACATTGAAGACCATGTCAAAAGAAGGTATAGCAGTGCTTGTAGTGATGAAAACTATTAATTTAATTCGTTAAGACAAGTTTTGAGACTCGTAAAATTCACGTCAAAATTTGTTTAGCCATTTAACTTATTCCATATTTGAGGAGCCAAACTTCATGAAAGTTTCAAAATATCCCTAACATTGCAGAACTCGTTGAAAAGACATGAGATCTTCACTAAAACTGCCCACAATGGTTGTTAGTAGAGGAAACTGGTTATAAAAGCCGGCAAAAATCAAAGATCAAAACAACAGTGCTGCGGTTTACATGTATGATGGAAGCTCCCTGACCGTGAACAATCCTTTATTTTGGTTCACAAATTGTGACTGACTGAATTAATACGCTGTTTCTATTGGTTATTAAGTTAAAAGTGATAGGAATACTATTTAACGCTGTGTGTGGTCAAGTCCAAAAAAATAAAAAAATAAAAAAAACATATAACAAAGCAATCGGTCAGGTTTCACAACCATTCCACTTCGTTAACTACGAACCGTGTTGCTGGAAACAAATTCAAATTGATTTAAACAGTTACCCTACATTACTTCAACATCAATTCAAGCTCTGTTGAACAAATGTTGGGCAAACGTTGTAACCCTTTAAATAACCAAAAAGTTCAAAAAATCCATGTTGAAAGACCATAAATACCGTTATCTGGAAATGAGAAATGCAAGAAGATTCAAGCCTTGCTCACCTTCTGTGTAGAAAGAAGCTTAGAAAACTCTGTCAGTAATGAAGACTGAAGTTCAACAGCACTTTCTCCTAAGCTGTTGAACAGGCGCTGGACACACGACTGTGTATTTTGCCTGATTTTCCAACTAGAATGGGTCAGAAGAAACAGCAAAGCTCTGTACCATGGCCTAAAATAAACAGTAAGAACAAGGTAAGCAGTGGTGGTTCCAGACCTTCAAATAAGGGGGGGGGGAGGGTGCAGTCATCCAGACCCTGAGATAAAAGGGGGGGGGGGGGCCTTCCCTTCAGGCCTCAGTTTGGTCCTTCCCGGGATCCGCCTCTGGTAAGGATAAATATTTTCTAAATTCAAAACATCTTCCATTGGTACTGAAACTTATGGTAAGTGTTATTTGCTATTTGTGGATTCATTTTTTTTTTCGTGCACACGGTTTGCACCGAGAAGTCTTGTGTCATCTTTGGGGGTTGGAGTCATAAGTCAGCATCAAGGTCGAAGGGAAGCTAATTTTTGAAAAAGTCGTCCAAATGTCAATAAGTGCCACCAACACTTATATTCAAGACGGATTAATTTGCTCTCTTAATTTCTCTTAACAGCTAATTATTTAAGGATGTTTTTAGGAGAGATAAAAGCTGATCAATGCTGGATTAACTATTCTTTAATTATATTACCAGCTGCTGTTTGGGAAATGAGCCTGTACTCCCCTAGCCTGGGTGCCAGAGGCTTTTCATGTGTGGTTTCCGGTTTTGGTTAAGTCTTTTTCTCGCGTCTTCACCGCTCGTGTCTTCGGCCTTTGGTCGAAGGCGTGTCCGCCGACGAGGCTCCTGGAGAAAAAACCTCTGGTACCCAGGGTAGTGCTCCTCCCGGGCGGAGTAAGGCCTGACTAGTTCATAGATAAATGGGATGTTTCTGGGATACTGCCCACCTACTCCTCCCCTAAGCCGACATTTTGCCCTAGATGAGAAATAAGTGTTTATGTTGGCTTAGGGGAGGGGTAGGTGGGCAGTTTCCCAGAAACATATAATGATCCAATAAATCTTACTGGCTGTTCGACTTGTTAAGTCTTTGTCCGTGGCTGATGATAAGCTTCTCAATGATGGAAACCATGGTCAGTAACGCTGTTGAAAATATAGTTAAATAATTTTTTAAATCATGTTTGGTAAACAGTTCTTTTATTCACATAACCTAATGACTGACAACAAGGAGGACCAAGGGTGACCATTTCCAGAAAAAAGAGTCATTAATAATATTACTATGAGTTGAAATTGCAGTGCGTTGAAGAGGCATGATATCAGAATACTATGATAAGAGGTACCTTCATCAGTTGCAGAGTTCAATAACTTCTCAGAAACAAACAGCTGCTTCTTTGCATCAAGAAATGTTGTCCAAAATGAGCCAAGTTTGGATTCTAAAAGAAAAACTCATAGAACTGAGTTTACTCAGATAAAATGGATTAGGATTATCAGTGTATGAAAACTATCAAAATGGATCTATTCAGCAAAAACAGTTAAATTCATGTATATTTAAGATTTCTGTAATCCTGCACTAGATAATGCTGCTAGACTTACCGTGAATAACTGCATTTTAACAAAAATAATAATAACATTTTAACATTATCATTATCCTTTTGTTGTCTATTAAATGCAAGAACTGCCTCCAGATAATTGTCACCAGGGCGGAAGTAAGTACATGTAAGTACAGTGTAAGTCTATGACTATCCCTGAAGTGCACAATTATTACTACCAGTAGAAAGCAGATATTTTTGTGTCCTATGAAGTTCTAAAAGTTTCCTACATTGCCCTTAACCAATGTTCCTATTTTCAGGCCATCACTTTACCTGCTTGCACATCTGCTAGTGATAATCTGACAAGAATGGAAGCTGCTACCAATCCTTCTGTTACAATAGATGCCTGATTTGGCTGGCTGCTAGCTTTCTCAATAGTCTAAAAAGATCAGATAAATACCTCAAGATCGGTCACAAAGCAACCAGTACAGCGGCTTTTTTGAAAGCGAAAAAGGGAGTAGGAGCTTTATTAAACCAAGGGTGCCCAATACTCATTTATTTCCCCACACAAGAAAGAAATATAATATTTACAAAAAATTAGGACTTTTCACAGGAAATTTAGCAAGACAGTAGAAATGGTGAAGTGCCTTCAGAAACCAGTAAGCTTATACAAGAAACGCCTCCTCACTGAAAGGGAAAAAGTTCTATAGTCTTCTTTTAAAAACAGAACATTTGGAAACTTGCGAGTAATATCATTTGGTAAAGAATTCCAAACTTTTAGTCCTTAGATTTTCCTTCCCTTAAACTTGAACTATGCTATTCACATCAAGGTTTTAAATGTGCACAATAGTCAAAGTAAAGCTTGTTATGATTTGTCACGTCAGGAAAACCCAATCCATATTTTTGCCTGTGTGTTTTTGTTTGTTTAACAAAATCGGTGATGTTTGACCCTTTTTAAGGTGATGTTACACAAGATAATTATTTTGCAATGATGATTTTAAGCACAACACAGCGTAGCAACATTGGAACGATGTTGCAACCATTCGAAACAATGTCACAACTATGTTTTAATGCTCAGTGTGTTGCACTAAAAATCGTCATTGGGAATCATTTCATGTAACATCACCTTTAAAGACTTAAATTCTTGAGAGTGACCAGCCTCAATTTTCTCCTAACCAAATCAATACATAATCAAGAGAAAAGGTTATGAGAATTGATAAAATGATCACCAAAAGAAAATGCTTTGATCTTTAGTCAAATTCTCTCACTGAACTCTTTAACCCTTTAAGTCCCAATAGTGACCAACATCAATTTTCTCCCAATGATATCCATACATTGTCAAGAGACTAGGCTATGAGAATTAATAAAATGATCACCTAAGAGAAAATGCTTTGATCTTTTGTCAAATTCTCTCAACTCATTCTTTAAGGAAATGTATAGAGATCAGTTTGGAGAATTTGTATCTGGATATTGGGGCTTAAAGGATTAAAGAAATGTATAGTGATCTGTTTGGTGAATTTGAATCTGGATATCAGGGTGTTTAAAAAGTGTGAACATTCTTACCTGCAGCAGCTGGGGTAGGATATCCATTGCTTGGAGAAGTGTGTTACCTGCATTGTAGGAAATGTTATTTTAATGTAATCAGCATTTTTGAGTTGCAGACTCCTGATTGCACCAGAAAAATGTGAGGATAAGCATAGAAAAATCACATGTTTGATGTATGTTTTTTAAATTCTCTTGGTCTTACAGAGAAAAAATGTCATTATTCTCACAAAGCCTAGTGAAGTTAATGTTATGTCTTCAGTAAGGTGGTTATAATGTTCTTGTTCATAATTAAATGAAATCAGTAAGAGTGACAGAAACTAGGAAGTTTGTTTTAGCAAAGTGTTTTTGTTTAAATTTTGTCAGTAATAAGGTAGTTTCAACCGCAAAAAAAAAATACCTTGAAAGGCCCCAGCCATACAGTGTAGGTATGCAGTGCGTACTGCTGTAGTGGAATTCTTGTTGGTCATTCTTTTCTGTGGAAGTATAAGCAATAATTAAGATCCATAAAATACACCCTAATATGAAAAAAATAGACGTAGGATCAAATACAAACACTTTATTGAAAAACTAATTGCAGTAAAAGTCAAAAATAGAAGAAAATAGATGAATAAAATTTACTCAAAATTAAGCTACGTGCATGTGTCATAACTGACAACTGACCTAGCACTTTTAAATACATGTAACATGTTTCAGCAACATCATTGCATCTATGGCAGAACTTCATGACATTATCACCATTTAATACTTAACGTTTTTCCAAATCTTTGCTTTCAGACACAGAGAAGTTAATTATATTAATTAAACCTAATTCATCAAATTAAGAACTAATGACAAATAATAATAATAATAATAATAATAATAATAATAATACAATGGAAAATATAGGAATGAAAAAAAGGATGAAAAAAAAAAGAGAGATGAAACAAAAAAGGGATCATCATACATTCCTGGGAAACTGCCCACCTACTCCTCCCTAAGGCAATATTTTGCTTTGAGTGAGATGTAAGTATTAATGTTGGCTTAGGGGATGGGTAGGTGGGTAGTTTCCCAGAAATGTAAAAATGTTCCAAAAAAAGAAAAGAGGATGACATGTCTCACCTTAAATGCATTAACCAGTACCTTGGGAACCTCAGCCGAGAAATGTGCACACCACTGACTTAACACAGACAAACCTTGGACAAGGGCTCCCTCATGAACTGAAGAAAATATACAAAAATCTATGTTCAACAATAGACAGTGAAATTATATTGTATGTCAGTGAAGTACCATTGGTAAAACAAAAAAGAGGAATAAGAGAAGAGATTCTTCTCATTATTTTACCCACAAAGGTTCTCAAACCTTAACCTTTTTGAGGGAAAGGAAACTGAAATTTGACACCCTTTTCAAGGCTTGTACCTGAAAGCTGACACCTTGTCTAAGTCAGGAGACTTCTTCATGACAGACTCTTAAAGATGTTCTGTGCACAGCAAAAGATACCAAGAAATGTGGTTTTGAAACACTTAAAGGGTATAGATCCTGTGTTTACACTATTTCAAAAGAACTAAAAGAAACCCATCATCATCATCATCATCATCATCATCATCATCATCATTATCACTATCATCAGCAGTTGGCTGAAGAGCAGTCAACTGTGAGGCACGTCCAGCTGGCTCGGTCTTGGGAAGTGTGCACAATGTCATCCATCATTATATTCTTGTAATTTCACATATGTGTAAATCATACTGTACCTTCCTGTTCCAAATATTTCACAAGCTTTTCTGCGACTAGTTGGCTAAGTTTCTGAACAGAAGAGCTTCCGCTGACTGAGTGCTGCTCCAGACTTCTTAAACCTGAAATAATCCACCAAAAGCAGACTCTGAAAATTTAACCTGCATTCAGTGGCTTAAGGAATGCTTTGAATGGATCAAGGAGCACAGAAGAAAAATAGACTAGCCTGCAATGCAAGCATATAGTTTTTGGTGACCAAGCTCTCAATTTTTTGTAATCACTACTCTCATTTTGAAGCAGACGAAGATTTTAAGAGATTAGAAAGTGCAATCAATAGGGTGGATATAATAAAAGATTGAAGATTCTAGTTTAATCAATCAACATGCTGTCATCCACAAAACTCTATATTGCTGAATGAGACTAAGTCATGGGAGCATGAAATGGCCATGAAATGTACAGCAAACTACAATAAATAGATTTCATTAAACCACACCCTATAATTTTATCTATAATTTTCTCTAAGCACACTTATATCCTTAAAATACACGTCTTTTTTCTTTATTTTTAAATGCTGTCTAGTATTTAAATTGCCCGTGGGGGGAAATCTGTATTCCTCATAAGCTTTGCTTCTCGGAGATTTCCCGGCCACATTCACTCCTTATAAGTTGTACGTTCATTTTAAATTTAAAATTAATTAACCATTTATTATCTTTTCTATTTTACTTGTAATTTATTCTGTGTGGCAAATAAATAAAATAAAAATAAAATAAAATAAAATAAACTTACCTTGAAGTACAGCAACTCTATCATTCCACTGGGTCAGTTTACCCTCTGAGCCTAACAAATACAAACACAAAGGGGAAAATCAAGACATAGTATTCTATAAGAATATTATCAAAAACCAATACACCAACATCTGAATAAACTTGAGTAGTAGACATAGAAAATAACTGTTCATTATGGATTGATACACTCACCGTTAAGGACATTGAAAACAAAGTTGATGAGTTCTTCCAGTGCCCCTGGATCACTGCACTGATGTGCAAGATTCTTTAAGATCAATGTCGCTTCCTGTCTGTGCAGTTCTTCTTTTGCCCGTAACTGGCCTTCAATTAAACAAAAACATATGTTTTCAATACAATAAATTATTGTCTAACAGAATGGCTAAACTGCCTCCTTGCTAAAGTGTGACGTAAACCTACCAATGGTGTTTTTGCAGATGTCCAATGCATACTTGGATAAATCAATAGATACTGAGGAAATTAAATAAGCAACACCTAAAATGGAAAACATATGACAGTCAAAGAGTGAAATTCACTTCAGTCATTAATTTTTACCAGCGCAAGGTCTCAATAGTTGAAAGTTTCAAACCTGTACAAAATCAGCTTTATCTCTTTACGCCCTACAAACCCACATGTATACAAATTCTCCAGACTAATCTCAATAGATTTCCAGCTCCCTTTGAGCCGAAAAAAATTTTTTTTAGAAACACAGGACAAATTCCTTTATTGCTCTTTTCCTTTTCATGTGGTGTTGGCACATATAGTAATCAACCTCAGAAAACCATGAACACCCAAAGTATTTCAGAAATTTTTTTCTACTGTGGGTAATCATAACAAAGATCATTACTCATGCATAAGCCACAAACTTATTATCACTACTGAACATTGTATGCAGCCTAGTTTTCTCACATCTGATTGGCATTTTCCAGGTATTTCTTGGTGTTGTGGACACCATTATATTGTTTTCTTTTGTCTTTTAGTGTGGGTATTGTTCGGTGTCCTTTCAGTCTTTTGTATTATGTCATTTGGTGATTATTCCCATCTAAAATACCTAGAAACTACCCATTTTCCTTACAACACAATCACATTCCAGAAGTATTTCTAGTTTTCACAGTTTTCTGATTTTCCAGTAAGCTTAAATACAACACTTATCCTTCATCTCTTCCACTTTTATTCATGCAAGTCTGCTAGGTGGAGTAGGGGGAAAATGAGGAGGTGGTTCACCCCCTTGCCCCCTATCATTCCTTTCCCATGCCTCAGCCGACGTTCTATGCCTCACCCCCCCCTTCCCAAGCCTCAACCTCCCTTTGCATGCCTCACCCTCCCTTCCCATACCTCACCCTCCCCTTCCCACGCTTCACACTCCCCTACCCATACCTCACCCTCCTCTTCCCATGCCTCACCCTCCTCTTCCCATGCTTCACCCTCCCTTCCCATACCTCACCCTCCCCTTTCCATACCTCACCCTCCCTTCCCATGCTTCACCCTCCCTTCCCTTGCCTCACCCTCCCCTTCCCACGCTTCAGCCTCCCTTCCCATACCTCACTCTCCCTTCCCATGCCTCAACCTCCCTTCCCATGCCTCACATTCCTTTCCCATGTCTCAGCCAGGCCGCACGCTCTCCCTGTTTATGCAGTCATTCTTACTTTCTAAAACCACTCATTCTTACTTTCTAAAACTACTTCAGGATTTCGTAGTAGAGCTTTCTGTACAGCTGGTAAAATCAAGCTGCTAAAATCATCATGTGTCACATGACAAAGCAAAGGACCAAAGTGTACCTGGCAAGAGAATGCAAAATAATCATTAATATTTAAGGCGCTATGTCACTCAGATATTGCTGTTTTAGGTCAATTCTGTACCCACACAAAAAATGCCCCAGCCTGTAGAGTTATGAATCGAAGACAATACCAGTATGAAACAAATTTCATCAGAGAGTACGAAAAATAATAAATTTTTGGTGATTTTTGCAGGCATACATGGTGGGTGTATCATTAAAACTTGAAAAGGTTGGCCCAATTTTTTCAACTTTCAATCCATGTTCACCGTTCCTATCCATTGCAACAGGCGACAGGAAACAGGTTCAATTCTTAACCCTTTAACCCTTTAAGTCCCAATATCAACATACAAATTCTCCAAACTGATCTCCATACATTTCCTTTAAGAATCAGTTGAGAGAATTTAATAACAGATCAAGGTATTTTCTCTTTTATGATCATTTGTTAATTCTGATAACTGTATCTCTTGACAATTACTGGATACTGTTAGGAGAAAATTGATGTTGGTCACTATCAGGATTTAAAGGGTTAAATCTTAATATCCACATACAAATTCTCCCAACTGATCTCTATATATTTCTTTAAAGAATGAGTTGAGAGAATTTGATAAAAGATCAAAGCATTTTCTCTTAGGTGATCATTTTATTAATTCTCATAACCTAATCTCTTGACAATCTATGTGTATCGTTATAAGAAAATTGATGTTGGTTACTATTTGGACTTAAAGGGTTAAAATTACTAACAAAACTGGACCATAAATATTTTTGGAACGTAGCTGATGTGAAGACAATTTAAAACGATAGCAAATAGAGTGACATAACCCCTTCAATATTTTAATTCTGTATCATTGATGGGGACGGGATTTTTATGCTTTGATATCAAACTGATAGTCAGCTAGCAACACTTCATTTTACTCTGTTACTGAATATGATCACCTCTTTCTTAACAGACACCTTTAAAAGATGGACACATTCTTAAAACAGACACCAAGGATTCTAATATAACTGCTCCCACTGAATAAATAGTCAGTGGCCAGTTACAGCTGTAATAGAAGGCCACTGACAGCTATAATAAAAGGTTGACTGTACATCTGTACTTTGCACATTGTACATTAATGTCAGTATTGCATTGTAGGTTTAGACACACTGCTCATACACATAATCATAACACTTAATTTATTAAAATATTATTCTCATAACATGTCTCTTACCAGAACATGATTGGAGGGTCTTGTCTTGCTATTAATCACAGCCTTAATATACATGTCAAGGAATGGTTTCTGTAAATTGAAGTTAAGGAGCAAACACTATTAGATATTCATCATCATCATAATCACAGAAGTATTTTTTAATGATTCTCACCTTTCTAATTTTTTTATGAACGACATTAATTATTCATTAAGAAATAATATAAATTAAATTTAATGTCTAGTTCATTTCTTTCTTTCTTTCTTCTACTCACTCATTCAGTCGACTAGTCAATCATTATTCAGTTTGACAGTCATTTATTAATTAATTAATTAATTCACATAATTATTCATTACTGGAAATTCATTAATTAATTCAATTGAACAATTATTCTTTCTTTCCATTTTTTATTCCTTAATTCAGAAAAATATAATATTGTCTCACAAATAAAAAATAATAAATTAGACAGATGACATCATATTACCTGATTGTACAATAAACATTATTTTATACTGACCTTAAATTTACTTATTGTTTCACTGTCTTTATTTTTTGTGCAAAAATTAAAGAGGTATCCAGTCAAACAACCCAGCTCCTGAAAATAAAGAAAAAGCTATACACTGAATCCCTGATCCAGTACACACACAACTGACCTGTTCCCAAATAATTTGACAGAGTCGAGCGTTGGTCTCATCACAGGCAGCCCAAGCTCAATTTAGCATACAATAGGCGACTATAATTATATAAACATACCGTAACAACATGTTTGAGGTGTTGTGTTACAAACACCTACAATGGAAGGATTGTATGGGTTCACAAACAACAGTTGGTTTGAGGATTATGAAGGTTTGTATGGCATCAAAATTTAAACTCTGGGGATGTTACATGTAAATCATTTAGATCTACAAAAAAGGGGCTAAAATGTGAATAAAAGATGAGGAATACAACATTGAAAGAAGGTACATGTAAGTTAACTTTTATTAAAAAATTTATGTTATTTCTCTTTTTAAAATTAAATCAGTTGGAAGTTGTAAAGCCACATTCATCTGCACAATATGGTATTTGCATGAAAGATCAAGGGATCGACTTGCATTGACATATCTGGAGATTCTTAGAAATCTGAGAAAGCTGTCATACATTGTAGATGAAGATAAGGCAACTTACTCATGTTAAGAGGAACAAAAATGAATTAGGCAACTATATATATTCAGCCAGAATAATGGCAGGGCAATTCCCCACTCCAGAAACTACAAGGGGAATGGGTACAAGCTTTAAGTGCAATGATTTCTGGCATTGTCTGGGTGGACAAGTGTTACTTATGATTGGTGGATGGTAATCACAGCAACTACTAACCAATTAGAAGTAGTAACACTTGTCCATCCAAATGATCCCACAAATCGTTGCGCTGCAAGCTTATACCCAATCTCCCTATAGTTTCTGGAGTGGGGTATTCACAGAAGTTCTTTACCTGAGAAGCTGGCATATTGCTGATAGCTTCAGCATACTTGGATGTTATTCCTGGAACCTGGAATTGTGAAAAAGAAAGAAATTGCAAGACCCTTTTATGCGCCAAAAGCATAGCGGGAGGTGTGAAACAAAAATAACCATTTAGCAACTACAAGAAAGCTATGATGATACTCAGAGCAAGCCAACAAATTAAATCAGTTTTCTCTTGACCTCGTTAGATGAAAATCACCTGGTAGGAAGGCAGATTGTGGGTACAGTGTATCAGCAAAGCTGCTTCAACATGCAGCCAGAACAAGTTATTCTTTATCCCATGCCATGAAGATGCAGCAAATAAAAGGTCTGCAAAGCCAGTATTCCACAGGTTCATGTATTTAACCACAGAATTGATCGATGAAGACCTTAAAACTTGTGTATAATTATCTAACTCCCAATTTTCTTATGGGTTGATGGTATGCCACAGAACTAGGCTAGAACCCATATCACAGACACTAGTGGCCTCGTCCCCAGTTACTTGCAATCACTTTTTGGAGGATATTTAACAAAGGTGGAGGCGAAAGGAGTGTCACTCCCCACTTGCACTCTGTGCTTGTTTCCATTGTTCCCCACTAGCACTTCTCGATTGTTTCTACCTATGGTAAGTCTGTGCCCCGACTAAGCCATTGGGAAGCCTGTGGAGGAGGCATCATACATCATACCCTTTCTTCAGGTCACTGAGCTGATAACATATCAGTAGACACAAATCAATAGTGTGAACCATACCTCCCTCCAAACTTTGTGTAACTTTTTCCTAGCAGATGCACAGACAGGAGCTGTCCCAGCAGACAGAACTCCATAGAGTACCAGACACTGTACTGCAACCAGCCTATTCCACTGTGCATCATTACACAAGTCGGTGTTGTTATAAACATGTCGAACTAGCACACAAGACCAGCACAGAGGTACCAAGTTTGATCCACTGGTCACATAACTAAGGAAAAATCCAAGCAAAATGTCAATACAATGTTTAATCCAGGAGAAAAAAAGGATTGTTATAATTGTTTTAATAAATCAAGTGATTGTAAAAGATAATGTGATAAGCAGATTTATTCCTCAGGTGGTGATCCTGGAAGGGGCAAAGAGGAAAGGTGGCATGAGGGTGACGAAAAAAGAAGAGAGGGGAAAGTGGCCAGCACAGAGGGAGAGAAAGGAAAGGTGATATGGAGAGGTAAGGAGGAATCATGAAGGGGATAGCAGAAAGGTGTCATTAGAAAGAAAAGAGGGAGGTGTCATCAAGACAGTGAAGTTGGAAGGTGTATTGGGGAGTTAAGGAGAGAAGGGGTGCCCTTCATTTACTTGAGAAAATCCCAATTGAAAAAGTACATTTCAAAAATTTGGTCTGCACTGTGTGGTGGGTCCTTTTCCAACAGGATCACTCAACGAGGTGGTTTGTGCAAATGGTGAGCACACAAGGAGAGGTTATCATGGAGAGGGAAGGGGGAAGGTGTCATGAGACAAAAAGCAGAAGGTGTCCTTAAGAGGAAGGAGGAAGGTGTCGTGGAGAAGGAAGGATGAAATTAAAGCTGTCATGAATATGTGGTGGAAAGGTAAGGGGGCAGTTGTCATTTAAAGGAGAGACTTCAACAAAGGGATTATGCTCTCTTACTAATCATAGTTTAGTAATATGGATTTCTCCCTGTTCCCATCCTGTTAAGAATTAGGTGTAGGAGTCAGAGCTAATACAAATCACCACCCAATGAGATGATTACTGATGAATAAGAATATCACTTCTGCAGTCTGTAACTGAAGCACATGTATAGGTTTCCATCAACCATAACAGATTCTTACCTATGGGGGGAAGAAGTGAGTTGTTTTTCTACATCAGAGAATGACAGGCAAAAATACTTCACAGCACTTGCACCTGTTTCAATAGTAAACAGTACATTAAATTCTTTAAATTTATTTTACAATAAAGCTCCATCAATAAAGTCACTAATGGGCCATGAGAATTTGGCTTTGTACAGGGGGGACATCCCTGTATATCCTCCTGTAACAAGGGACCAAAGTACAACATAGTAGCAGCATAGGGCCACACATACACTTAACAGCTGCTGTCTTTTCTTATTTGGATTGTAAGGGTCCCAATACATAGTTGAATATAGAAAGAAACTGTCTATTGTTGAAGTAAACAAATGAATATGAAATTTCATAGACTTGAAATGATTTAAAAGAAATCTTGAGCAAGACAAACATTGATTGATACAAATGAATGAATGGTGAACAGCCTTTAAACCTTCTTCTACAAATGTAGACGTCCCCATTGTAATAAATTATTGTTTTAGCCAGAGTATCTGGTTTTAATGCCATGCAAAGCAGAGAGTGTTCAAGAAATTCATTTGTAAGATATTACCATTTTTCTCTGCAAGCAATCTAAGAACCTCTTCAACTGCTCTTCTTGATTGGTTATCTCTGGAAAAGATAAACAAAAATCTCAGAAACAGCTTTGTAGAGTACATTGCTCACTATGATAATCATGGCAAAATTAAAGATTTTCTGGAAGTGGATTGCTAATTTGGAGGCAATAAAATTCATTTTCCGAATTGAAAGCAGCTTTACAAAGGGGCATTATCTTTCTGACTCCAGTCAGAAGCTTGCTCCACTCAACTAAAATGGTTATCTTTTCAAAAGTGAGAAGAGCTATTCTTATCCTCTCAAATGCAGGATTTTGGCCTTAGGTCTTTACCCCCCCAACCTTCTGCCATTGCATCAGTGTTGGATTCACAAAGTCCTACTAAATTAAGTTACACCTAAAAGTATTGTCTTGTAACAAGAGTCTGTTATTGAGAAACAATCTTAAGATAATCCTAATTACAGCAGGCTTTGTGGACCCACTCCTAGGGCTTGGTAAGAAGCAGGAGTTAAGTTACTACTGGTTATATATACCTAGGGGTCAATAAAATAAAACTTTTACACCTGTAATTTACAAGTGTAGCTATTGTTTAAGAGCCCGAAAAAAAAAGCTACACTTGTAAATTACACTTGTAAAAGTGTTATTAAATTGACTCCAGCATGGAGATGGCATTCCCTAGGACATAGCTTTAATGGAAGCCATATGGAGATTTTTTTGGGAAAATGTCATAGACATGTTATGCCTTAGGTATAATTAAGGTTTTCCCCTCATCCATTAGTGGTCATTAAGCATATTCCTTACTGGCAGTCAAAGACTAACCAGTTATTGCAACAACAAGAATATCAATTACCTGTAACAGTGCAAAGTCAAGTAAATCAGTTTGATCACTGCTTTCACTCCAGCCTCAGAAAAATCTACAGAATAGAAGAAATTAACAGTATATCTTGCCTTGAAAATCCTAATCACCTAGCCACCTCTACATAACATCTCTGTCCTTTTCTATATCAGATCAAGACTAAAATTTGACTAATTTCAGGGATGTAGGTAGTAGGCAGAAGCTGGGGAAAATACATGGCTCTCAACATATTTTTTCAGGCTGATAAAAATTGCAGTCTTTAAAAAGGCAACTGTTCTCGTAGCGCTGGGATAGCGCTACCCACCGGATAAATCACTATCCGACGGATAAGTATTAGGGAAACCAATTGCGCTATCCATTGGATAGATTTTTATCCTGTGGATAGTGCTATCCAACGTTTGAACAACCACGGCCAGATAAATCACTATCCAGTGCATAACTGTTGGGGAAACCAATAACAATTATTATTGCACTATCCACTGGATAATATTATCCAACTTTTGAACAACTGGTGCCAGTGGTAGGCCTTCATTACTATAAAACAGGCTCAGTTGTTGAAACTTTTGACAGACCTTTCCAAAAGATAAATATTTATCTACTAGAAAGACATCCGCTCAGGAAAACGAACTCCCCCCCCCCCAACCTCCTGCTTGAACAACTGTAAAATATTTGCAGGTAACTTATGCATTTTTATTACACTAACTTAAACTAAATAAATAAATTGATAGAACTGACGAAAAAATTAGTTTTTCAGACAAGAGAGAAGCACACCTTTAAAAAAATCGAAAATTTCTTTCCTCATTTTTGGTGGTGCAATACCTTCATAAGGACCACGTGACAACCAACGCATAACAACAACATCGTCTGTTTGTGTATTACTTAATGACCGTATGCACGCGATCTTACAACAATTCTACACCATGATAAAACTCTATCAAATTAATACAATTCAAGGAACAATGGCCCGTAAAATCATGGTATCAGAAAGGAGTATTACTCACCATTTCTCTTAATGCAGGGCGCGAGGAGTTCTTCGCAAATATATCTCCTTTCTTTAGTGCTAGATGTTGTTATCTTGACGGCACACTTCTTGAGGATTTCAATTACCTATTTAAATAACCAAAATAATTCAGAAAAATGGATAGAAAACAAATTCAGGGCACTTAACTGGTTGAAAATTGAGACTCTCGAAAAAAGGTACCTCTGCCGCCATCTTGGACACGTACTTGTTGAGCCTGTTATCAATTCGGACTGAGGCTCAATTCTACCTCATGTAAAGTGCATCGCATTTGCTCCTTCCCAATCCCCCTCATTCAAGTGTCAAAATGGCGGCAAGGGAAGAGGAAGAGATGACATCGAAATGGCAAAATCGTTTACCTGATCACTCAGTTTTTAGAGAACTTCGCAACAAAGATGAAGATAATAGCTTGCAAACAGCAGAAGATGCTAAAGAGAGTAAAACGAAGAATATTTTTCTCGAGAATGACGGTGAATTATTTGTGTGGAATTCGGCTAAAAGTAGCTTGCTGACTGCAAACCTTAAGAACCTCCATTTTGATAATGAACGCGCTGATAAATTCCAAGTAAGTGAACGCTGTATTTTTTTTCATTGATTGATTGTTTGTGTGATCGATTAATTGATTTGCTGACTGACTGATTTGTTGACTGATTGATCGACTGATTGATTGACAGATTGATTGATTGATTGGTCTACTGATTGAATGATTGGTTGATTGAATGATTGATTGATTGACTAACTGATCATTGATTGGTAAATTGATTGACTGATTTGCAAAGTGGCACTCTGATCTTCTAGACTTAAAAAGCTGTGGTTTGGCTTTAATAACATTTACTAATGTAAGTACTTGTTGGTGGTAGAAAAGTGACAAGCTGACTGAGTCATGCATTGACTTCTTGAAAACATTGATTTTTGTCAACAGACCTTTGTTTGCACTAAAGCTCCTCTATTTGACGTGGATTCTATGCTGTTTAGCCCATCCTCCAAGTATCTTGCTCTCATAGGAGAAAGAGGAATAGTAGTTCTTGAGATGCCGATTAGGTGGGGCAAGTTTGCTGAATATGATGGTGGAGAACCATCAGTTATGTGCAGGTAATCTTTACTCAGGATGACCTCCAACATCCTTAGGAGAAACTTTATTATTGTAAATTGGAGAGGGCTAGGGTTTCCCTCTTTCTCCACTGCCCCCTCCCCCATAAATCTACAGACATGGGTGGTCCCAGGAGCCATTAGGTACCTTGAATGAATTGTCCAAACCAAGTGACTTCTGATAAATTTCTTGGTTCTCCCTGCAAAAAAAAAATGCCCTTTGCCACAATGGAAGAATTTGACCTGAGATCAAAAGTCAGTCAGGGCTTTTTTTCATGCATACCATCTATGAGAGGTTTACTGTAGCTTAAGGAAATTCCTTGGTAATATTCAAATTTCATTCCATTGAAGTACTGTATGTGATACTGAAGTAATTATTCGTTATTTCAAAAATTACTAATAATGGTAAACATGGACAGTCTGCACTATGCATTTAGGACAATAATATTATCATTTAGATTCATAATACAGCAGAAAATAATTCAGAAATAATAAAAAAGACTCACCTACAAAATGAACTTAATGGTTGTTTTCCTTTTAGCCTTTTCATCACCATTTTCTATAATAGTAATTTTCTCCTTTTTAGAACAATACCAGTTGATGCAAGATTCTTTGTTACTCATCAAAAGATCAAAGTTCTTGATGTTAAGTGGCACCCTGGAAGCCACACAGATGTTCACCTTATGGTTCTTACATCAGATAATAATTTGAGGTGTTGTCCTTGATGCTTATGTTGAAGGTCAAAGTGAAATTCAAGTTAAAATGGTTTCAATCAACAGTAGGTTTATTTCCAGTTTCCTTTGCTCCTTAAACCCTAATTATTCATCATCAGGAATAATTAGGGATGGGAGACAAAGGAAAAGAAAAATTGAGAATCAACATAGGTTGAAATCATTTAAACCTGAATTTCTTTTTGACCGACAACAATTATATATTCTTTATGTTAAACCTTCAAATCCAATGTTAATTTTTTTCTCCTAAAAATTTTTCCATTAAAACTAGTTATGAGAAGTGGAAGTATCATTATGAAAGTATGGTATCTTAGCGACCATTCCATTGTGGTGTTTCAGAACACACACCCATACATGTGTACCTCTTCCATTGAGTGTGTGTGGTTTGCTTCAAACACTCCATTGCAGTTGTATTACTTTCAATACTTTGTTTCCTAGCCTTATAGTAATTTAGGATTAATAAGGGCTCTGAGACAATGGAAATTGAGAGTCAACCTACATGTAGGTTGAAAAATTATTATAACCTGAATTTAATATCCTATGAAATTCACACTTAGCTCTGAGAATGAGTGGAACAAAACAAAAGAAATGAATTATTATAATGTATCACTATATCTCGATGTATTTTCTTTTGTTTATACCCCTCAGCCTTGAAGCCAAGTATGAATTTTAATACATGTAATTATTTCAAAAGTGGCCTATTCCAACCTATAACATGATTAATAATAAAATTAAAATAAAATTATTTATCCATACATTTTCTTTGTTACTATCTATTTGTATCATACACAGACTCTACAATGTACTTAAACCAACTTCTCCAGAAGAACTAATCCCCTTAGGAGAGTCATCATCAATGACTGCAGAGTACAGCAGAAAGTCCATGTCTGTTGGTTCAATGTCATCATTTGCAGCAGCCCTTGGAGAAACTGCCATTGCCTTTGATTTTGCACCAGCTGTTAATGTTGTTGATTTGAAAGGAAGCTACAGATCTAGTGAAACTGATGCAGAAGTAGCCCATCCTATCTTTATTCTGAGAGAAAATGGAGACATCTACTACCTTGTTCACAAAATTTCCTCAAGCAGGTGTGTTGTCTTTGACTGACTGTTGTTTGACTCTCTCCCTGTTAGTCCCCTGGGAAGTGTTTCCTGAAAGTCTCGGTAACTTTTCAGGCCCAAAATCAAATATTCAAATTGAAATATAGGGAATAAAAGTGCAGGTCCTGGCTAGCAAACTTCCTCATTTTGTTTCATTAACTGATGATTTTATCATGTTTGATGCCAACCTATTGAAACCTCTATCTTGCATGTAAACAACAACAGCTTTGTGGGCCCATTAATTATCGGGACTTTTGAGAAACGCGCCCCAGGTCCCAGTTGTTCAATAGGTGGATAGGGCTATCCACCAGATGAATCTCTATCCAGTGGATAGCACAATATTGGTTTCGCTAATACTTATCCACTGGATAGTGATTAATCCGGCGGATAGTGCTATCCACCTTTTGAACAACTGTGTCCTGACGTCATTTTAACTTTAAGTAGGGAATATTACCAGTACAATGTAATGAACTTTTTAAGTAACATATCATACGTGATTTATTAAATTCATCAATCATTTGAAACTACAGAACACTGATGATGTCAGATGTACTGACAAAACATGTCTGGAAAATTAAAGAAAGGTTTATTGTTTCTGTGTCCATGTTAATCCTTTGAGTCAAAAGTGACCAAGATCAATTTTCTCCTTACATTAGCAGTAAATTATCAAGAGAAAAAGCTATGAGAGTTAATAAAATGATCATCTAAGGGAAAATGCTTAATGATCAGTCTTTTATCAAATTCTCTCGGCTAAATCTTTTAGGCAATGCATGAAGATCAATATGGAGAATTTGTATGTGAATATTAGGGCTTAAAGGGTTATAATTTGGCAACACAAAATAGTTTAGAAAATATAATATTATTTCCTTTCAGGCATCGACGAGCACAGGTGAATGGCCCATTGTCTATGTATCCTGCGGCAGATGATAATTACGGACTGGATGCCTGTTCTTTGCTCTGTCTACATTCCCAGCCTCCCATTGTTGCCATGGGAACAGGGAGTGGAAAAATTTATCACTGTATTGTTCTAGAATCAGAAGAGACATTTGACCCTGAAGAGGTTAGTTTTGACATAGCAGATTATTGGTCACTTTCTTATTGGGCTTTCATATTGGTTTTTACACCAAAACAGCATCAAATAGGGTGTGGGGACAGGGTGTCTTTGCTTCTGTTCAGAGAAGACGGTTTATGGTGCAAAATTAGAAAATAGATGTAACCGTTTCAAGAGTTTTGTTTGAGGTTGTAGTTTTTGCTAGGCAATCACAACCTTTGTGCTCATTTACACAGAAGTGTTTTTAGAACCCCAGGTTTTAGCCTGGCTTAGAAGGTTTAAAAACTTTTGTTGTACATTGAATTTGCTTCAGGAAATTGCGTCTTGGAACAGACATGGAGTTGACACAACTGATGATAGTCATCCCAAGCTTTCTCTTTATGTTAATGAATGCATTGAGCTGCAGATGTCTCTCTTGCCTGATACAACAGAATCTCAGTCAGATAGGAGTTCTACTGAAGATGACTCAGATGAAAATGAAGAGTCATTAGTTTTGAGACTACAGCAAGGTATAAAGCTATTCGAAACTAATAAAAACTAATTAATTAATTAAAAACTAATTGTGAAATGTTCACTATAGGGTGGTGGTTTTTGCTAGTTTTCCATCATCATTTCATTATCACACCAGCGTGCAAAGAAAGTTGTGTCCAATAGCCCATGGCTAGTGGATTTTGCTATTGGGCTAGTGTTTTTTGTTCTTAACTTGCCCGATGGGCAAGTGCTGTTTTTTGGGGAAATTCAAATTACAGAAGGATTATTATCAATCCTGCTAATCAAAAAGGGTTTTGGGGTTAGTTGAAATGACTTGTGGGCTAGTATATGCTAGCTACAGCTTGCCCGAATGGCAGGCTGTAAAAGACTTTCTTTGCACCCTGCACACCCACCACCATAAACATTTTTATCATCATCATCAGCAACAGCATCATTATTTTATGTTATCAAACACTATGTCTAAAAGCATATGCTTCCATCTGTAATATTGTTTTGGACGACCAAATTACTGTATCCCAGCTTTTATCAACCATTTTTTCTTTACCTCAGAAAAGGCATAATAATTTAATAATAATTTATTGAAGCTGCCTCTGCTAGAAGAGAATAATCCATGAATTATTTTTTTAGATTTATTTTTACATGTTTCCTTGCAGATCCAGTGTCTCCTTACCAATATCACTGTTCACACAGAAACGGCGTACACACTGTATCCCTGCCATGGGTTAAGAAACTACAAGGTTTCTGTGCACAAGGTAATAATGTAATGTAAACTTGCTCACAGGTTAATTTCTTTGAGCTACAAAATTGCAAAAACCAGTAATGAAATAGCAAGAAGTAACTGATGACCCTACCCAAATGGACCTTTAGAAAGTCTATGTAATGTAATGTAACAGTAGTTTCTTGTTCTCACTACTACACTAACCTTGCTCCCACAGGTTTTGTCCTTGGATAATTTCATTATTTGCTGTTCATCGCAGTAAAGGCTGATGAAAAAGGCCCTTTAAAACGTTCTTATACTCGTACTCTCAAATTAAGCCTTTGTTCTACAAACAAACAAATTAACAGACAAATGGAAATTAGAAGAGCATCAGTTACTTAAGTTGATCAGAATTCACTGGTCAACAGCATAATCTTTCCCGATGGATGTCAAAGTAGTAGTTTCATTATTTATTCTCGTTTACAGATGGTCAGAGTAATTTTGATCCTGATGAAGCAGCTGTTGTATATCACATGATCTGTACATCCCCAGCAGGATCAAGGTATTTACTTAGACATTATTTACTTTTCGTAATATCAATACCTGTCTCCCCCATTTTTTCCTGTTTGTCCCTTTTATCTTGTCAATTTAACAAATCAACAACAATAATATTTTTCATGGTCTATACTCTAATTTAGACGTAAAAATAGTGTCCTCAATTAGTACTTTTGAGCTCAATACCTTAACACTAAATTTAAGTGCTTTTTTTCAAGGTGTATGTGCATTCATTTTGTTTAATGCTTGTACTTTTGCAGTTCATCATCTCCAGTATTAGGTGTTTGTGTAGTAAACAGTAGAATCCTTGGCTCCTCAATGCTTTGTTTGACTTCAGACATGGAATGTATTGTTAGACCTTTGAGGTAAGCAGGAAAGTGATCACAAATTAAGTAAGTAGAACAGAGGTTATAGATTTTACATGTGAACAAGAGTCATCTTAAAGACCTGTAGAAGGACCAGAATTCCTCTAGTCATTAATTCAGTCATTATTTTCACTTTTTTACTTTGCTCTGCTTAATTAAATATTGCTGCTGAGTCAAAGTTGGTATAAGAGCTGATGTTTTCCTATGTTTGTCTGTAGTCTACTTAGCAGGGTGCCTTCTCCTCCAACTATAGAAACAGACCAAGAGAAAAGTTATGAAAGGTGACAGCTCGATGTATCTTCCTTGTTTATTTTGTATTGTGACTATAATGAGGAACTCATGAGTTTTAAAGATCCATATGTAACTTTCGTTTAGAGTGAAAAGCCCTAGTGGATTATTATTTAGTAATGATTGTTCAGTTTCAATTTTGGTTCAAATTTATATTTTCCTTTGTTTCAAACCTGTCATTTGGAAGTGCCATGGTAACAGGAGTCACCTCAACAACAGTCACCATGACTGCAGTCATCATGACAGATGTTACTATGATTGCAGTCATCAAGTTACTATGCATGACAGCAGTCACCTGCTACTAATATGACCAAAGTTAATAATAAAAGTTAATAATAATTATAATAATGGCATTATTCAAAAGGATCCACGAGGTGGCTCTTCCTCTGTTGAACCTATTTAACTATCAAGCCGAAAAAAAAAAAAAATTACAAGTACTTAAAAGTAGGAACATCAAAAGTTCAAGACTTGTATGCCATGTTATGTGGGTTTATCTAGTTTTTTTTATCTCATCCTTACTGTGATAGCTTTTTGTCCCACTACGTTTTCCCCTATCCTTTAAAATCGTGAAACACTTCCACAGTCTTCTTTGATGAGGAATGCAGTCTTGAACTCTAATCTAAAAATTTAAAATTTTACTAAACTTTTTACTAAAATACATTACAGATATATGAACCTATATTACTTTTAATGACAATAATATATTTTAATAATATTAATTCCCTGGGCAGTTTTCATGCCAACAATTAATAGATTTTTGTTTTCTTTTTTTTAACAGTGCTGGCTTTTCACCAATAAGACAATTGAATGTAGGATTATTTAGAACCCAGATTCAACAGATTTTAACAAGAAACACATCAACACCCCTGTTAAGGTGGGTTCATGATTTGTGAATAGCATAGCTGTTTGGAAATATAAGCGAGGTCATGGCTAAAAGGAATTAATTTGAATTTCAGAGTGCATTTTATATAATAATATTATACAAAGAAAAATGAGATTGCAGCAGCTAGCTATAGCTAGCTGTGGATAACTACAGGTTGCACAAGAAAACACATTTCTGGGATGACATAAAGAATTTTGCAAAAGGAATGAATGAATTAGGTTAACAATGAGATATTACCCACTGCATCTCTCTCATCAAGTCTATGCACTTCTTAACTTAGTATATGGTGAATATTTTCATAATCCTGGAGGTCACTTTATGGGGATACTCCAGAAATATGTCACAGGGAAATGCAAATAATGGAGTCATAACTTGAAACTTAAAATAGTGGTACTTCCTGGAATCTCCCAGTCACCATAAATGAAAATCCGGAGGAGCCCCCCTTCCCTTCTCCCCCCAGGGAGGACTTTACACACAAGTGATTTCTCAGTAAAGATCAGTTATTCCTCTATGGTGTAGCCTACTACAATAAGTAATAGTGCAGCCATGCAGTAAGTGATGCAAAACATGTGCACACACCTTAACTTACGAAGAACGTGCACACACTTGGCTTTTTTTTGTTTTCACAATGTCTTGTCTATCTGAGAGCCAGCTGGCACAGGCTGACTATAGTGTCGTTTCTTCCTAAGTAGACAAGAGCAGGAAAGTTAAATGTATCTACCACCGACTCAACAGTCAGACCTAAATTGTCTTCACTGTGAAAGCCACGGTTTATTCCACTTAGATTTTTTATTCTTTGTAGAGCTGGTGAGGAGTCAGAAAAGCTTTCACAGGAGGACTGTTTTCAGTTGCTTATTCAAGCACAAGAAATTTTAAGGAAAGAGTACATTCAGAAACAGAACAAAGCCAGGGAAGAAATAGAAAAAAGGTAAGGGCATTTTAATAATTTTTAGACCTTTGTTTCTAAACTTTTAAAATAATTTAACAACAGAGACTTGACAGGGGTGAGATTAAAATCTTAACAAAAAACGGGTTCCCTGTTACTAGTAACTAGTACCTAGCCCAAAGCAGTTGCACAGTACTACCATCCTTTTTTTTTACAAACATTACTTCATATGGGCATATTTTACTTGCCCATTGGACCAGGCACTTGTGATTAAAACATGCTAGCCCATGCCAATGGGTTGCTCCATTAGCCTAGGCTACTAGATGGCACAGCTTAAGTATTTAACCAACATACACTGCCCTGCTCCTACCAAGGTGACAGCCACAAAAATTAAAACTGAGCAACAGAAGCCCTTCATGTATCATTATGGTTTTATAACATTTGAATGTAACACTTTTTAAACAGTCCTTAATGAATGTAAAACATTTTGAACAGTCGTTTACATTTAAGTTATTGCAGGAACTATATGAGACCTTATTTCCTCAGCTTTGAACATTTTGTATATATTGTAGATTTCCACTATAAACTAATATTTATTTTATGGTAGGTTTTCTCTCTTTATGTTGTAATTCTTTTCACAGTAGTTAGTATCTATTTATAGAAAGCGCTCCCCAGAAAGATAATAAAAATTATGTATGTATGTATGTACGTATATATATGGGTATGGTGGAACTCAAAAATGACTTAAAAGAGTTTTTTCATTTTAGATTGTAAGATTAACCCTAGAAATGGTGGGAACATCAAAAAGAGTCATAGTACTCTCTATCATTTTGATAAAGCTATGTAATCAAGTGCTTGCAATGTCTAATTTAAAATAATTTAAATTGTTTTCTCCTCAGAATTTCCATACTTAAGGATCAAAAGGAGAAACAGAAGCAACACTTGGATAAACTGCAGAACACCAGTGAAGAGCTCACAGAACAAACAGAAATGCTTGGAGAGAAACTGGTGGATGTGTCTGAAAATTATCATAAACTTCTGGGCAGGTACCTCTAATTCACATACAAATTCTCCAGACTGGTCTACATTTATTTTTTAAAGAATTAGTTGAGAAAATTTGATCAAAGATGAAAGCACTTTCCGTCTGGCGATCATTGTATGAATTGTCAGAATTTGTTAATGGATATTGTCCGGAGAAAATTGACATTGGTCACTGTTAGGCCTTAAATGGTTCAAGTTTGGAATAGACCTTGTCACAGGTTTCAGTTCCATCTTGATGAGTAGGCAAATGTGTGAGAAATTACAGTGTTTGTATCAGAATCTTATGTCGAATAATTTCCGTAGAACAGCTGTTCTGAAAAAAATGTGAATATTTGTAAACTGATGCTTCACTCCCAAGGATTCTACTGAAAAAATTGAGGGCGTTACATGCGTTAGAAGACCTAGAACCACTTTTTTAAATTTTCTATACATTTGTCTGTAAGAAAGTCCCAGGAAAAATATTACAGACAAACAAATGGAAAATCTAAAGCAAGCATCTGGAGAAATTTAAGCACAGGTACACCTCAAAAGTTTTTTTAGTACAATCCTTTGTTTTGTAGTTTTAGTTTACAAGTCATATTTTTTTCAAGAACAGCTGTTTTATGGAAATTATTCGACATAAGATTCTCATACAAACACTGTAATTTCTCACATGTTTGCCTACTCGTCAAGATGGTGTCGAAAACCGTGACAAGGTCTATTTTTAAAGCATTTGCTCCCCTCCTCTAATTTTAGAATTGTATAATAATAATCATTCCTTTCATCTTCCGATAATTATTATAGGAAGATGAATGGAAAGATTTGGGCAACCTTGCAGCTCTTGTAAGACCTCACAGGATTGGTTAGGAAAAGAATGAACAATCAAAGTTAACAATAGAGCTTAGCCCTAAAACGAAACAGCTACGACCCTTAGTGGCCCACTTAAATTAGGGGTTCTGACGAGCTGCAAGCCTACTGAAAGATTTACAATGTATGCTACATTGATTGTTAAGGTTAAGGAGTGGAAAAACTCTTTGCATTTTATCTTCACAGACTTGAAGGTCTATACAAATACATACACAATGGTATCTCTGTGTTGTCTCTTGCTGAGACTAACATGAAAAAAGAGTTGGAAGAGATTGAAACATTTTTAAAATTCCACAAAGAATCACTGCAACAAGTGAGGATTTTCATGAGTGATCAAGTTTTTGATTATAATAATCATAATATTTTTAGTAATGTCATGATAGTAATGATACAGTTAGTAGCAATATAACAATCATGTATAATCATGCTAACCTCAAGATAAACACTCACAAGCTTTAATACTCCCACAGGCTTTTCAAGTAAACTCCCACTAGTTTTGAAAACAGTGACACTTGCTATTTGAGAGGAGTGTTGTGCCAAACGCCACTTACAGGGCACTTACTGAGGTATCCTTCTTATCAAGGTGTCTGTTAAGAGAGAGTCAACTGTTTTAGAATATTATGTTGAAACCCTGTTGGATACACGTGGGACCATGACAAGGATAGCCTTCCTTAGATTTTTGTGATGGAGCACTGCATGACTATTGATTTATGTTTATTCTCACTTGTTACAGATTAAAGCCAAAAGGTCATATTCATTGAGAAAGAGTCCAAGAAAATCAATGTCACCCTCAAAGTTACCAGTAGTCAGCACTTCGCAGCAAAGGAGCATTAAAAAAATAATGACAGAAGAGTAAGTTAAATTAATATCAACAATGATTATAGACTTCAGCTTATCTTTGACTTAGACTTGTCGTCCATTTATCAAATGAGAGGGGTAGTGTTGACAAGTGGTTAAAGCTTCAGACGTGTGATCCAGTGGTCTCAGGATCCAAGCTTTAATCCTGTCCTTACCTCTCGTAACCTCTAGTTTATAACATATTTACATAACCTTACTCCTTTGGTACAATTATATTTGCAGGCTGTGTATGTATTTATTTTGTAACTAAGATTTGGAAAATAAGAAAGTTTTTGTATTTTTACATGTTTTAGGAATGATATGATCACAGACCTTGTAAATCAAGTCAAAGAACTCAAAGTGCAAGTTGGGTTGTAGGTCTATGCTATCTGTACATTAAAAAAAGAGAGTAATATTCCTTTTGGATTACTCAACATGGAAAGCTATTTCATAAGCTGATGCAAATTTTGCATCTGAAAATCTGGCCTGCGTGGCAGGTACTTACAGATGAAGAGGAACAGGAAAAAATGGGCATCCCCAAGAATGTGAAGGATACTTTTATTAAATATAACCTTCTTTGGCTTTTCCCTTCTATTTCAACTACTTACCTAGCCTCCCTGCAGACGTCCTTTGGGGTTCGTTTGTCACGCATTCATTTAATGAATGCGTGACAAACGAACCCCAAAGGACGTCTGCGGGGAGGCTACTACTTACCTAACGGTCTTTTTACAATGCTAATCTTGATTTTGACTCTCAGCAAACTGTGGTACATGTAGTCAAATGAGGCCATGAAACTAAAAGTGATTCATCTGATGTTCAGATACTGAGAAGTCTCCCTTGGAGCCGTTTTTGCCTTGGGAGACCAGATACTGAAAAGTGAGTTGAAAATATGAGACACAGCCAAGTTCTATGATACCACCTACTGAGTCTGATTATTATAGTTTCTAAACTGAACAATATTTCTTGGAGATAATCTAAATCACACAGGAAAATATAGGCTGAAAACACCTAATTTGGAGAGCTCATACAGAGCTCCCGTAAAAGTATGATAAGAGTCTCATGTAACATATTAAGCATGAGACACCTTGTATCATCACCAGATAAATCACTGAGAAGAGAGTTGAAAATATGAAGCGCAGTGGAGTATTTTTTTTACGAACGTTTAGACTTGAAGACATGAGAATTGATCACAGGTTAGCAGGAACAGTCGACTCTCTCTTAATGGACACCTCTATAAGAGAGACACCTCGGTAAAATGGACACCTAGAGTTGTTCCCTGCCTTTTTTTACTCCTGAACCTATCTTTGACTCTCCATAGGACAGGTGTCTCTCTTAGACGGACACTTAGTGCTGGTCCTGAAGGTGTGCATCTTAGAGAATGTTGACTGTATTACATGATTCTCTAGTTAAATGAAGACTAGATAGATACCACTGTCTTGTTAGCCAGGGTAGTTTTAGCTAAGGAAGAGAAGAGCAGGAGATGCAAGAGTGTGAACCAAAGAATGAGGAATCATTATACATTTCTGGGAAACTGCCCACCTACTCCTCCCCTAAACCAATGTTAACACTTAGGGCAAAATGTTGACTTAGGGGAGGGGTAGGTGGGCAGTTACCCAGAACCGTATAACGATCCAAAATGAGAGTGGGGAGAAGGGCTCCTGATTTAAATTTTTTTGCTCCTTTTTACCCTATGTCCTTACACATCTCTTACCTTTCTCCCAGTTGTCTAAAATGAAAAGGGAACGACTGCTATGTAGGATAACCTCTGATGTGCTCTTAAACTAATGCCAGCTCATGAAAAAAAAAAGAAAGCTATTCTCATGGCACATTATAATGTGCGCATCTCGCAACATGCTTGCATTCTTCTCATCCCAAGAGTTCTTGGCAATTGGGGTCAATTACGATCCTTTGTGGCCTTCTTGCTTAAATTTGGCCATCGCAGTGTGAAGTCTTGCAGTTTGACAGGATCACCAAACCTTGCTGCATATCTTTGCCAAGGCAGTGGCAGGTTTGTCACATAACTTATTTTGCCGCGATGAGACAATAGATATGCAGTGAGGATAATTATTACCAGTGCCACTTGTGTTTCATCATACGGTAAATTAAATTGGAAAGTAGCGGTACATAACGTTTTGATGTAAAGAGTGTTACAGTATGTATTAACTATCAAGAACTGTTTTATTAAACATTATTTTGTTTTGTACATTATTTTTGCCCACTGATTTTAGTCTCCACAACAATAGCAATACTTGAGTGTGATGGAACCTTTTAAAATAACCTGTGAGCAAGCTCTTGCTTGGTTCCTGTACAGCATAATTATTTCCAGGCCTACTTAGTCAATGCATTTTGGTGATGCATCCAAGGCGAAAACCTGCTTGGACCATGTGACCCGAAACGCATAGGCTGTGCATAATAATGAGGCCTAGGGACTAGACAAAGCAAGCTCTTCACAGGCCACTTAAAAAAATACCATAATATTCTCAAATGGGCAGTTTGACAATATTATGGTATTTTTCAAAGCTGTCTATTAATTTGGAAATCATGAGAGTCAGAGGTTACACCCAAGTGAGTGGCCAAAGTGGAGGGCTTGCTTGTAGGCTACACAACCAACAAGAGAAGTGAATCCTACATACTGGCCACCTCTTCCCCTCTCTGATACTTGGGATCTGAACACTTATTATTTTTACTGGGAATGACACTTTGTCATGAAGATACAGTTTTAAAAGGAACCTTGCCCCCCATGACTAAGTTTGGAGGTAATTTGTCCATATCAATAGATTTAAATGTTCTAGTATCTTTGGGCTTGGCTGTTGTGTAGTAATGAATAATGTCCTGAACACTGCTCATTGTGTTTAACTGACAATTGGGAACCAGGAGTCCAAACTCTTGGTGACATCTGCTGAGAACCTGATGGGAAAAAAATTGGGTGTCAAATAATATGACAAAATTATATTAAAAAACACAAAAATATAAAAATACTGTGTTGTTTTTAAAAAACTTGACACAATGCAACAGAATTGCCTCCACCGCAGCAAATAGGGTGCAAAACGCTGCTATTGTTGTAAGAAAGACAATGGCCCATAGACTCCGGGTTGCATTTTGCAGGATTAAGATTCATACATATAACCGCATTATTGGATACAGCACATCACTGGATTGACAACAAAATTCAACCATCATTGATAGCAAAAATCTAGTATCCTGATCCTGATATCATGCAAACTTGGCATCTGCTGCTCAGGAAGTACTAACTCATTTGCCATAACAGAATATCATATCAGACGTAATTTTACCCCTTGAGGTACAGTATACCATAATTTAAAACCAAGTTTTGGGCGACTCTTCCCTTTAGGTGGATCATCATTTCAAATTGCCTTGTATTTGCTTGTGACAAAAAAAAGAAAGATGATTCACTTAGGGCATTATTCAGCCACTCATATCTTTTTATTAATATTTTATTATATCCAGTGGAACCTTGTTAATTTGGTCGCCAATGGGCCAAAAAAAAACTGGCTGACGGTATTAGCAAGGGTTTTTTTACAAGAAAAATAATGTCTGGCTGGGCGGCCAAAAAAAGTGGCCGTAATAACGAGGTGACCGTGAGGCGGGGTTCCATTGTATACCATAAATCCTCTATTAAGCTCCCCAGGGGGCTTATATATTTCAAGCCAAATGAGGCAGGGGGCGGGGGGAATAAGCTCAAGTACAAGAAGGTTGGAGTTCATGCAGCCGAGGATCAGAATCAAATCCAAACTTCCAGTTGCAAAATAAACCATCCCAGATCAGTCCACACAAAGTTTTACAGTTGTGATTGATTAATACAGTCTATCATTAATTTTATTAGTGAAGAATAATAATAGGGGAGGGGAAGGAGGGGGGTGCTTAATAAAGAGGGGAGGCTTATTAACATTCTTCCCCTGAAAAGGGGGGACTTATCAGAGGGTGGGGGCTTATTTGAAACGGGCAACGATTTTAAGGCTGCAGTGTCTAGATTTCAGATTACCAGAACAAGGTTGAATAAAGTTAAATAATCCAGCAGGAGTGCTTTAACAAGTTTAAACATTAGGCACCACCTGGTGTTTAAAACCTTACTGAACACAAACTGTTAGTTTACAGCTTTGGCTGTTGTAGATCTATTCATTCTTGCACCAATATTTACTTTAAGATTATTTTTGCCAATGAAATAAAGCTTAGCCGTGAAGATAGCAGATAAAAAGATATGCACTAAACTTTAATTTGCTTTGTATTTTCCTCATCAAAAATATTAGTCTTTGGGTATTATTTAATAGACCTTTAGTCTCACCTTGTACTTAACCACCAGGCCACTAACTGATTGACTTTCCCACTGATCACGTGTTACATCAGGTACCACTTCAGACACAATGTCTTGAAGTGTATCCAGAATTTCACGTGTTTCCATGCTGTATATTAATGGCTCTTCAACCTTGGCCAGCTGATAATAACTGAGATATTTTAAACAGTATGATAAATAGTAACAACAAAAGATGCTTGGTTGCTGCAACTAGCCTGTAGGTTATTGAGTCAGGGCAAGATAGCAACTAAGGGTATTTTGACAGAAGTGTGAGACTAAGATAACAACTAAATGACTACAATAACAATAATTTACTACAGTATAAATAATGCTATAGACAAGCAGTAAGCAGTTGAAATGTAGCAATCTACATCACACATGACTACATCACGAATTCCAGGTAAGAATCCTGGAATAAAAACTACGATAAAGAAACAAACATTGTTTCCAACAACTCCTGCAGGATTTGCAGAATTGATTTGAAAATCAGAGGCTGATCTAACATGACTGTTTTAGACATAAGATTATCATCAGTTCTGTCAAGATCCGATGTAGATGATACCATGAGGTTATCGCAGATAATCTGCCAGAAGTGCGAGTGGGAAGTTTTGAAATTTTGAATGGGAAAAATTCAGGGGGAGGCCCTAAGAAATCAGTTGGCAGATTACCACTTGAAACGACAGAAGCACTGCACGAATGATTCTCTGGTGTCGTGTCTCGACCAAGAGAAAAAAAAATTGGCTTTGCCTAAGCCGCTTAAGCCTATCAGAAGAACACTGATTCCAAAGAAAACAACTGAAAAGGTATGGAACATTAAACAAATCAATCAAATTAATTTTATTTGCATGTTTGTAAAAATTTCAACCAATCAACACCCAAGGGTCAGATCCTGACCATGTTGTCTGCTTGAAAGTGAGATTCGCGGCTTCACTACTCGCTCCCTCTTTTGCAGAGAAAATTTTTAAGAAAAAACCTCTGGGACTAGGGTACTTTTCACCTGATGAGAGAGCAGGTAATCTGAGCCAAACGTTTTCAAATGGTAAGTGCACAGAACACAAGGTCAACAAACCTTCAAAAAAGAAAATTGGGTGATTTGTGGGGTAAAATTTCTGTTCAGTGGTTGTTTTCATCCAATCAAGGAAAGCATATCAGAAGTTCTCCAGGGGGGATCTGAAAGTGATTGGAGCTTTCAAGGCAAATTTGAGGCTGTTTTCCTTCAGTAGATCTGCCTCTCAACTCCCTTATGTTGTGGAATGATATTTGGAGAGGAAAACATAAACCTACAACTCGTTGGAATTGCTCTGAAACAGACCACAATTGCACAAAAACACAATTACAGTGGAACCACGATTCAGCGTAGCGCCAAGGGACTGGCCAAATACGTTCACTTAAACAAGGTTTTGTTATATCGAGGTTCTTTTCCATATATTTTGCTTTAACTGGGGCACAGAATACCATTTGTTATATCAAGGACTTCCTTATAGAGGTGCGTTATATTAAGGTTCAACTGTACTACACAAACGAGGCAAAGCAAGTCATTGCTATCAAATTTCCTTCCCATATGTTACGTTGATTGTTACATTCCTATACAAACTCTAACTTTTATGTGATTAGCAATGACCCCCAAGGAGCTTGGGCTCCCTGTGCACAGGCAGGTGCCCTCAAAAACATACGATCACTTGTGGACATAATAGACGACCTATCACTACTGACTAACTACATGAGAAATTCTCTCATTTACCCTATTGAATGCTGAACATAGTCATATCAGTTAGAACAGTAATTTAACAGGCTAAGTTCTGTTTTTATGGTGACCCAGGTGAACATGCAGTATCCTCACCTGTCCATGGTTTCCTCGCTTTCTTCTTGCGGCGCTCCTTCGCCTAAGACAAATTTCTTCATTCTGTCAAAAATACGCTCTGTTTTCCTCACATCGGTGCTGAGATACAGCTTCAAAACTGGCTGCGTAACTCGTTTTAGCGTAGCAAGCCTCCACAACATTGTGGAAGTTACAGACGCCATGTTGGTTTGTGCGATTTACCTATCATGCAATTCGCTAACTTAGTGCGCGCGGGCGCGACGCGCGCTTGTTTTTCGAAAGGAGAGACGAGCATCTCCAAACCAGCGCCCCCCCCACCCCCCCCTTCTCCAAACTTATTATTTCACCATCTTCCAACCTTTAGAATTCAAACAGTCTAAGTCAATAAATATATAGCTGTTTCAACGTAGGTGATACTTGGAGATTGCTAACGACACAGTGTTTGTTTCTTTGTTTAACTCTTCTCTATAGTGACATTTTTTTTGGACGTTCTTTATACCACGCGAGACGAAGCAGCTAACCAAGAGAGATAGCAGGTCACTTTAGCCTGAATCTAGAAATCCCCTATAGCTAATTCCTTGGCTTTCGTCTCTTAAGGACATGAAATAGGAGACCCGCAGGAAGGCTACTTATAAAGTAACCAGAGTAATGGCTCAAATCAAGAAGGAATTCAATTTACATTCGTATAAGTCTTTGTCCTTTAGCTCTCTGTCCAGGTTCTACAAATATGGGGTAGTAACATTGTTGCTGTAAGAAAGGGCACTTTTCATTTCATTTTTGTTGTCCGGTAACTTTAACGCACATACAAAATACCGAAAATAGTGTTGTTATCCTTTTATGATCTTCCTCGGCCCCTACTTCTCTGGAACTTTTCTTTAAAAAAAACTTGTTTCATTGAAATTTTAATTAAATTTTCGCAGCGATTAATCGGCTCCTCATTCACCTCGTTAAGTTGTTTTGTCACGTGAGAAAGGCCTATGGGGCAATTTTCACTAATTTGACTGTTACGAAATATGTAACTGAAACGCCATTTTCAAACACTAGTCAAAATATGTCTGAAAAAAAAGTAAAAAATGCGTGACAACCTTCCTTGTGTGACATTCGATGTCATCCAGCTGTCACAGTTCATCACAAGCCAATCACATTTGCCAAGGTCCCTTGTTAATAATCGTGTTTGGCGTATAAATTATTTTGCAAAACCTGACTCTAGTCTTCTCAGTCGTTGACCGGTCTATACACATGTCTCAGTAAATTAAATTATTTTTTTTCCTCCTATGCAGCAATCTCACCATGAAGGCAAAAATGAAGCCTGTAGCCTTCTCTTAAAAAGTACGAGTTGTCGGCGATAGAAAGTACTGATTTTCACGATGTTATTCCACGCAGAAGATCAGATACTTTTAGATGTACAATTTCACGTACGAGTCGATGAAGCCGGTGCTAACAGTCAAGCATGGCTTTCCCTTTTTCTGAGCATCAACACTCTTTTTAGTGTGTTATTTATTATCGTCGTAACAAAACTGGACGTTCTTCGATCCTGGAAAATCAGAAGCGTGGAAATGAAAATAAAAGTCAGCACTAAACGAGGTAAGACAATTCAAGTTTAATTTAGTAAACTGCAACACACCCCGTAGGTCCAAAGCTCAGTTCCGGACTATAGCTGGTCCAGACGCGATCGATCAAACGATGTCTCGTTGATGATCTCTATTTTACTCCTTCAGAGATTTACAGAGGAAAAATTTCCGACAATTTTAAGGGAAGACCTTGGCAAATGTACTTTATGGACTTCATAGCGGCTATGAAATCTTTCATACACAATGCCAATCCCTTTTTAGCGTTCGGCACATGCAAATTTAGAATCATACGATATCTTTCCGGTTTTCCCATTGGTCTATCTCATTTATCGTGATAACGAAAACAAAAATGTAAATATTTTAAAAGATAGTTCAAAATCTGCCATTATTATTGTAAGATCAAGCAAAACAGCTGCAAAACTATGCAGAGTTTGGTTTCAATGGCGTCGCCTGTTAAAGAAAGATTAACAGAGAGACTGATCATCGAAAGCTCGCTTCAAAATAACGACGATAACTTTATAAATTAATTATTTAACAGTTCAGATAAGTTTGCTCGTGAGGATATGGCTTGTCGGTCCCTGCAGGACTTCCGGTTTGGGAGAAGTCAGGCTAGCAACATATCAGGCATTTATCCGACGCGAAAACACCATAAAATATATGATTACGTAACTTTAATTGTTTTTGGAAACAAAACCTTGAAATCGATGGGAAAGTACGTCATGCATCAACAATCCTGCGCGAAGATATTGAATACCAAATAAGCGGTATCAACTGCGGTTCCGGGAGAATGTTTCCTTTGCCACCCTAGGCTTACAGAGCGGAAATAGCTCAAGCCGTGATCGTATGATCAAAACTTAGTTCTGCCGGTTGTACTTTGTTCATCTTCTTGCACTTTGAACTCTCCAGAGATGCATCTTATTGAATGCTAAATGTGTTTTGCATTTTTGGCAAAAGTCATTGTCGATCAAAAGCTTGTTATTATATTGGAACAGGTAAAACCCAGACAAAACAACAGTGACAAGCGTTTAAGTTTCGGGGGTTACTCCCTATAACGGCTTATACGTGGAGGCTCCGCCCGAAAGGGGTACCTATTTCAGACGTTAGGATATGCCATATGAATGGGAGCGGATTTCACAAGTTGATCGAAGTATTTAAAAGAATAGGAAAATCTGTCATGTTTTAAGGCCCAAAAGGGCTAAAAGATACATTTCATGGCTGTAAAATATGTCGAGAAAACGGCCTGGTCTTGAGATTTACTCATATTCAAACGACAGTGGATTTAAAGCAGTTATTAAAAGGAGTGGAAAGTTATAAATTACTTGGTATATGAAAAGAGGTACTATTTGTCAGTAGAAGGAAAGGTAGGGGTACCTTTTCTGTCAAAAATGTTCTTTAAAAAGGGGTTAGACCTCGGGCCATGAGCCTGTCGGGGCGTAGCCCCTCCTTTTAAAATTTGTTGAGTACCCTTCCCCCCCGGGAAGGCGTTTAAGTAAGCACAAGGAAGCAAGAGACCATGAAATGGCTTGGAATGTTGAATGTAAAAACTTTTACATAGTCCCTTAACCGCTATGTACTGATCCCCTATTGAAGGCCTTTAAAATTTACAATGAAGAAAGACTACAAATATACCTCGCGCCACTTTATTTTCGGGGGTTGCAATATTTGGGGTTTCTTTACACGATGCGATAACACGGAGTCCCGCGTAAATTGAATCACCGAACCCAGACAGTCTAAATCCCCCAGGATTCCCGATACAGAGGAGTAATATCTAGGTCTTTTATCTAAATTGTAGGTCTTGATTGACAAGTCCCTCTGCAGCGTGGGCATACAGCTTTCGAAAGGCTTTGTCGCATGTTGTTTCACCTGAATTTTGACTTCGAATAGCCGCCCAGATGCATGTTTAAAATTTAGGCTAAAAAGAGAGGCGCGTATTGGAAGGGTGGAAGGGGGCGTTAACTTTATTTTGGCTAAGCGCAGAGTCAATATTAATATGTTACGTTTGTGAAACAAGTAGTTGGTAATCAAGCGCACCGTAGTGCCATTAAACGTTTTACACTCCTCATTACAGTCTGTTCTGTAGATTAGTCACGTGCTAAAGCATGTGCAAAATCAGGAGAGAATATTCTCAGTTATCGGGAGTCGGCTCCTGCAATTATTTTTAAAATAAATTCGCTCATTTATATCTTGCGGGATGCACAAAAATGGTTTATTAAATGTAATCGATGCTATAATGAGTCATTACTGCGGTATTTTAAAAAAAATTTTAGCTACATTTGCATTAGAAAAGCAGCAAATTACATCCATCATAGGCGCTGTTAAACACTTCGATAAAATAGTGGGCAATTTTTGCTCACCCAAATTTATCCTAGGTAACCTAGAAATATATGGAAAAGAACCTCGATATAGCGAAACATCCTCATTGTGAACATATTTTGCCAGTCCCTTGGTCCTTCTTTATATCGAGATTTGAGTTAATCTATGCAGTTTGTTTCAGTTGCGATAATTTTTCAAGAGAGGATACCCTGATATTTAAAAATATTTTCTAAAAATTATTTCCGCCTGTGCCCCAGAGGATAAACAGACCAATGCTAAGCTCGGTCAACAACGGAAGCTAAACCAATCAAATCTTTCCATGGAAAGCTAGAAACATACTGGAAAAATTACTATTTTAAAAATCTTACAAAAAAGACAGAAGAAAAAATCAAGCCCTGCGAATCTTGTCAAGATGATTTCAGTGCATAATGGAAAAATATATATCGAACGTAAACAGTTTTAAAAAGCGGAAGGAGTAGCCCCTGTTACTCACTACCGACGGACCCACCGACGGGGTAAAATGCCACAAGCCCACTCCACCCGCCTGAGAAAAAAAGTCTTCCCATAGTTCATCGCGCCCGCGAGTCGAGGTTGTTCCATGAAATATATTGTTGCATCATTTTCAAGCTCTTTTGGCGACCTTGTTCCCATTTTAACGTTAATTCTTAGTGAAAGGATCGACGAAGAAAAATTCCGAAATCCAATTTTAACCATGTATTGCATTTTACGTGGATCTACAAGGGTAATTTTGTACCGTTCGTCGTGCGCGCGATCTCCTCTTGTTGTAAAGTCGAATGTCGTCCCAGAACATTCGCCTATTCTCTACAGCAAGTTTTCTGTGCTTGGAATATATCCTTTGCTTTCACGTAAATATCATACAGCCAGAGGTGAGCTTTTCTGAAACCCAGCGCGAAGCTCAAATTGTACCTATTACCCAACGGTCCGTCTAGCTGTCACGCGATCATCATAGACAGTTTTAATGACGACCCGAACTTGTTTTGAAGGTTTATTGGCTTGAAAACTGCTGTAGATAATCTCACGATTAGTCATTCGCCTTCCCGATTTTAGTTGGATTTGTAGCAGATGATTATTTCTCTTGTTTATTGAAGCTCACAAGTACATGATCCTTTCCTCTTTACCTTAGGTGCCCAGAGACTTGGGACAGCCGTGAGAAGCTATTTGGGGAACTTGCGATGGTTTAGTATTCCAGCAAGTGTGGGCTTTGCTTATATTTGTTATCAGCAGTTCTGGCATGTTAAGGAAAGAGAAGAAAGAAGACTCAAATCTGGTGAATTGGTTGCTCAGTGGCAGGTAAGGGATGATTGCGTGACTTTTTTGTGTTGTCACGCAACATATCAATACATTTTTTTTAGAAGAAAGCCTAATTTTGGGGTTGAGGCTGAGGTTGAACATTCTTAGTTTTCTTTTTGTGATTTTAGCCTGAAAATGTTCTTAACATATCCATAAAGGAAAGACATTTTTAGCTATAGGCAGAGTTGTTCTTCAGTGGATCATGCAATAAGAAAACCACATTGCTGATTTTAACTAAGTATTTGAGTCAATTGTCCTGTTAGACTAAAGTTTCATTTCTTTTAGCATTATTTGTACTAGCCTAAAGAAATGAGGTGACTCTCAGCCTGGGTGTGTTTTTAGTGTGTTCTTAAAATTTTGTATTTAAACATTAATTTAAAAGGAGGTTTTTGGTACAAAAAAATGAGTGTTTATTCTACACTGTACACCCTCATAAAATTTTCTTCCGTTGAATATGTGGATTCTCTTTTTGTTTTCAGGTTGCCTTAATGAAGAAGCTACCAACAAGAGCTTTTTCTCGTGTATGGGGTAAATTTTGTGACATGGATTTACCCCTTTGGTTGCGTAAACCTGTCATTGGAACATTTTCGTGGTATTTTTCCTGTAATGTTGCTGAAGCTGTGGAAGAAGAAATTATTAATTATCCAAGCCTGGGAGCTTTCTTTAGGAGACAACTTAAACCTAACACTAGAAAGATCTGCGAGGCTAGTTCTATTGTAAGTATACTTGAAGCTACATTCAAGTCAACGTGAGTCCGCCTATCACCCCCAACCCCACAAAAGTTTTCTAAAAGCCCTATTTCAGGCTAAAAGAAGTACCCCACTCTGTGGTTAAGTCAAAAGGTATATTGTTCAAGATTAAAAGTGAAGCTAAATGTTGCAAATATATGTGTTTGAAATTAACAAATAAATTAGCATGTCAGAAAACACCCTATTGGTACATGTATGTCGTGTCCTTCTACACAGGGGCACTTCACAGGCATGCAGCACACTTTTTTGCAGATTCCTTTGCCCTCAATGCACGACATAAGTTGTCAAACATGATCAGAATGGCAACTATTGTTTTATCAGTAGCAACTGTCCAGACTTCAATTTCATTGGAAATATCCATAGGGAGGCACAATTAACCTTTGAGACTTTTGGAGGTTTTAGTGTTAGATAAGGAGACAGTTGGTGTGCACATTTTTTTTATATTTCAAGTCAAACAGGTTTTTCAATTTCTGACCTCTTCCTTTGACCAACTTGGTAAATACCAAAAATGGTCCAATAAAACCAGTTTAGCATGCAATAGGTCTGTTCATCACCATGGTAACATTATTTTACTAATAATATTGACTACTTTTTTTTCCATTTTGTAAGGTCAGTCCAGCTGATGGGCGTGTTCTTCATTTTGGTGTAGTGGAAAGAGACATGGTAGAGCAAGTCAAAGGAATGACTTATTCAATGAAAACTTTCCTTGGACCTGACCAGCCATCTACTTCAACACTCAGGGAATTAGAAGTGAATGAGGATAAAAAGCTTTATCACTGTGTTATTTATCTTGGACCTGGTGACTACCATTCATTTCACTCTCCTAGTGAATGGAGTGTTTCCCTCAGAAGACATTTTCCAGGTTGGTTTTCATCTACATGTATGGAGTGCATGTCCATAGGGAAAATTTGAGAAAAGAATCAAATTTTTTTTTTATCAAGACCTGAGAGTTTGTCTGTTACTGGGGATCAAACCTAAGACTGTTGCGCTCCAGTCCATTCCTTTAGTAAGTTTACGCTACAAAGTGAAATGGAATACAATAGTCTTTCGTTCTTCCACCCATTTACACACCAAACAATAGTTCTTTAAGCTGCAATATCCACAGACAAGTTTTCCACATCAATTTCTATACACTTCATAAAAAATAAGTTGAGAGAATTTGTTAAAAGGTCTAAGCATATTCCCCTTGGTGATCATTTTATAAATTCTCGTAACCTTTCCTCTTGATTATGTATTGACATTGTTAGGAGTTAATTGATGTTGGTCATTTTTGGGACTTAAAGGCATAATGTATTAATACTTTGTAGTACTGTTATAGATAAAAGATATATAATAATATTATTTGTTACTTCTTTCCTTGACCCATACAGGAGACTTATTTTCCGTTCACCCAGGAATTGCAAGAATAATGTCTGGTTTGTTTAACCACAATGAACGTGTTGTTTTGAGTGGTACATGGAAGCATGGATTTTTTAGTTTTACTGCAGTTGGAGCTTACAATGTTGGATCTATTGTCCTTAAGTTCGATGAGGTAAAAAGTAACACACAAAATGCTTTTCAGTAAATTATTACAATAACTTCAATAGTGTTCTTATTAATTACCTTCAATCCTCTTTTATTACCATTATTACATGTAGGTAGTGTATTTTGTGTATTTGTAGTGGTTCTTTATTGATATAGATCAGATGTGGTAGTGTACATGTTATATTATTAATTAATAAAAAAAGAACTGAAAAAAATACTGTTTTTTTGGCAAGAGGGTATTTGTCATGTTTTTGCTGTTTCTTAGTATACATACATACATACATACTTTATTGTTACTTCCCCAAAGGGTCTTTTTAGGAAAATGATTAAATTAAATTTGATTAATGTTAATTCCTTAGTATCCCAATAAACACGTAATTTCCCTCATTTTGTTTTACAGTCAAACCCTGTTAATACGGACACTGAGGGGCCTGTAGAAAGTGTCCGTATTAAGTGGGTTGAATTTATAGATAATGTGAGGATTTTCTTTCCCCAAGGACAAAGCAAACTGTGTGTAATATAATGAGGTGTCTGTACTAAGGAGGTGTCCATAATTAAAGCGGCATTTGACTGTACTTCATATTTACAAATGACTTATCATAACATAATTTGTTGTCAGTGATTTAAGAAATGTGATTTTGAAATAAATTCTGCAAATATGGAAACATTTAAGACTTTATTTATGCTGCTGCGTAATTAATGTAGCACATGCATTGTTTTAAAGTATCCAATTTGTTAACTTTTGCAGGATTTGAAAACCAATAAACCAGAGAGATATACACCAGGCTTCTACGATGAACGCGGATATGTTGATGACAACACTAAAGGTGTATCTTTGAGACGTGGAGAGAGGATGGGAGCTTTTAACCTTGGATCAACTATTGTCTTGATATTTGAGGCACCAAAAGACTTCGAATTTCTTGTTCATCCTGGACAGAAACTGCAATATGGTGAACCAATTGGATCATCTCAAAAAGACACAGACTAGACTTGAAATTTATTTTGTCAAGTAAATTATTCCGATATCTGTAGATTACAATGCTGTAATATACTAAAGCCTGTGTATAGCAGATAACCACACGACCATTTCTGTGTTAAAGAAACTGTTGTTGGTTATGCACTTGTCGAGGCCCAGCTGTTAGGGTAAATTTCTGACAAGCAACATGGCCTTGAAACAGTGTAACCAGACAAAATGAAATGGCAAAAAACAACATGAAGATGGGTTTAATACTTACAGGGACATGGCCTACTCCTCAAAATGCAAAAAGACCTTATGTGATATTCAGAGAACAGGGGCAGATCTAGGGGGAGGGTGCAGGGGGTGCGCACCCCCCCCATCCCCTGAGATGACCTGCGGTTTTCTAATACAACTGGTATTCTGCAAAAAAAAAAAAAACACTATGTGGTTTATTGGTGTTGATGTAGAGCAAGAGACGAGTGCACCCCCACCTAAAAAAAATCCTGGATCTGCCCCTGGAGAACAGACATACATATCCCCTCTCCTAAAAGGGCAAGACCAATTAAGGTTTCTGGAAAACTGCTCACCTACCCCTCCCCTAAGCCAAAATTTTGCCCTAAGTGAGAAGTAAGTGTTAATGTTGGCTTAGGGGAGGGGTAGGTGGGCAGTTTCCCAGAAACCTAAATTGATGCAAAGGGCCGCACTGTGATATATGGTATTATTATTATGACATCTCACTTTTGCAAAAAACTACTTTGAGCCTTTAACAGGCTTGTTCTATAGAAAATTTGGGAAGGAAAGGTTGAATTTACTGAGGATCATGTCTGCTTGATACATTGGTGATTCCATCTTATGGGGTTCTGATTAATACACTGTTGTCAAATTTAGCCTGCGGGCAAGCTCTCGGGGGTTCTCTGGTGGCATTTGCCCCACTGTTAGAGCACCCCTTGCTTGCAGGCTGTGCCGATTAATACTGGTTTGTTTTCCAGAAAAAAATGGGAAGAAATAGTTTGAGACTATCAGAGGCTGGTGTCACCAAATACCAATTTTCACTGGATATTAAACTGATATATTTTTGTTATGAATAGAGTTATTCCAATATTCTCCCATAAAATCTCCGCCGCACTTGATCGCTGCATGTGAGAAAGTACCTCGGATACCCAGGGTACCATCCATGTTCCTTGAAAACAAAATCAATGATGTTATGATGACTAAAATTGAAAACTTTTTGTGCGAGTTGACAGTCTTGTACTGGCCTGGCTCAGTCCTGATGAAGGACTTGTTAACCTGTATAAAGGTAATTTAACAGATAAGGATGTTATTTATTGTAAATAAAATCACATAAATGGGGATATTTGTGATTTGGCTGAGGTGTACACAAAATTTTATTTTTTTAATGAGATGTGAAAAATTTAGACCAGCGGCTGGAGAACATTCAATCCTTTTGTGGTGAAATGAGCCTCAACCATAGCTCAGTAGTTTTTCTGGAAAAATAAGTAATAACTATATGGAAAAAATCCTTACTTATATGAATAATGATAGAAAACGGAACCTCAGTGTAGTCAGTAGTTTTTCACACTTTGTTGAGTTATTTTTGATTTAGTGTTCTAAAACAATACGAGAAAAAGCTACTGCTAGCCTGCAAAGCAGGTGCTAGAAAGTTATATGGTCGCGAGAAAGATTAGGGCCCATGACGGAGACATGTAAGGGGAAAGAGAGCCCTCTCTTCCCGCATGTTTCAGTGTATACAATGAAGTATTTAACTGTAATTCTCACTGGGTCTGTTTGCCCATTGTGTTGTGTCATTATTCAAACTGCCTATCTGTACTAAACGTATTACTACGTTGATTAAAATCATTTGATTGCAAGCTTTATGTGATTTTTCATTTTTTTTTTCCGTTTTTCTTGTTTGCAACGAAAACCTCAAGACCCTTTAATCTCGCTCCCGAATCCCGAGCTGATCAAATAAGGAAACTCCCGGATTCCGAACTTCAAATAAGGGAAATCCCGAATCCCGACTTTCAAATAAGGGAAATCCCGGATCGCAAAAAAACCTATCGGGAACCCTCAACTAAGGAAAATCAGTCTTGGAATTGGAGAAATGAAGTAAGGGTAACACTTTCTCGATAAAATAGCGAAATTGAGTAAGGTATCCTCCGTTCATGGCTGTTTCATTTATCTCTACAAAGTAAATGCGCTAACACTTCATTCCTTTTAGTTTTTGAACACGTGATAAGCCACGTGACCAACATTAAGGGAGAATAAGACCGTGAGAGTTCATTCACGGAAAATTTCGTCTTGATTAAGGCTATTGCAAAGAATTATTCAGGACACTCTTTTAAGCCAGGCGTTCTTTTTTCGGGTTTTGCCTTTCAAAATGTCAAAGCTGGGTCCTCTCTTTCCGCCGCGCAGGGATCAGGAGTAAAGCGAACGCTTTCTTTGTCTAAAACAATAGAGTCAATAGAAACGTTTTTAACTTGTGCGCCAAACGTGTCGTGGATGCATGCCCCACAGGGTTACACTTTGAGCTACTTTGCAATTTTGTCACCAGAGCCTTCGGATCTTATGGCTGCGCAATAGAGTAGAGCTCTCAGGTAGAGAATGACTACTTTAGGTGGAGGTGGGGGGAGTTGAAGCAAATGAGACAGGGGTATCTTTTTCCAATTCTCAAGTTTACCCGTCAGCGTATTTTTTAGGGCAACGCATAGGGGGTAGGCGGAATTGCGGGAAAGAGTTTAAGCGTTCACTGGTTTGCCTTGCACCTCATACTATTCAGTTTGTTTAGTTAACACGTATTGCTTGCTATCTCCTCATGCCACTGATTGTATAGAGGGAAACTCAATGTTATTGCTTTTCTTCGCTATGAAAATTCTTGGTAGCGATTGAATCGTATATACTGAGCTATACTTTAAGTTGTTACTGCCCGTTGTGGATTCTTCTCCCGGGGGTTACTCGGGTTAATTTTTCCTGGATGTGTGCCGCTGGCCTCTGAGAGATCCTACCCGATTTTACTAAAACCCAACAAGTGGTCTATTATCAATGCTGCGTTCTGATTAGTTGAGCTATATGTTATAGCCCACGAGTAGCGAAAAGCGCCGGCTTTTTGGCGGCAAAAAAGGATTAAAGTCTAGCTTTAAGTAGCTAAAATTATTTTGTTCTCGATATTTTTGACCAACTAGTTGGATTTTACTAATTAACAATTATTCCTCGGGCCCAAATGGGCTCTGAGTCAATAGCCCCCTCGGAGCCCATTCAGGCTCAAGGAATAATTGTTAAATAGTCTATTCTGTGGCCGAATATAGACCCCACCTTAGTCACTTTTGGGAAAATGTAATTTCCGCTATCTCAACTTAGTAACTTTCTGTTTATGCATCCACCTTATAAAGCCTTCTAACTGGGTCATCCTGAAAGGAATTGACACATGTTTACTTAATGAAGCAAAAATCTTCCCAATTTTTAAATCCGTACCTACTTGAATTTTGTGATTCCCCAAATCCCGAAAACATGCGATCCCATTCTGAGTAACTCTAACGAAAATGCAATCCTATTAAAATGCATCCACATGAATCTGTTACTAAAAAGTACCCCCCGGGGATTGTTCCTGTATAATAAAAAGCTCTCGACCGAAAAGGACAGTATATGAAAAGGGTCATGACAGCTCAGATTAAAATTTTCATACGAAACTACATAAATTAACATTTTGATAGTCCCGCCGTTTTTTCATGTTAAGAAAATAAAGGAAACATCTTTCCCATCATTGTGAAACTCGCCATTTCCAACTGAAAACGAAAGAAGCACTGAAAGAAGAGTGAGCTCAAAATGTTGCGCTTGTTTATTCCCTTGTTTCTTGTTCTGATCTTGCGTTCCTTCGCAAGCCAGAAAAACTCTGTAAGCAATGTAAGTTTGGCATTTTTTTTTAGTTCGGTTCTTGTATGAATTAACTTTGTCTGATATAAAAAGTAAGATCGAAAGAATATACACTATGACTGTGCTACTTTAACCAATAAAATTCAATACTAATACCTCGCGGATTTTTTTTTTGTTTAGGTATCAAATCAAAACCATTGCTGCAACTGTCGTGACGGTAAGCTTAAGACTTTGAATGAATCCTGATTCCTATCTGTTCATGTTGTTCTAATATATTTTCTCATTTTTTCCCTAGGAAGGGACGGACGAGATGGTCACAACGGTAAGATAAGACATCGCACATATCAGTATAACTGATGTTTTCACTAACGAACACAATGTTAGCTGACGATTCAAGGCCCAGATTACGAATTGTATAGCAGTAAAATACTTTCTGACCCGCTCAACCTTCCAGTTTACTACTTATACGTATATATCTGTTCACACCTTCTGCTCATAAATGGAATAGTAGATAGCTTGCAGGAAATACTGCCATATGGATTAGCCGTATAGTTTCATATAACTACCGGTGACTTCATCTAAGAAAATATGAGAAATTCTAACTGTCGCAAGTCGAAAAGCAAACCTCGTTAAATATAAGATAACGTAGTCAGAATTTAGATGGTGTAGAAAAATAAATGAAGTATAAAGTAAGATATCAAGATCACTGACGTGGCATTGTCTTCTCATCACCATTAAATAATTTTATTTTTTTTAAACCCAAGGAAAGGATGGTCGTGATGGAAGAGACGGGATCAACGCGGGAAACGGAATGAAGGTTGCTCTAGGTGTTAAACAGGACAAAAGCTTTTTCTGCCATTAATAAAATCGATGATAAATTATTTCTTGGATCAAAGATTAATAAGCCAGAACACCGGACAAAAGGCTAAGATTATTCAAGTTCCCTGCAATCCGAGATTTCAGCTGCCTAAGAAACGCTCTCTAAAAAACCCGCTTGTTTAACTCCAGAGTCTATTTTCTGTGGTAAAAGGGAGGGACACAGTACCACAGTTAGTTTGATCAAATAATAAGTTACATAAGATACAAAATTTCGGTTAAAATCTGACGAAATCTCAGCGGTAAAGGCCAGTCTTAACTAAAAGGATTACAGAAAAAGAGATCTGAGTCTTCAAGTTTCCTCAACCCCTAGAATAGTTTTTTTTAATTGTTTTTCAGGGTCAAAAAGGAGACCGTGGTTCACCAGGAAACAACGCAGGAGGTGTAATTAAGTTTAGCGATACCGCTGAGAAATGTACCTCAAGCATCGCCGGCACTGTTAGCTACAGTACTTCCCAGAAATCGTTGCAACTCTGTGATGGAAGCCATTGGCTGCCAGTGTTGGCTGTTAGAAAAGGTTACATAGCGGATAGACCAGGCCGCCACTGTTTGGATGTCTTAAATTCTGGTACACTTAAACTTTGAAAAAAAATTAAGGCGTAAGGCATTTAAAAGTGACCAATTAACACTGATCAGCATCAGTCGTACTAAAAGCATTAAAGACAATAGAACCAAACTCGTTCCCAGTTCCTATGCATTGGTATTTAAGCAACAAAGGACTGTGGACAGAGATGGTTGTTGTAGAGAATGCTGGGAGGTACACAGTAAGTAGCAGCAGGGACTGGGAGACTGGGAAGAAAACTGTCATTTATAGACGCACTTTAAAATGAACCTATTAAAGTTTATCATCTTTAAACAATAATTCGAAGTAATCTTATAATTACATATTATTTATAATCAGGGCAAAGTCATGGCAGTGGGCTTTACTGGATTGATCCAAACGGTGGCTCGACAAAAGACTCGTTCCAAGCCTATTGCGACATGGAAACTGAGCGTGGAGGTTGGACCCTAGTTGCCACAAAGGTCTCCCCAGGTTTCCTCTTCATCAAAACTGTTTTCTCGGCAGTGGCCGCTGCAACTAAGAACAGAGATACCGCGAGTCACATACATCCAAGCATGGGGAACTGGAAAGAGGTTATGTTCCGCTTTGCTGACGTTGATACCATCCGAGTCATTTACAACAGAAAGGCGGGCGCACCAAACAAAGACAAGGAGGAATTCGACAAGTTCTTGATGGGGAAGTCCATGCAGTTGACAAAGAACGTGAATGGATTTTATAAGTACAGTCCAGCAGATAAGAAAAGAAATCCCAGCGTGGGTTTTGCCACCATATCCTCTTTCCACTTCTGGTCAAACGCTGGGATCTCAGAATATCACGGTGGCACGGATAAGTGGCTTGACATGTGGAGTAGTGCTGACGCCCGCTACGGGAACAACTACATCTACAGCGATAACAGCAGGGCGCGGGGCACCAAATGTATCGCGGACTACTGTTATCTGAACAAGCCAATCTGGGTGATGGTGCGCTAGTAAAACCAACCAAGCCAGTACACGAGCAGCTAATTACACGAGAAAGAACTAGATACTTAGGTGTTAACAGGCGATAATAAAGTAGGTTTTAAAACAGACTGCTGGCGATATCAAAGTTCTAACAATAGTGTCAACATTAAAACGACCTGATATTAATCCAGTTAAAAAGAATTCTCGCATCTTGTACTGACTGCTCATAAAATAAAACTAAAAAGCATTGTCGATTTGGGTGTGTTGTTTATTAGTCGTTTGTTTGTTTGTTTGCTTTTTTCTCAGAACAACCCTTTTGTTGCTTGGGTAGGGGGGAATTGAGCAAGAGTTAGATTCAGTTCCACGCTAAGCCTGGTGCATGTGTAGTTTTTCGGAAAAACCGACTCAGAAATAATTAAAGAACTACGAATAACGATTGACTGCGTCAATTAATGACAACTGCCTTGCCTTTTTACAAACTTCTTTTTTCGATTACTTTAAATAATTCAACGCACGGACAGGAGAAGTATTTTTTCTAATATTCAAGAAGAAAAAGGACTTTTGATATTATCAAGTATAATATCGAATTTTATCACCATGTGGTATATACTCTTGAGTTGTAAGGGCTGGATCAGAAAGTTGGAAAAGCTTGCACTGGCTCTTTTTCAAGATCACAAAATTTATGTTAGCCGTCTACAGCTATAAAAGACGCGCTTCCTTGTGAATCTCTTTATATTCCTTTAACCTAACAACAGACGAATCATTAAAGACAAAAGTATATGAACAATCACCAAAGAGGCCAAATTTCCAATAAGAGAGATTACGTTCTTCAATGCCTTTGTAAAGTCGAGGTAATATTACGTAATCTGTCGTTAAGGCGGGAATATCGTAGCACAAAACACATCTTGACACGAACTGATTAAAAACCAAAACGTTATCTGATCTTCTAGTTAGGTTGGATCCATGTAACAGAACTATTGGAGTTTTATTGGTGATCTGATCTCCCTGATCATTTTCTTTTGCTTTCCAACACTTGTTTTATAGAGATGTCTCAGATTTTCCCGATTATTAAGTTACCAATAAGAGTGAAAACTCGGATATAGAATAGCATTCGTTTGTTACTCTAAATAAACCCTCAAGTTGCTAAATGGGTAGAACTATATGGATTAAATAACCTTTTAGAGTCAGTGGATGACTAAGACGATTTTTTAAATCATGATAATTGATGACATCTTTGCACTGCGATGGCTGTCGGTTCACATGACTTTGGTGCCAATCAGACCAGATCTGACATGTATCAGATGCCAGCTTCTGCTGAGCAGGGTGAATAGATGTGGCGCAGAAATTTTTTCACGATGTTCATATTATTATTATTATTATCTCGACGTAAACTTGCAAAATAATGATTAGACTCTCTCGCAGAGTCCTCATTCAAGCTTAGGCCAGAATTTATCTTTTTTCTTTGACAGCTCATTGACCTTTTGCACCAGGCCCCAGAGCCCATGCATCTTGCTACTCGAAAATGATAAGGTCTTGTATCAAGTTCTTCCACTATTCATCCCAAACGTTGAAAGTTTTTTAAGTACGATTATCCTCTATCAGAAACGATAATTCATTTATCTATACAGAGTAAATTCATACCATTTCCTTAATTTTAGATTTTGATTACGTGTTTAGTCACGTGACAGATTTAGCACACACGGCACAATAAGAACCTGAGATATATAATCACGAAAAAGTTCGAGATATTTTAGGCTACCCAGCAAAAGTCATTGCCGATCAATCATGTTTCTTGGACACACTTTGGAGCCTGATTTTTTCCTTTTTTTTTTCCCTTCTTCTTCTTCTCTATTTTTTTCTAGTTCTAGTTTTTTTTCTTCCAAGATGTCAAACCTAAGGTGTTGAGCTTTCGCCTCCATCATTGATCCTCTTAGCTGTGGTGGGATCATGAAGAAAGCGATCGCTTATTTTATGTGAAACAATAACAATCTTTTTCTCTTTCATTAACCCTGGCTTGAGCGTGTATTTTTCAAGGCAAAGTAGTAAAAAAGTAGGCAAATTACCAACATAATATTCATTCACATAACACAAGATCATCAACAAGAGGCAACTTCTTTCTCGAATACTCTAGATTAGACAAGCAAAACATGTCTTTTTCAAGAAACGGTGTTAGAGTCTGGAATAACCTATCTAATGAAATTCGTCAAATTCCTAAAGTGAAATTTAAACGCAACATTCACAATATGCTCCTTCAGAAACTCTCGGAGGCGAATGAGTATATTGATCTATTGGATTTGAATATGTCTTGAAAATTAAACTCAGTTCATTCTATTAGCTTTCTATCTACATTATTATCCTTCCAGCTTCTCCAGGAATCTGCCCTATTTCTCCTGAGAATCTTCGTTTTTCCCAAATGTTATTAATACTAGTCAGTATTCAGTATTCACCTTATTTTAATGTACTGTACGATAATAATTAATTTTACTTAGTATTGTAATTGTACTGTAATTGTAATTATTCACTTTGTATTTAGTATTCAGCTTATTTTAATGTATTGTGCGATAATAATTAATTCTATTTAGTATTGTAATTGTATTGTAATTGTAATTATTCACTTTGTATTTAGTATTTAGCTTATTTTAATGTATTGTACGATAATCATTAATTCTACTTAGTATTTTAATTGTATTGTTATTGTAATTATTCTACTTAGTGTCAAGCCACTGCTCGCCTCGAATAGCTATAGCTAACAGCGAGCAGTGGTATATCATATTTTGTATTTTCTCAATTTTTCTTAATAAACTTGAAACTTGAAACTAAACTTGAAACTTGAGTAAGGTTGAGCGCCTTATACTATTTAGGTTGTTAAGTAAACACTATAAATTTTCCAACTCTCTCCCCACGTCGCTGAGAAAGGGGAGAAAACTGATGGAAGTAAGACGGGAATTTCTTTTTCCAATTCTCAAATGTACCCATCAGTGTATTTTTAGGGCAAGGTATAGGGGTAGAGTGAATTGCGGGAGAGAGTTGAAGCGTTCAGTACTTTGCCTTGCGCCTCATACTATTTAGTTTGTTTAGGTAACACGTATTTCCGGCTATCTCCTCATGCCACTGATTATATAAAGGGAAACTCAATGTTATTGCTTTTATTCGCTTCAAAAATTCTTCGTTACGATTAAATCATGTATATTGAACTGTACTTCAAAGACTTGTTCGTTGTTATTGCCCGTTTTCTGCATTTAAGCTCTCGGCAGACAAGGACACAATCTCCACCCCAGGAGCTCTTCTCCGCATAAAGGCCGGAGTCAAAACCGTAAGCACTGGGTCGAGATTGGACAAGGACAGTAACTGACAAGGGTCATTGAGATTATGGGTTATCATACATAACACATACATTAAAATTTTGATGGTCTCGCCGTTTTTTCATGTTAACAAAATAAAAAAAACTATATTTCTCATCATTGTGAAACTCGCCATTTCCAACTGAAAACGAAAGAAGTACTTAAAGAAGAGTGACCTCAAAATGTTACGCTTGTTTATTCCGTTGTTTCTTGTTCTCATCTTGCGTTCCTTCGCAAGGCAGAAAAACTTTGCAAGCAATGTAAGTTTGGCTTTTTTTAGTTCGGTCCTTCTATAAATTAATTTTGTCTAATAAAAAAGTAAGATCGAAAGAATATACACCATGACTGTGCTATTTTAACCAATAAGATTCGTTATTAATACCTCGCGGATTTTCTGTTGTTTAGGTATCAAATCAAAACCATTGCTGCAACTGTCGCGACGGTAAGCTAAAAACTTTGACTGAATTCTGATTCCTTTCTGTTCATGTTGTTTTAATATATTTTCTCATTTTTATCCTAGGAAGGGACGGACGAGATGGTCAGAGCGGTAAGATAAGACATCGCACGCATTAATAATAACCGGGCATGTTTTCACTAACCAACACAATGTTGACGATTCAAGACCCAGCAGTTCCCTTTTTTCATTAATTAAGCCGTAAAATACTTTCTGACCCGGTCAACCTTCCAGTTTAGTACCTATACGTATATACCTGTTCACACCTTCTGCCCATAAATGGAATAGTAGATTGCTAGCAGGAAATACTGCCATAAGAACTTAAACTTGTAGTACAGCTCCATATTACAACCGGTCGAAGTAATCTGAGAAAATATAACAAGTTCTGACTGTTGAAAATGGAAAACTGAACGTTATTAACAATAAGAGTAACGTAGTCAGAGTTGGGACTTTTTAATTTAGATGGTGTAGAAACTGATAAATGAAGTATTAAATAAGAGATCAATGTCACTGACGTGGCATTCAAAATTGTTGTCTTCCGCTTTCTTTTCCGTGAGTTCTTCTAGTTCTCTTTGCTACTCATCACCATTAAATAATTTTATTCTTTTCACACCCAAGGAAAGGATGGTCGTGATGGAAGAGACGGGATCAATGCGGGAAACGGAATGAAGGTAAAAATATTAAAAACGAATAACGTTTTTTCTGCCATTACCAAATCGATGATAAATTATTTCTGGGAACAAAGATGGATAAGCCAGAGGAGAACTTTTAAGAACACTCAAGTTCCGTGCAATCCGAGATTTCATTTGCTTCTAAAAAACCCTCTATTTTCTGTAGGAAAAGGGAACTGACACAGTACCACCTTAGTCTGTTCTCATAAATTAGTTTCAAAAGATAAAAAATTCCGTTTAAAGTCTCAGCGGCAAAGGCCAGTCTTGAGTAAAAGAATTACAAAGAAGGAGATCTGAGTCTTTAGGTTGCCTTAACCCTAGATGGGTTTTAAGAATAGTTAAGGACTTGTTTGTTTTTCAGGGTCAAAAAGGAGAACGTGGCTCATCAGGAAACAACGTAGGAGGTGTAATTAAGTTTAGCGATGCCGCTGAGAAATGTACCGCAAACATCGCCAGCACTGTAAGCTACAATAGTTCCCAGAAATCCTTGCAACTCTGTGATGGAAGTGTTTGGCTTCCAGTGCTGACTGTTGGAAAAGGTTACACAAAAGGATAGACCCGGCCGCCATTGCTTGGATATTTTAAATTCTGGTAAGCTGAAACTCTGATAAATAAAAAGAATCCATAAGAGACTGAGGAGATAGTTGTAGAGATTGCTGAGAAGTAGCTGGCCTGCAATGCAGGCGTATATATTGGGGACGAGTGAAAGTTGCTTTATAAAGTTTGCAATGCCGCAGCCGCCATCTTTCTTAAATATGCCTGCTAAAGTTCATCCTATCAATCATAATATATAAACAATCATGTAAAATAATATTCATTTTTCAGTATATTTATTATCAGGCCAAAGTCATGGCAGTGGGCTTTACTGGATTGATCCAAACGGTGGCTCGACAGCTGACTCATTCCAAGCCTTTTGCGACATATAAACTGAGCGTGGAGGTTGGACCCTAGTTGCCACAAAGGTCTCCCCAGGCTTCCCCTTCATCAAAACTGTTTTCTCATCAGTGGCCACTGCAACTAAGAACAGAGATGCCGCGAGTCACATACATTCAAGCATGGGCAACTGGAAAGAGGTTATGTTCCGCTTTGCTGACGTTGACACCATCCGAGTCATTTACAACAGAAAAGCGGGCGCACCAAACAAAGACAAGGAGGAATTCGACAAGTTCTTGATGGGGAAGTCCATGCAGTTGTATAAAAACGTCAATGGATTTTACAAGTACAGTCCAGCAGATAACAAAAGAAATCCCAGCGTGGGTCTTGCCACCATATCCTCTTTGCACTTCTATTCAAACTCGGAACCTTTTAGAGGCACGGATAAGTGGCTTGACATTTGGAATACCGGTGATAGCTCAAACAACTACATCTACAGCGATGACAGCAGGGCGCGGGGCACCAAATGTATCGCGGGCTACTGTTATCTGAACAAGCCAATCTGGGTGATGGTGCGCTAGTAAAACCATCAGGCCATACACGAGCAGCTAATTACGCGAGAAAGAACTAGATACTTAGGTGTTAACAGGCGATAATAAAGTAGGTTTTAAAACAGACTGCTGGCGATATCAACGTTCTAACAATAGTGTCAAAATTAAAACGACCTGATATTAATCCAGTTAAAAAAAATTCTCGCATCTTGTACTGACTGCTCATAAAATAAAAGTAAAAAGCATTGGCGATTTGGGTGTGTTGTTTATTGGTCGTTTGTTTGTTTGTTTGCTTTTTCCTCAGAACAACCCTTTTGTAACTTGGGTAGGGGGAAATGGAGCAAGAGTTAGATTCAGTTCCACTCTAAGCCTGGTGCATGTGTTATGAGCAAAGTTTTTCGGAAAAACCGACTCAGAAATAATTAAAGAACTACGAATAACGATTGACTGCGTCAATTAATGACAGCTGTCTTGCCTTTTTACAAACTTCTTTTTTCGGTTTTTTAAAATAATTCAACGCACGGACAGGAGAAGTATTTTTTCTAATATTCAAGAAGAAAAAGGACTTTTGATATTATCAAGTATAATATCGAATTTTATCACCATGTGGTATATACTCTTGAGTTGTAACGATTGGATCAGAAAGTTGGAAAAGCCTACACTGGCTCTTTTTCAAGATCACAAAATTTATGTTAGCCGTCTACAGCTATAAAAGACGCGCTTCCTTGTGAATCTCTTTATATTCCTTTAACCTAACAACAGACGAATCATTAAAGACAAAAGTATATGAACAATCACCGAAGAGGCCAAATTTCCAATTAGAGAGATTACGTTCGTCAATGTCTTTACCGCGAGAATATCGAGGTAATAGCGAGTGATCTGTCGTTATGGCAAGAATATTATTGGTAGCACCAAACACATCTTGACACGAACTGATTATAAACCAAAAACTTTATCTGATCTTCTAGTTAGGTTGGCTCCATGTGAACAGAACGTTTGGAGTTTTATTAGTGGTCTGATCGCCCTGATCATTTCTTTTGCTTTCCAACACTTGTTTTATAGAGATGTCCCAGATTTTTCCCCATTATTAAGTTACCAATAAGAGTGAGAACTCGGATATAGAATAGCATTCGTTTGTTACTCCAAATAAACCCGCCAGTTGCTAATTAGGTAGAATTATATGAATTAAATAACCTAATAGTGCCAGTGGATGATTAAGGTGATGGTTTCTTAGCCTCCTCGGGTAAATCATGATAATTAATGACATTTTTGCACTGTGATGGCTGATTTTTCACATGACTTTGGTGCCAATCAGACCAGATCTGGCATGTATCAGATGCCAGCTACCGCTGAGCAGGGTGAATAGATGTGGCGCAGTAATCTTTTTCACGATGTTCATATTATCATTATCGCGGCGTAAACTTGCAAAATAATGCCTAGGCTCCCTCACAGAGTCTTCGTTCAAGCTTAGGCCAGGAATTATTCTTTTTTCTTTGACATCTCGCTGACCATTTCCACTAGGCCCCAGAGCCCGTGCATCTTGCCACTCGCAAATGATAAGGCCTTGTATCAAGTTCTTCCACTATTCATCCCAAACGTTGAAAGTTTTTTAAGTACGATTATCCTCTATCAGAAACGATAATTTATTTATCTATACAAAGTAAATTCATACAATTTCCTTAATTTTAAATTTTGATCACGTGTTTAGTCACGTGACAGATTTAACACACACAGCAGAATAAGAACCTGAGATATTTAATCACGAAAAGTTCGAGATATTTTAGGCTACGCAGCAAAAGTCATTGCCGATCAATCATGTTTGTCGGAACACACTTTGGAGCCTAATTTCTTTCCTTCTTTTCTTTTTTTCCTTCTTCTTCTCCATTTTTTCCAGTTTGAGTTTTTTTTTGTACCAAAATGGCAAAGCTAAGGTGTCCAGCTTTCGCCTCCGTCATCCTCCCCGCTGCGGCGGAATCATGCACAAAGCGATTGCTTATTTTATGTGAAACAATAACAATCTTTTTCTCTTTCAGTTGCTCAGGCTTCAGCGTGAATTTTTTAAGGCAAATTAAAAAAGATTGCGAGAAGAAGGTTGAGCGCCTTATACTATTTAGTTTGTTAAGTAAACACTATTTCTGACTCTCTCCTCACGTCGCTGATTGGACACTGCAGTGTTCTTTTTCACTTGTTTCTGGAAAAGTCTGTGTTAAAATTTTATTGCAAGGTACTGTACTTCTAATAAAGGGTTTGTTACGCTCAATGCTGACTATTCCACTTTTATAAAAAGCTCTTGGTGGACAAAGACAGTCAGTATACATGACAGGGTCATGACAGCTCAACCAATGTTTGCATCAAAATTATCATACGTAATACAAATATTAAAATTTCGATAGTGTGTCGTTTTTTCATGTTAAGAAAATAAAGGAAACATCTTTCCCATCATTGTGAAACTCGCCATTTCCAACTGAAAACGAAAGAAGCACTTAAAGAAGAGTGGGCTCAAAATGTTACGCTTGTTTATTCCGTTGTTTCTTGTTCTGATCTTGCGTTCCTTCGCAAGCCAGAAAAACTCTGTAAGCAATGTTTGGCACTTTTTTTAGTTCGGTCCTTGAAAATAATTCATTTTGTCTAATATAAAAAACAAGATCAAATGAATATACATTATAACTGTGCTACTTTAACCAATAAAATACAATACTAATGCTTTGCGGATTTCCTCTTGATTAGGTATCAAATCAAAACCATTGCTGCAACTGTCGCGACGGTAAGCTTAAGACTCTTAATGAATCCTGATTCCTTTTTATAGACGTTGTTCTAACATAATTTCCCATTTTTCCCCTAGGAAGGGACGGACGAGATGGTCAGAACGGTAAGATAAGACATCGCACATATCAATATAACCATGTTTTCACTAACTGACATAATGCCCAGCAGTTCTGAATTCTATTAAGAAGTAAAATACTTTCTGACCCGGTCAGCCTTTCAGTTTAGTACCTATACGTATATATCTGTTCACACCTTCTGCCCATAAATGGAATAGTAGATTGCTAGCAGGAAATACTGCCATAGGAAGTTAAATTAGCCATATAGTTACGTTCCATATAACAACTGGGCGAATTCACCTGAAAAAAAGTTCTGACTGTTGAAAATGGAAAAGTGAACCTTGTTAAAAATAAGAAAACGTAGTAAGAGTTGGGACTCTTTAATTTAGATGGTATAGAAAAATAAATGAAGTATTAAGTAAGTGATCAAGATCACTAACGTGGCATTCAAAATGTCGTCTTTCGCTTTCTTTTGCGTGAGTACTTCTCGTCCTCTTTTCTACTCATCGCCATAAAATAATTTTGATTTTTTTCACCACCAAGGAAAGGATGGTCGTGATGGAAGAGACGGGATCAACGGAAACGGAATGAAGGTAAAAATATTAAAAAGGAATAAAGCTCTTTCCTTTTTGCCGCAGGGATCAGAAGTAAAGCGAACGCTTACTTTGTGCAAAACAATAGAGTCCATAGAAACGTTTTAAACTCGTGGGCCAAACTAGTCGTGAGTGCATGTGCTAGAGCATTACACTTTGAAATACTCTGCAATTTCGTCACTAGAGCCTTTCGGATCATGAGTAGTGGTCGAGAATGGCTACTTTGGCAAACTGACAGGAAAACATGGCGATACTTTGAAAGATCGGGACACAGAAGGAACGATCAAGAGCAAACTTAGGTGGGGGGTGGGGGAGGGGGGAAAGCTGATGGCAGTAAGACAGGAATATCTTTTTTCAATTCTCAAATGTACCCATCAGTGTATTTTTAGGGCAAGGTATAGGGGTAGGGTGAATTGCGGAAGAGAGTTGAAGCGTTCAGTGCTTTGCCTTGCGCTTCACGTATTTCCGGCTATCTCCTCATGCCACTGATTGTATAGAGGGAAACTCAATCTTATTGCTTTTATTCGCTTCAAAAATTCTTCGTAACGATCAAATCATATTTACTGAAATGTACTTCAAGGACTTGCTGTCATTGCCCGTTGTGGGTTTTTTCTGTATTTAAGCTCTCGACCGACAAGGACACAATCTCCACCCCAGAGCTCTCCTCTGCATAAAGGCCGGAGTCAAAACCGTAAGAACTGGGTCGAGATTGGTTAAGGACAGTAAATGACAAGGGTCATGAGATTATGGGTTATCATACATAATACATACATTAAAATTTTGATGGTCTCGCCGTTTTTTCATGTTAACAAAATAAAAAAACTATATTTCCCATCATTGTGAAACTCGCCATTTCGTACTGAAAACGAAATAAGCACTTAAAGAAGAGTGAGCTGAAAATGTTACGCTTGTTTATTCCCTTGTTTCTTGCTCTGATCTTGCGTTCCTTCGCAAGCCAGAAAAACTTTGCAAGCAATGTAAGTTTGGCTTTTTTGTATTTCAGTGCTTCTATAAATTAATTTTGTCTAATAAAAAAGTAAGATCGAAAGAATATACACCATGACTGTACTATTTTAACCAATAAAATTCATTATTAATACCTCGCGGATTTTCTGTTGTTTAGGTATCAAATCGAAATCATTGCTGCAACTGTCGCGACGGTAAGCTAAAGACTTTGAATGAATTCTGATTCCTTTCTGTTCATGTTGTTTTAATATATTTTCTCATTTTTTGCCTAGGAAGGGACGGACGAGATGGTCAGAACGGTAAGATAAGACATCGCACATATCAATATAACCAGGCATGTTTTCACTAACCGACATAATGTCGACGATTCAAGACCCAGCAGTTACGAATTTTATTAATTAAGCAGTAAAATACTTTCTGAACCGGTCAACCTTCCAGTTTAGTACCTATACGTATATATCTGTTCGCAGCTTCTGCCCATAAATGGAATAGTAGATTGCTAGCAGGAAATACTGCCATAGGAACTTAAATCTAGTAGTACAGCTCCATATATGTTACAACCGGTCGAATTAATCTGAGAAAATATAACAAGTTCTGACTGTTGAAAATGGACGACTGAACCTTATTAAAAATAAGATAACGTAGTCAGAGCTGGGACTTTTTAAGTAATTTAGATGGCGTAGAAAAATAAATGAAGTATTAAATAAGAGATCAGTGTCACTGACGTGGCATTCAAAATTGTTGTCTTCCGCTTTCTTTTCCGTGAGTTCTTCTCGTTCTCTTTTCTACTCATCACCATTAAACAATTTTATTCTTTTCACACCCAAGGAAAGGATGGTCGTGATGGAAGAGACGGGATCAAGGCGGGAAACGGAATGATGGAAAAATATTAAAAACGAATAACGTTTTTTCTGCCATTACCAAATCGATGATAAATTATTTCTGGAAACAAAGATGGATAAGCCAGAGGAGAACTTTTAACAACACCGGACAAAAGGCTAAGATTACTCAAGCTCCCTGCAATCCGAGAAATCAGCTGCCTCCAAAAAACACGCTTGTTTAACTCCAGAGTCTATTTTCTGAAGGAAAAGGGGTCCGACACAGTACTACCTTATTCTTTTCTCATAAATCAGTTACAAAGATAAAAAATTCCGTTTAAATTCAACGAAATCTCAGCGGTAAAGGCCAGTCTTAAGTAAAAGGATTACGGAGAAGGAGATCTGAGTTTTCTAGTTTCCTCAATCCTAGATGGGTTTTAAGAATAGTTAAAGACTTGTTTGTTTTTCAGGGTCAAAAAGGAGAACGTGGCTTCAGTATCAGGAAACAACGCAGGAGGCGTAATTAAGTTTAGCGATACCACTGAGAAATGTGCCGCAAGCATCGCCGGCACTGTAAGGTACATTAGTTCCCAGAAATCCTTGCAACTCTGTGATGGAAGTGTTTGGCTTCCACTGCTGACTGTTGGAAAAGGTTACACAGCGGATAGACCCGGCCGCCATTGCTTGGATATTTTGAATTCTGGTAAGCTTAAACTGTGATAAATAAATAGAACCCATAAGGGAATGAGGAGAGTAATAATGGTTGTAGAGAATGCTAGGAAGAACATGGCCTGCAGTGCAGGCGTATATATTGGGGGCGAGTGAAAGCTGCTTTTTAAAGTTTGCAATGCATGCCTCAGCCGCCATCTTTGATCTTATTACAGAGGATGATTGCGGAGAGTAGAATTAAAGACCTTTAGGGTAGGCGTAAGGGTGAAAGGAAAAAGGTGGGAAGGGGGGAGGGGAGGAGAAAAGTATGGACTTGGGTACTGAGGAAAAAGACTGTCATCCGAAGACGTAATAATATTCATTTTTCAATATATTTATGATCAGGCCAAAGTCATGGCAGTGGGCTTTACTGGATTGATCCAAACGGTGGCTCGACAAAAGACTCGTTCCAGGCCTTCTGCGACATGGAAACTGAGCGTGGAGGTTGGACCCTAGTTGCCACAAAGGTCTCCCCAGGCTTCCTCTTCATCAAAACTGTTTTCTCAACAGTGGCCGCTGCTACTAAGAACAGAGATACCGCGAGTCACATACACCCAAGCATGGGGGACTGGAAAGAGTTTATGTTCCGCTTTGCTGACGTTGATATCATCCGAGTCATTTACAACAGAAAAGTGGGCGCACCAAACAAAGACAAGGAGGAATTCGACAAGTTCTTGATGGGAAAGTCTATGAATGTGGGAAAAACGTGAATGGATTTTATAAGTACAGTCCAGCAGATAAGAAAAGAAATCCCAGCGTGGGTTTTGTCACCATATCTACTTTGTACTTCTATTCAAGCCAAGGGATCTCAGAAGCTCATAGTGGCACGGATAAGTGGCTTGACATGTGGAGAGGTGCTGACGGCTCAAACAACTACATCTACAGCGATGACAGCAGGGCGCGGGGCAACAAATGTATCGCGGGCTACTGTTATCTGAACAAGCCAATCTGAGTGATGGTGCGCTAGCTTGAAAACCATCAAGCCAATACACGAACAGCTGATTACGAGAGAAAGAATTAGATACTTCGGAGTTAAATGCCGATAATAAAGTACGTTTTAAAAGAGCGGGAATGCTGGAGTATCAAAAGTTCCGACAATGTTGTCAAGATTAAAACGACTTGATGATTAGACCAGTTCGCATAAAATAAAACTTAAAAAGTGTTGGCGATTTGGCTGTGTGTTGTTTATTTGTCGATTGTTTGTTATTTGGTTTTTTTTTCAGAACAATCCTTTTGTTCCTTGGGTAAGGGTGAAATAAGCAAGGACTAGATTCTAGCCTGCGTAGAAAGCTTTTCTGTTTGGTTTCGGAGCAAAGAAAGACCGAGGAACGGATTTTTCGGTTTTGGCCGCGCGAGAAATGGAACGAGAGACATAATGAGAAAGGGTCCTTCCTTACTTTTCTTCCCCACCCCCTCCCCGCTCTTTTACTAGCGCCATTTTTCGCGCGGTCTTTTCTTTCCTCGTTCTTTTCTCCCAAACCGCACGTAGACGATTGCTACGCAAGCTGAGTAGATTCAGTTTCACTTTACCTATCCGCGAAGTTATTCAGTCGATCAGAAATATTCTCAAAAATGCAGAACTGAGGTCATTAAAGGTTCTTACAATTTACGATGCTGACTGCGTCAATTAATGAAAAATTTGTTGTTTTCGGCCTCAAAAGAGAGTAGCCTCGGTTGTTCATATTTCTTTTCCAGTTTTTCAAAATACCTCAACAGACACCGGAAAAGTTTTTCTTTCTAATATTCAAGACGAAAAGACAATTTTAAAACCACTAGGCATAACATCATCGCATTGTAGCACCGTGTGTTACATATTCTTAAGTTATAACATACTGAATCAGAAAGCCGGTAGGCAAAGCTTATCCTATATCTTAATCTCATTTTAGTTCAAGATCATTGCATGAAGGGAATTGTTTGAAGTGCGGGTTTATGACCGATGAAAGGAGATGCACTTGATTGTGGTCTTTTTATATTCCTCCAACCGCACAAGATACGAATCGTTAAAAAGAACTTGGTATAAGCAGGACAACCGAAAAGGCTGATAAGAGGGATTATTTTTTTAATGCCTTTAAAATATTAATTCGAAGTGATCGTGGAGTTATCCGTTGTTGCGGGGCTAATATTGGTAGGTCTATACTCGTCTTGACACAAAATGCTTATTGACCAACAACCTTATCTGATCGTCTATAGTAGATAGACCTTGTCGTCATGGTAGTAAACGAAACCTTTGAAAAAGTGGGAGTTCTATTGGTCCAATTCCCTTGATCATATAACTCCATTGATATGATAACTTGGCCTTACGCGGATCCATTTTTTCACTTGCTTTTTGAAGCTGGGTCAGGTTAACATGCTTGAAATGGCCGTTTTTTTGACAATAATGAGTTTTCCGATAAGAATGAAAACTCGGAGAAAACGACCTGTTCTCAAGGGACGAAGAAAAAGAAATGCTTTTTAGTAAAGTTTAAATTGTTTAGCCTTGTTGTCATGGAGGCGATCCATAAAGTTTAAACTCCTGTTAACAAGCCCATATAAAATGGCCATTTAAATCACGCCTCTTGGCTCCTCATCAGTAACAGCTTTGTAATTTGCTAATTAAACTTCAGTATTTTAAATAATACATTTCAGAGTTACACAGTCAATAATCAGATAGGGGTTAGTGGATGGCTAGGATGATGAAGTCCTAGTCTCCTCGGATAAATCACGATGATTCCGAACATCTTTGTACTGTGAAGGCTGAAGGTTTTCTTGAGCTTATTGTCAATCAGACAAGATATTAGACGCTAGGTAGCTGCTGCTGAGTGGAGCGTACTAACCAGTTGGCTCATGATCAGTGGGATTGTTCCACTGGAATGTTTTCCACGACAGTCCATGGACATTTATATAATCGTCATTGTAAAATTTAGGTCTTTACATATTTTTTGATCACGTGATTAGTCACGTGACAGACATTACACGTACGGAAGAAAATGACCCAGGATATTATATATTCAGAGAAAGTTTCTTCCTTCGAGGCACTTCTATTCTCTTAAGCAACCCAGCAAAAGATATTGCAGACAATCTCATTTCTTTCTAGATAAATTTTTGAGCTAGCCGTCATTTTTTGTCAGATTGTTCCTTCCAAAATATGCCACGACTGTGGTGAACAGCTTTCCTCTTCTGTCTCCCTCTTGGGCTGCTATGGGATCAGGAGTGACGTGATCATGACTTACTTTGTGTGAAACAGAAGTGTTTTAGACCTGTGCGCCAAAAGAATAGTTGAATAGAATAGCTCCAGGGTGAGTTACAGTATTTTCTTATTTGACTGCCAAGAAAAGATCACCGATAATGATCACAATAAAATGTCGTATAGGGAAGGTAGTCGCTTATGGTGATTAGCAGATAGAAAGAAAGGTTCCAAAGCAAATTAGCAAATTAAAGATAAGTTAGGAACGATTGATGCAAAATAAAATACAAATCTTTTTCTTACTCTCTCGTTTTTACATCAATGCATTTTTCGGTAAGGGTAGGGTGGCATATTCTTACGGTATTTCCAACTACTCTCCTTTTGATGCTGATCAAGGGAAGCTCAGTGTTCTTCTTTAACTGCGCCTTACAAAAGTCTCCGTAAAAATTGAATTGTGTATAAGTGTACTTTAAGGGTTTGCTACACTTTTTATTCCTCATTTTATATTGCTGATTTGTATTCCGGTATGATCAAAGGTTTTTCGCCGGCAGGGGCAGTCAAGTATGACAGTGAATTAAATCTGCATTGAAAATAGCATACGTAATGTGCAAATTCTGAAATTTCGATGGTCTCGCCGCTTTTTCTTGTTTAGAAAAAAAAACATCTTCCCATCCATTTTAAACTTGCCATTTTCTACTGAAAACCAAAGGAGAGTGAACTAAAAATGTTTCGCTTGGTTATTCCGTTGTTTCTTGTTCTCATCTTGCGTTCCTTCGCAACCCAGAAAAAATCTCCAAGCAATGCAAGTTTCGCTTTATTTATTTCTGTTCCTTTATGCATGGATTAATGTGGTCTAATTTAAAAAGGAAGAAAGAAGACACACTATGACTATGCCACTTAAATCAGTAAAATTCACTCACTTATACCTCGTGGTTTTCTTCTTCAGTTAACAAAGCAAAACCACTGTTGTAACTCGTGTCGCGACGGTAAGCTGAAGACATTAAGAGAATCCTGATTTTTTTTCTGTACATGTTCTGATTTTTTTTTTTTCATTTTTTCCTAGGAAGGGACGGAAGAGATGGTCAAAACGGTGAGATAACACGTCGCACATATCAATATAACCATGTTTTCACTAACTGACACAATGTTGACGATTCAAGACCCAGACTCACGCCCTCTGGCCATAAATGGAATAGTAGATTGCTAGCGGGAAATACTGCCATAGGAACTTAAAGTAGCCATTTAAGTTCCATATTACAACCGAGCGAATTAATCTGAGAAAATATGAGAAGTTCTAACTATCGATAGTCGAAAAGGGAACCTTCTTTAAAAATGATAACGTAGTCAGAGCTGGGAATTTTTGATTTAGATGGTGTAGAAAAATAAATGAAGTATTAAACGTGGTACACTGACGTGGCATTCAAAATTGTTGTCTTCTACCGTTCTTTTGCCTGCGTTTTGTCTTTCTCTTTCTCTTTTCTGCTCAACAGGCATTAAATAATTTTATTTTTTTTCACACCCAAGGAAAGGATGGTCGTGATGGAAGAGACGGGATCAACGTGGGAAACGGAATGAAGGTAAAAATTTTAAAAAGGAATAAAGTTTTTTTCTGCCATTATCAAATCGATGATAAATTATTCCTGGGAACAAAGATGGATAAGCCAGAGGAGAACTTTTAACAACACCGGACAAAAGGCTAAGATTACTCAAGTTCCCTGCAATCCGAGATTTCAGCTGCCTCCAAAAAACACGCTTGTTTAACTCCAGAGTCTGATAAATTATGTTTGGATCAAAGATCAATAAGACAGACGAGAACTTTTAAGATTACTCAAGTTCCCTGCAATACGAGATTTCCGCTGCCTAAGAAACATTCCTCAAAAAAAAAAACGCTTGTTTAACTCAAGAGTCTATTTTCTGTAGTAAAAGGGAGGGACGCAGTACCACCTTAGTCTGTTCTAATTATTAGTTACATAATTAGATACAAAATTTCGGTTAAAATCTGACGAAATCTCGGTGGTAAAGGCCAGTCTTCAATTAAAGCATTACAGAGAAGGAGATCTGAGTCTTCAAGTTTCCTCAACCCTAGATTGGTTTTTTTGTGTTTTTCAGGGTCAAAAAGGAGAACGTGGCTCACCAGGAAACAACGCAGGAGGTGTAATTAAGTTTAGCGATGCCGCTAAGAAATGTACCGCAAGCATCGCCGGCACTGTTAGTTACAATACTTCCCAGAAATCCTTGCAACTCTGTGATGGAAGTGTTTGGCTGCCAGTTCTGACTGTTGGAAAAGGTTACATAGCGGATAGACCCGGCCGCCATTGTTTGGATATTATAAATTCTGGTAAGCTTAAACTGTGTTAAATAAATAGCATCAATAAGGGACTGAGGAGAGTAATGATGGTTGTAAGGAATGCTAGGAAGCAGCTGGTCTGCAATGCAGGCGTATATTTTGGGGGCGAGTGAAAGCTGCTTTTTAAAGTTTGTAATGTCGGGGACGCCATCTTATTACAGAGGATGATTGCGGAGAGTAGAAATAAAAACCCTTGGGGTAGGCATAAGGGCGAAAGAAAAAGAAAAGCATGGATTTGGGTACTGGGGAAAAAACTGTCATCCAAAGACGTATTTCTTAAATAAGCCTACGAAAGTTTATCTTATTAATTATTATATATAAACAATCATCTAAAATCATGATAATCATTTTTCAATACATTTATTATCAGGCCAAAGTCATGGCAGCGGCCTTTACTGGATTGATCCAAACGGTGGCTCGACAGCTGACTCATTCCAAGCCTTTTGCGACATGGAAACTGAGCGTGGAGGTTGGACCCTAGTTGCAACAAAGGTCTCCCCAGGCTTCCTCTTCATCAAAACTGTTTTCTCGGCAGTGGCCGCTGCAACTAAGAACAGAGATGCCGCGAGTCACATACATCCAAGCATGGGGAACTGGAAAGAGGTTATGTTCCGCTTTGCTGACGTTGATACCATCCGAGTCATTTACAACAGAAAGGTGGGCGCACCAAACAAAGACAAGGAGGAATTCGACAAGTTCTTGATTGGGAAGTCTATGACTTTGGTAAAGAATGTGAATGGATTTTATAAGTACAGTCCAGCAGATAACAAAAGAAATCCCGGCGTGGGTTTTGCCACCATATCCTCTTTCCACTTCCGGTCAAACGAAGGTATCTCAGAGAGTCACAGTGGCACCGATAAGTGGCTTGACATGTGGCATCATGTAGACGGCTCCGGAAACAACTACATCTACAGCGATCACAGCAGGGCGCTGGGCACCAAATGTATCGCGGGCTACTGTTATCTGAACAAGCCAATCTGGGTAATGGTGCGCTAGTAAAACCATCAAGCCAATACAAGAGCAGCTGAGTAGGCGAGAAAGAATTAGATACTTAGGTGTTAACAGGCGATCCAGCAATATTGTCCAGATTAAAACGACCTGATATTAGTCCAGTTGAAAGGAATTCTCGCATCTTGTACTGACTGCTCATGAAATAAAACTAAAAAGCATTGGCGATTTGGGTGTGTTGTTTATTGCTCGTTTCTTTGTTTGTTTGGTTTTTCTCAGAACAACCCTTTTGTTGCTTGGGTAGGGGGAAATTAAGCAAGAGCTGGATTCAGTTCCATTCTAGGCCTGGTGCACCTGTTATGCGCAAGCTTTTCGGAATAACCCACTCAGAAATAATTAAAGAACTACGAATAACGATTGACTGCGTCAATTAATGACAACTGTGTAGCCTCAGTTTACATATTTTTTTTTTTCGGTTTTTCAAAATAATTCAACGGACAGGAGCAGTATTCTTTCTAATACGCAAGAAGAAAAAGGACTTTTGATATTATCAAGTATAACATCGAATTTTATCACCCTGTGGTACATACTCGGTAAGGATTGGATAAGGATTGGAAAAGCTTATACTGGCTCTTTTTCAAGATCACAAAATTTATGTTAGCCGTCTACAGCTATAAAAGACGCGCTTCCTTTATATTCCTTTAACCTAACAACAGACGAATCATTAAACAAAAGTATATCAACAATCACCAAAGAGGCCAAATTTCCAATAAGAGAGATTACGTTCGTCAATATCTTTACTGCGAGAAAATCGAGGTAATATCAAGTGGCATGATCTGTCGTTATCGCGGGAATATTATTCGTAGCACCAAACACATCTTGACACGAACTGATTATTATCCAAAACTTTAATTGATCTTCTGTCCAGGTTGGCTCCATGTGAACAGAACTTTTGGAGCTTTATTGGTGGACTGATCGCCCTGATCATTTTCTTTTGCTCTCCAACACTTGTTTTATAGAGATGTTCCAAATTTTCCCCATTATTAAGTTACCAATAAGACTGAGAACTCTGATATAGAACAGCATTCGTTTGTTACTCCAAATAAACCTGCAGGTTGCTAATTGGGTAGAATCATATGAATTAAATAACCTAATAGTGTCAGTGGATGATTAAGGTGATGGTTTCTTAGCCTCCTCGGGTAAATCATGCTAATTAATGACATCTTTGCACTGAGATGGCTGATTGTTTACATGACTTTGGGGCCAATCAGACCAGATCTGACATGTATCAGAAGCCAGCTACCGCTGAGCAGGGTGAATAGATGTGGCGCAGTAATCTTTTTCACGATGTTCAAATTATCATTATGGCGACGTAAACTTGCAAAATAATGCCTAGGCTCCTTCACAGAGTCTTCGTTCAAGCTTAGGCCAGGAATCATTCTTTTTTCTTTGACATCTCATTGACCATTTCCACCAGGCCTCAGAGCCCATGCATCTTGCCACTCGCAAATGATAAGGCCTTGTATCAAGTTCTTCCACTATTCATATCAAACTTTGAAAGTTTTTTAAGTACGATTATTCTCTATCAGAAGCGATAATTCATTTATCTATACAAACTAAATTCATACAATTTCCTTAATTCTAGATTTTGGTCACGTGTTTAGTCACGTGACAGATTTAGCACACACAGCAGAATAAGAACCTGAGATATATAATCACCAGGAGTCACAAAAAAAATCGACATATTTTAGGCTACCCAGCTAACAAACATAGGCTGCAATTTAGGTGGCAGCAAAAGTCATTGCCGATCAATCATGTTTCTTGGACACACTTTGGAGCCTAATTTTTTTCCTTCTTTTTTTTTTTTTTTCTTCTTCTCTATTTTTTCCAGTTGTAGTTTTTTTTGTTGCAAAATGTCAAAGCTAAGGTGTTCAGCTTTCGCCTCCGTCATCCTCCCTGCTGCGGTGGAATCATGCACAAAGCGATCGCTTATTTTATGTGAAACAATAACAATCTTTTTCTCTTTCAGTTACTCTGGCTTCAGCGTAAATTTTTTAAGGCAAAGTAAAGTAGGTTGGGAGAAGAAGGTTTAGCGCCTTAGGGACCGGTCATTATTTATCGCCTGGGGGTCGGAGTATTTAGGGGGGATCACATGGTTTTTGAAGACCTTTAGGGGGATCAGCCGTAATTGACAAGCATAATGGGGGGATCAGACGAAAAAAAAAAAAGGAATTTTGGGTCGCGCCGGGACCCCGGGTGAGTGCATTTGTAAATACTTTGGTAGGATTTGCCGCTGGGACTCTAAACCCCCAACCATATATTCAAGACCACGTTCAGTTGTATTTTGTATTATATAAACTTTATTCTAGCCCAGACAAAAACCCAAACCCTTTTTACAGACCCTCCATTTTGTAAAAAAGTATCACTATCGTAGTCTAACATACACGTTGTTAATCAGGCACGATCTATTGAAATTAGAAAGGTAATCAAGATTTTGAGAATGGAATACTTACAATTGCTCAAAATTGTTTCATGACGTTTCAGTTTGTTTTATAGAGAATCGTAATCTAAAATCATAAACGTTCATTATTTTAATACGCGGCCGAATGAAAACAACAAATAAAAAAGTGTTTATTTTGGTGAGGCTGTATCTTGTTCCGCTTCCGTGTCAGAATCTTCGGCAGCCCTCTCCACTGGCTCTTGCACAGTCTCCACGTCAGATTCATCGGAATCCTCGCCCGAACTTGACCCTCTTTCAGCACCATTACTTCTATTCTCTTCGTTCATTCTAGGCCGAGTTAGCAAGGGTTCACAATTCCGATTATAGAGTGCGATGTCATCGTTCGAGGGGCGACAGCGGGCAAGGTGAAGCCGAAAGGACAAACTCGGCAATTTCTGATGCTCTTGTGGATGGCGCAACTCTAGAGTGGGAAAAATATAGGAGGTTTGAGGATCTTTCAGAAGAGGAAATCAAACAACTGTCTCTCCAGTCATACGAAGAGTACGAAAAGAAACGGATGGAGAAAAATGCCTGGTATGTCTGTAGTCAGGTAGCCGAGAGAATTGATGATGCCCCTGTCCTTAAAGATTACATCAAGAGCAAAGTAAGCGAGTCCCCTGATGAATTATTCTTTTTCAATTCTGTTGACCTCGACAACTATCGGGGTGCATCAGAACGAAACAAAGAGCAAGCGCCCGGTGCAGCATACTTCCGAAAGATCGAATCGTTTATGGAAGACCACTATATTCGTGGAGAACTTTTTATGGAATTCTGTCGTGATGCCTGTAAAGAGTCAAGAGAAGAAAGTTCCAATCTCTGTTCCTGGTGTTCTAACAATAGATGGGTCGGTCCAGAAACGGAAAGAATTCCGCAACCTGTACCAGACTCAAACAATCCTGGACATTTCATGGATATCTATCAGACGGAATCGACGGGCAGGACACCAGATGATTACCTTCCAAGAAAATGTATTAAATATCTGTACGAGGAACATTCCGACAGTATCAGAAACGATCAGGATACCATGAAGAGCTTCTGCTCAAAATATAATGTGGAAGAGAAGCACGTCATTGCATATGTTAATCATTTGAAGGATATTGAGATCCGAAAGGACATGAGAACAAGAGCAGCTGAGGAGCGAAGAAGGCAAGAGGCCGAACGAACGTACAAGGACTTTCAATGGGATAACCTCATCGAGGGTGGCAAAGTTGAAAAGTTGCGGGTAAGAGAACTAGACCTGTATCTCAACAAGCATGGTTTGACGACTGTGGGTCGGAAACTTGACAAAGTTAAGGCCATTCGATGTCACTATTACCGACAGAATAAAGAGACTGTGATAACAGAAGAACTGTCGAGTGATGAAGATGACGTGGAATCCGAGGATGAAGAATCCGAAAGTGAAGAGGCAGAGAGCGACGATGACTATGTTTTCGTGGATTTGGATGAACAGCCTGAGATTGGCACTTCCGCGACAATTCAGTTCGTATCTGACGAGCAAATATCTACCGTTGTTGTTCAAGGTCCATGAGACGTAAGTACCACCATTAAAGATATCACTTGCATATTCAAAAAGTTATTTGGCGGTGGCTGGGAGAAAGGGGGGGGGATCATGAAACTTTCCACTACCAATAAGGGGGGATCTTTAAAAAACTAGATACTCTACGGGGGGATCAGGTAAATGCTCCGATGTGACAACAAAAATACTCCGACCCCCCGGCGATAAATAATGACCGGTCCCTTATACTATTTAGTTTGTTAAGTAAATACTATCTCTGACTCTCTCCTCACGTCGCTGATTGGATCTAACGACAATGCGGTGTTCTTTTTTTTACTTGTTTCTGGAAAAGTGTGTGTTAAAATTTAGTTGCGAAGTACTGTACTTCTAATAAAGGGTTTGCTAGGCTCAATGCTGACTATTCTACTTTTATAAAAAGCTCTCGGTGAACAAGAACAGTCAGTACATGACAAGGTCATGACAGCTCAACCAATGTTTGCATCAAAATTATCATACGTAACACAAATTTTAAAATTTTAATGTTGTCGCTGTTTTTTCATGTTAAGAAAATAAAGGAAACATCTTTCCCATCATTGTGAAACTCGCCATTTCCAACTGAAAAAGAAAGAAGCACTGAAAGAAGAGTGGGCTCAAAATGTTACGCTTGTTTATTCCGTTGTTTCTTGTTCTGATTTTGCGTTCCTTCGCAAGCCAGAAAAACTCTGTAAGCAATGTAAGTTTGGCACTTTTTTTTAGTTCGGTCCTTGAAAATAATTGATTTTGTCTGATATAAAAAGTAAGATCAAATCAATATACACTATGACCGTGCTACTTTAACCAATAAAATACAATACTAATGCCTTGCGGACTTCCTCTTGTCTAGGTATCAAATCAAAACCATTGCTGCAACTGTCGCGACGGTAAGTTAAAGACTCTTAATGAATCCTGATTCCTCTTTATAGATGTTGTTCTAACATAATTTCTCATTTTTTCCCTAGGAAGGGACGGACGAGATGGTCAGAACGGTAAGATAACACATCGCACATATCCATATAACAATGTTTTCACTAACTGACACAATGCCCAGCAGTTACGAATTCTATTAAAAAGTAAAATACTTTCTGACCCTGTCAACCTTCCAGTTTAGTACCTATACGTATATATCTATTCACACCTTCTGCCCATAAATGGAATAGTAGATTGCTAGCAGGAAATACTGCCGTAGGAACTTAAATTAGCCATATACTGAGTTACGTTCCATATATATTACAACTGGGCGAATTCATCTAAAAAAAATATGAGAAGTTCTGACTGCTGAAAATGGAAAGTGAACCTTGTTAAAAATAAGATAACGTAGTCAGAGTTGGGACTCTTTAATTTAGATGGTGTAGAAAAATAAGTGAAGTATTAAGCAAGAGATCAAGATCATGCACTGACGTGGCATTCAAAATTGTTGTCTTCCGCTTTCTTTTGCGTGAGTTCCTCTCGTTCCCTTTTGTGGTCATCACCATTAAATAATTTTATTTTTTTCGCACCCAAGGAAAGGATGGTCGTGATGGAAGAGACGGGATCAACGGGAACGGAATGAAGGTAAAAATATTAAAAAGGAATAAAGCTTTTTCCTCTTTGCCGCATGGATCAGGAGTAAAGCGAACGCTTACTTTGTGCAAAACAATAGAGTCAATAGAAACGTTTTTAAACTCGTGGGCCAAACTAGTCGTGAGTGCATGTGCTAGAGCACACACTTTGAAATACTCTGCAATTTCGTCACCAGAGCCTTCGGATCATGAGTAGTGGTCGAGAATGGCTACTTTGGCAAACTGACAGGAAAACATGGCGATACTTTGAAAGATCGTGACACAGAAGGTGCTCGCTTTAGAGACGTGCTGATTAACAGAGGAAGGTTCAAGAGCAAACTTAGGCGGGGGGTGGGGGAGGGGAGGGGGAAACGTTGATGCAAGTAATACAGGGATATCTCTTTCCAATTCTCAAATGTACCCATCAGTGTATTTTCAGGGCAGGGTGTGGGGGGTAGGGTGAATTGCGGGACAGAGTTGAAGCGTTCTCTGCTTGGCTTTGCGCCTCATACTATTTAGTTTGTATTTCTGGCTGTATCCTCATGCCACTGATTATATAGAGGGAAACTCAATGTTATTGCTTTTCTTCGCTTTCAAAATTCTTTGTAACGATTGAATCATATATACTGAACTGTACTTTAAGAATTTGCTCGTTGTTACTGCCCGTTGTGAATTTTTTCTGTATTAATACAGCTCTCGGCTGACAAGGACACAATCTCGACCCTAGAGCTCTTCTCCGCATGAAGGCTGGAATCAGAAGCGTAAGCACTGGGGTCGTGATTGGAAAAGGACAGCAAATGACAAGAATGATGACAGCTCAGATTAAAATTTCATATGTCACTGCATAAATTAAAATTTTGATGGTCTCGCAGTTTTTTCATGTTAAGAAAATAAAGGAAACATCTTTCCCATCATAGTCAAACTCGCCAGTTCCAACTGAAAACGAAAGGAGCACTGAAAGAAGAGTGAGCTCAAAATGTTACGCTTGTTTATTCCGTTGTTTCTTGTTCTGATCTTACGTTCCTTCGCAAGCCAGAAAAACTCTGTAAGCAATGTAAGTTTGGCACTTTTTTTAGTTCGGTCCTTAAAAGAATTGATTTTGTCTGATATAAAAAGTAAGATCAAAAGAATATACACCATGACCGTGCTACTTTAACCAATAAAATTCAATACTAATACCTCGCGGATTTCCTCTTGTTTAGGTATCAAATCAAAACCATTGCTGCAACTGTCGCGACGGTAAGCTAAAGACTTTGAATGAATCCTGATTCCTATCTGTTCATGTTGTTCTAATATAATTTCTCATTTTTTCCCTAGGAAGGGACGGACGAGATGGTCAGAACGGTAAGATAAGACATCGCACATATCAATATAACCGGGCATGTTTTCACTAATTGCCACAATGTTGACGATTCAAGTCCGTCCCATTTTATTTAGCAGTAAAATACTTTCTGATCCGGTCAACCCTTCAATTTAGTACCTATAGGTATATATCTGTTCACACCTTTTGCTCATAAATGGAATAGTAGATTGCTGGCAGGAAATACTGCCATAGGAACTTAAATTAGTATTGTTTCATATTACAACTGGGCGAACTAATCTGAGAAAATATAAGAAGTTCTGACTGTTGAAAATGGAAAAGTGAATCTTGTTAAAAATAAGATAACCTAGTCAGAGCTGGGACTTTCTAAGTTAGAAGGTGTAGAAAAATAAATATTAAGTATTAAGCAAGAGATCAATATCACTGACGTGGCATGATTAAAATGGTTGTCTTCCGCTTACTTTTCCGTGAGTTCTTCCCGTTCTCTTTTCTACTCATCACCATTAAATAATTTTATTTTTTCACACCCAAGGAAAGGATGGTCGTGATGGAAGAGACGGGATCAATGCGGGAAACGGAATGAAGGTAAAAATATTAAAAAGGAATAAAGTTTTTTCTGCCATTATCAAATCGATGATAAATTATGTCTTGGAACAAAGATGAATAAGCCAGACGAGAACTTTTAATAACACCGGACAAAAGGCTAAGATTACTCAAGTTCCCTGTAATCCGAGATTTCAGCTGCCTCTAAAAACCCGCTTGTTTAACTCCAGAGTCTATTTTCTGTAGTAAAAGCGAACTGACACAGTACCACCTTATTCTGTTCTAATAAGTAGTTACATAAGATAAAAAATTCCGTTTGAAATCTGACAAAATCTCAGGGGTAAAGACCAGTCTTAAGTAAAAGAATTACAAAGAAGGAGATCTGAGTCTTCAAGTTTCCCCAACCCTAGATTGGTTTTAAGAATAGTTAAGGACTTGTTTGTTTTTCAGGGTCAAAAAGGAGCACGTGGCTCATCAGGAAACAACGCAGGAGGTGTAATTAAGTTTAGCGATACCGCTGAGAAATGTACCGCAAGCATCGCCGGCACTGTAAGCTACAATAGTTCCCAGAAATCCTTGCAACTCTGTGATGGAAGTGTTTGGCTTCCAGTGCTGACTGTTGGAAAAGGTTACAAGAAGGATAGACCTGGCCGCCATTGCTTGGATATTTTAAATTCTGGTAAGCTGAAACTGTGATAAATAAAAAGAATCCATAAGAGACTGAGGAGATAGTCGTAGAGATTGCTGAGAAGTAGCTGGCCTGCAATGCAGGCGTATATATTGGGGGCGAGTGAAAGTTGCTTTATAAAATTTGCAATGCCGCAGCCGCCATCTTTCTTAAACATGCCTGCTAAAGTTCATCCTATCAATCATAATATATAAACAATCTTGTAAAATAATATTCATTTTTCAGTATATTTATTATCAGGCCAAAGTCATGGCAGTGGGCTTTACTGGATTGATCCAAACGGTGGCTCGACAGCTGACTCATTCCAAGCCTTTTGCGACATGGAAACTGAGCGTGGAGGTTGGACCCTAGTTGCCACAAAGGTCTCCCCAGGCTTCCCCTTCATCAAAACTGTTTTCTCATCAGTGGCCACTGCAACTAAGAACAAAGATGCCGCGAGTCACATACACCCAAGCATGGGGAACTGGAAAGAGGTTATGTTCCGCTTTGCTGACGTTGACACCATCCGAGTCATTTACAACAGAAAAGCGGGCGCACCAAACAAAGACAAGGAGGAATTCGACAAGTTCTTGATGGGGAAGTCCATGCAGTTGTATAAAAACGTCAATGGATTTTACAAGTACAGTCCAGCAGATAAGAAAAGAAATCCCAGCGTGGGTCTTGCCACCATATCCTCTTTGCACTTCTATTCAAACTTTGGGATCTCGGAACCTTTTAGAGGCACGGATAAGTGGCTTGACATTTGGAATACTGGTGATAGCTCAAACAACTACATCTACAGCGATGACAGCAGGGCGCGGGGCACCAAATGTATCGCGGGCTACTGTTATCTGAACAAGCCAATCTGGGTGATGGTGCGCTAGTAAAACCATCACGCTAATACACGAGCAGCTAATTACGAAAAAGAACTAGATACTTAGGTGTTAACAGGCGATAATAAAGTAGGTTTTAAAACAGACTGCTGGCGATACCAACGTTCTAACAATAGTGTCAAAATTAAAACGACCTGATATTAATCCAGTTAAAAAAAATTCTCGCATCTTGTACTGACTGCTCATAAAATAAAAGTAAAAAGCATTGGCGATTTGGGTGTGTTGTTTATTGGTCGTTTGTTTGTTTGTTTGCTTTTTCCTCAGAACAACCCTTTTGTTACTTGGGTAGGGGGAAATGGAGCAAGAGTTAGATTCAGTTCCACTCTAAGCCTGGTGCATGTGTTATGAGCAAAGTTTTTCGGAAAAACCGACTCAGAAATAATTAAAGAACTACGAATAACGATTGACTGCGTCAATCAATGACAGCTGTCTTGCCTTTTTACAAACTTCTTTTTTCGGTTTTTTAAAATAATTCAACGCATGGACAGGAGAAGTATTTTTTCTAATATTCAAGAAGAAAAAGGACTTTTGATATTATCAAGTATAATATGGAATTTTATCACCATGTGGTATATACTCTTGAGTTGTAAGGATTGGATCAGAAAGTTGGAAAAGCTTACACTGGCTCTTTTTCAAGATCACAAAATTTATGTTAGCCGTCTACAGCTATAAAAGACGCGCTTCCTTGTGAATCTCTTTATATTCCTTTAACCTAACAACAGACGAATCATTAAAGACAAAAGTATATGAACAATCACCGAAGAGGCCAAATTTCCAATAAGAGAGATTACGTTCGTCAATGTCTTTACCGCGAGAATATCGAGGTAATAGCGAGTGATCTGTCGTTATGGCAAGAATATTATTGGTAGCACCAAACACATCTTGACACGAACTGATTATAAACCAAAAACTTTATCTGATCTTCTAGTTAGGTTGGCTCCATGTGAACAGAACGTTTGGAGTTTTATTGGTGGTCTGATCGCCCTGATCATTTCATTTGCTTTCCAACACTTGTTTTATAGAGATGTCCCAGATTTTTCCCCATTATTGAGTTACCAATAAGAGTGAGAACTCGGATATAGAATAGCATTCGTTTGTTACTCCAAATAAACCCGCCAGTTGCTAATTAGGTAGAATTATATGAATTAAATAACCTAATAGTGCCAGTGGATGATTAAGGTGATGGTTTCTTAGCCTCCTCGGGTAAATCATGATAATTAATGACATTTTTGCACTGTACGTAATGGCTGATTTTTCAAATGACTTTGGTGCCAATCAGACCAGATCTGGCATGTATCAGATGCCAGCTACCGCTGAGCAGGGTGAATAGATGTGGCGCAGTAATCTTTTTCACGATGTTCATATTATCATTATCGCGGCGTAAACTTTTTTTTTTTTTTTTTTTTTTTTTTTATTTTTTTTTTTTTTTTTATTGCAAGTAATACACACACAGAAAAGAAACAAAAATTACACAGAATAAATAAAGTAATAAAAAGAAAAAAAAAAGTAACAAATAAAGTAACAAAAAAAAACAAATAGCGAATTTACACACTTACATGGCAATATACTTACAAATATTAAAATACGTTACAGCAATGGTAATTCCATATATTACTGTACTTAGTATAATCTATAATTAATTGTTACATTTTTGTTTTCTTTCTTTGTGGTGAAAGTAATATAAATACTCAGAGTAGGTGCACTAATTTATGTTTTTGGAGTTAGGAGACAAGACCCAGCGAGGAAAAGAAAGGTTTCCATTTTTTTGTATTGCGCGGTGTCTTATTTTCTAATTGGTATATGTGTCTCAGATAAAACAAGAAATTGTTGTGAATTGGGAAACATTCTTTTGATCTGCATATCCAGATAAAGTTCTTAGCTATAAGACAACAGAAGTTTATATGGAGCTTAAAGGAAGAGCTGTCTGGCGTTAGGCCCAAAGCGGTAGTCATGTCTAAGTAACTGCCTGGTTGGAGGATCTGGCACGACTGAAGCCATATCGAGAAATTATCCCAAAAATTTTTGGTTTTTTGGCATTTCCAAAATAGATGCACCAAATCCTCTTTCTCGTCATGGCAAAAAGTACATTTTCCGTCCTCTTTAACTCCTATTTTTTGCAGATAGCTGTTAGTTGGTAAACGTCTGTGTAAAAATCTGAAATTAAAATCAATTAGTTTTGAGCTCGTTGTACAAGTGTTTGCTGCTTGAAAAACGTTTCTCCAGTCAGCATTTTTATCGGTTGAAGAGTGGATGTCTTTATGCCATTTGTCTATACAAGATGTGGGTTTTTCACTTTGTTTACATGACTTTGGTGCCAATCAGACCAGATCTGACATGTATCAGAAGCCAGCTACCGCTGAGCAGGGTGAATAGATGTGGCGCAGTAATCTTTTTCACGATGTTCAAATTATCATTATGGCGGCGTAAACTTGCAAAATAATGCCTAGGCTCCCTCACAGAGTCTTCGTTCAAGCTTAGGCCAGGAATTATTCTTTTTTCTTTGACATCTCGTTGACCATTTCCACTAGGCCCCAGAGCCCGTGCATCTTGCCACTCGCAAATGATAAGGCCTTGTATCAAGTTCTTCCACTATTCATCCCAAACGTTGAAAGTTTTTTAAGTACGATTATCCTCTATCAGAAACGATAATTTATTTATCTATACAAAGTAAATTCATACAATTTCCTTAATTTTAAATTTTGATCACGTGTTTAGTCACGTGACAGATTTAACACACACAGCAGAATAAGAACCTGAGATATTTAATCACGAAAAAGTTCGACATATTTTAGGCTACGTAGCAAAAGTCATTACCGATCAATAATGGTTCTCGGAACACACTTTGGAGCCTAATTTCTTTCCTTCTTTTCTTTTTTTCCTTCTTCTTCTCCATTTTTTCCAGTTTGAGTTTTTTTTTGTACCAAAATGGCAAAGCTAAGGTGTCCAGCTTTCGCCTCCGTCATCCTCCCCGCTGCGGTGGAATCATGCACAAAGCGATTGCTTATTTTATGTGAAACAATAACAATCTTTTTCTCTTTCAGTTACTCAGGCTTCAGCGTGAATTTTTTAAGGCAAATTAAAAAAGATTGCGAGAAGAAGATTGAGCGCCTTATACTATTTAGTTTGTTAGGTAAACACTATTTCTGACTCTCTCCTCACGTCGCTGATTGGACACTGCAGTGTTCTTTTTTACTTTAATTGTTTCTGGAAAAGTCTGTGTTAAAATTTTATTGCAAGGTACTGTACTTCTAATAAAGGGTTTGTTACGCTCAATGCTGACTATTCCACTTTTATAAAAAGCTCTTGGTGGACAAAGACAGTCAGTATACATGACAGGGTCATGACAGCTCAACCAATGTTTGCATCAAAATTATCATACGTAATACAAATATTAAAATTTCGATAGTGTGTCGCCGTATTTTCATGTTAAGAAAATAAAGGAAACATCTTTCCCATCATTGTGAAACTCGCCATTTCCAACTGAAAACGAAAGAGGCACTTAAAGAAGAGTGGGCTCAAAATGTTACGGTTGTTTATTCCGTTGTTTCTTGTTCTGATCTTGCGTTCCTTCGCAAGCCAGAAAAACTCTGTAAGCAATGTTTGGCACTTTTTTTAGTTCGGTCCTTGAAAATAATTAATTTTGTCTAATATAAAAAGCAAGATCAAATGAATATACATTATGACTGTGCTACTTTAACCAATAAAATACAATACTAATGCCTTGCAGATTTCCTCTTGATTAGGTATCAAATCAAAACCATTGCTGCAACTGTCGCGACGGTAAGCTTAAGACTCTTAATGAATCCTGATTCCTTTTTATAGATGTTGTTCTAACATAATTTCCCATTTTTCCCCTAGGAAGGGACGGACGAGATGGTCAGAACGGTAAGATAAGACATCGCACATATCAATATAACCATGTTTTCACTAACTGACATAATGCCCAGCAGTTCTGAATTCTATTAAGAAGTAAAATACTTTCTGACCCGGTCAGCCTTTCAATTTAGTACCTATACGTATATATCTGTTCACACCTTCTGCCCATAAATGGAATAGTAGATTGCTAGCAGGAAATACTGCCATAGGAAGTTAAATTAGCCATATAGTTACGTTCCATATAACAACTGGGCGAATTCATCTGAAAAAAAGTTCTGACTGTTGAAAATGGAAAAGTGAACCTTGTTAAAAATAAGAAAACGTAGTCAGAGTTGGGACTCTTTAATTTAGATGGTATAGAAAAATAAATGAAGTATTAAGTAAGTGATCAAGATCACTAACGTGGCATTCAAAATGTCGTCTTTCGCTTTCTTTTGCGTGAGTACTTCTCGTCCTCTTTTCTACTCATCGCCATAAAATAATTTTAATTTTTTTCACCACCAAGGAAAGGATGGTCGTGATGGAAGAGACGGGATCAACGGAAACGGAATGAAGGTAAAAATATTAAAAAGGAATAAAGCTCTTTCCTTTTTGCCGCAGGGATCAGGAGTAAAGCGAACGCTTACTTTGTGCAAAACAATAGAGTCCATAGAAACGTTTTAAACTCGTGGGCCAAACTAGTCGTGAGTGCATGTGCTAGAGCATTACACTTTGAAATACTCTGCAATTTCGTCACCAGAGCCTTTCGGATCATGAGTAGTGGTCGAGAATGGCTACTTTGGCAAACTGACAGGAAAACATGGCGATACTTTGAAAGATCGTGACACAGAAGGAACGTTCAAGAGCAAACTTAGGTGGGGGGTGGGGGAGGGGGGAAAGCTGATGGCAGTAAGACAGGAATATCTTTTTCCAGTTCTCAAATGTACCCATCAGTGTATTTTTAGGGCAAGGTATAGGGGTAGGGTGAATTGCGGGAGAGAGTTGAAGCGTTCAGTGCTTTGTCTTGCGCCTCACGTATTTCCGGCTATCTCCTCATGCCACTAATTGTATAGAGGGAAACTCAATGTTCTTGCTTTTATTCGCTTCAAAAATTCTTCGTAACGATCAAATCATATATACTGAACTGTACTTCAAGGACTTGCTGTCATTGCCCGTTGTGGATTTTTCTGCATTTAAGCTCTCGACCGACAAGGACACAATCTCCACCCCAGAGCTCTCCTCTGCATAAAGGCCGGAGTCAAAACCGTAAGAACTGGGTCGAGATTGGACAAGGACAGTAAATGACAAGGGTCATGAGATTATGGGTTATCATACATGATACATACATTGAAATTTTGATGGTCTCGCCGTTTTTTCATGTTAACAAAATAAAAAAACTATATTTCCCATCATTGTGAAACTCGCCATTTCCTACTGAAAACGAAATAAGCACTTAAAGAAGAGTGAGCTGAAAATGTTACGCTTGTTTATTCCCTTGTTTCTTGTTCTCATGCATCTTGCGTTCCTTCGCAAGGCAGAAAAACTTTGCAAGTAACGTAAGTTTGGCTTTTTTTATTTCAGTCCTTCTATAAATTAATTTTGTCTAATAAAAAAGTAAGATCGAAAGAATATACACCATGACTGTGCAATTTAACCAATAAAATTCATTATTAATACGTCGCGGATTTTCTGTTGTTTAGGTATCAAATCGAAATCATTGCTGCAACTGTCGCGACGGTAAGCTAAAGTCTTTGAATGAATTCTGATTCCTTTCTGTTCATGTTGTTTTAATATATTTTCTCATTTTTTGCGTAGGAAGGGACGGACGAGATGGTCAGAACGGTAAGATAAGACATCGCACATATTAATAATAACCGGGCATCTTTTCACTAACCGACACAATGTTGACGATTCAAGACCCAGCAGTTCCCTTTTTTCATTAATTAAGTAGTAAAATACTTTCTGACCCGGTCAACCTTCCAATTTAGTACCTATACGTATATATCTGTTCACACCTTCTGCCCATAAATGGAATAGTAGATTGCTGACAGGAAATACTGCCATAAGAACTTAAGCTAGTAGTACAGCTCCATATTACAACCGGTCGAATTAATCTGAGAAAATATAAGAAGTTCTGACTGTTGAAAATGGAAAACTGAACGTTATTAAAAATAAGAGTAACGTAGTCAGAGTTGGGACTTTTTAATTTAGATGATGTAGAAAAATAAATGAAGTATTAAGTAAGAGATCAATGTCACTGACGTGGCATTCAAAATTGTTGTCTTCCGCCGTTCTTTTGCGTGCGTTTTCTCTTTCTCTTTCTCTTTTCTACTCATCAGGCATTAAATAGTTTTACTTTTTCACACCCAAGGAAAGGATGGTCGTGATGGAAGAGACGGGATCAACGCGAGAAACGGAATGAAGGTAAAAATATTAAAAACGAATAACGTTTTTTCTGCCATTACCAAATCGATGATAAATTATTTCTGGGAACAAAGATGGATAAGCCAGAGGAGAACTTTTAACAACACCGGACAAAAGGCTAAGATCACTCAAGCTCCCTGCAATCCGAGATTTCAGCTGACTCCAAAAAACACGCTTGTTTAACTCCAGAGTCTATTTTCTGAAGGAAAAGGGAGGGACACAGTACCATCTTAGTCTGTTTTCATAAATTAGTTACAAAGATAAAAAATTCCGTTTAAAATATGACGAAATCTAAGCGGCAAAGGTCAGTCTTAAGTAAAAGAATTACAAAGAAGGAGATCTGAGTCTTTAGGTTTCCTGAACCCTAGATGGGTTTGAAGAATAGTTAAGGACTTGTTTGTTTTTCAGGGTCAAAAAGGAGAACGTGGCTCATCAGGAAACAACGCAGGAGGTGTAATTAAGTTTAGCGATACCGCTGAGAAATGTACCGCAAGCATCGCCGGCACTGTAAGCTACAATAGTTCCCAGAAATCCTTGCAACTCTGTGATGGAAGTGTTTGGCTTCCACTGCTGACTGTTGGAAAAGGTTACACAGCGGATAGACCAGGCCGCCATTGTTTGGATATTTTAAATTCTGGTAAGTTTAAACTGTGATAAATATATAGAACCCATAAGGGAATGAGGAGAGTAATGATGGTTGTAGAGAATGCTAGGAAGAACATGGCCTGCAGTGCAGGCGTATATATTGGGGGCGAGTGAAAGCTGCTTTTTAAAGTTTGCAACGCATGCTTCAGCCGCCATCTTTGATCTTATTACAGAGGATGATTGCGGAGAGTAGAATTAAAGACCTTTAGGGTAGGCGTAAGGATGAAAGGAAAAAGGTGGGAAAGGGCGGGGGAGGAGAAAAGCATGGACTTGGGTACGGTACTGAGAAAAAGACTGTCATCCAAAGACGTAATAATATTCATTTTTCAATATATTTATGATCAGGCCAAAGTCATGGCAGTGGGCTTTACCGGATTGATCCAAATGGTGGCTCGACAAAAGACTCGTTCCAGGCCTTCTGCGACATGGAAACCGAGCGTGGAGGTTGGACCCTAGTTGCCACAAAGGTCTCCCCAGGCTTCCTCTTCATCAAAACGGTTTTCTCATCAGTGGCCGCTGCAACTAAGAACAGAGATGCCGCGAGTCACATACACCCAAGCATGGGGGACTGGAAAGAGGTTATGTTCCGCTTTGCTGACGTTGATACCATCCGAGTCATTTACAACAGAAAAGTGGGCCGCACCAAACAAAGACAAGGAGGAATTCGACAAGTTCTTGATGGGAAAGTCTATGAATGTGGGAAAAAACGTGAATGGATTTTATAAGTACAGTCCAGCAGATAAGAAAAGAAATCCCAGCGTGGGTTTTGTCACCATATCTACTTTGTACTTTGATTCAAGCAATGGGATCTCAGAAGGTCATAGTGGCACGGATAAGTGGCTTGACATGTGGAGAGGTGCTGACGGCTCAAACAAATACATTTACAGTGATGACAGCAGGGCGCGGGGCAACAAATGTATCGCGGGCTACTGTTATCTGAAGAAGCCAATCTGGGTGATGGTGCGCTAGCCTGAAAACCATCAAGCCAATACACGAACTGCTGATTACGAGAGAAAGAATTAGATACTTCGGAGTTAAATGCCGATAATAAAGTACGTTTTAAAAGAGAGGAAATGATGGAGTATCAAAAGTTCCGACAATGTTGTCAAGATTAAAACGACTTGATGATTAGTCCAGTTCGCATAAAATAAAACTTAAAAAGTGTTGGCGATTTGGCTGTGTGTTGTTTATTTGTCGATTGTTTGTTATTTGGTTTTTTTTTCAGAGCAATCCTTTTGTTCCTTGGGTAAGGGTGAAATAAGCAAGGACTAGATTCTAGCCTGCGTAGAAAGCTTTTCTGTTTGGTTTCGGAGCAAAGAAAGACCGAGGAACGGATTTTTCGGTTTTGGCCGCGCGAGAAATGGAACGAGAGACATAATGAGAAAGGGTACTTCCTTACTTTTCTTCCCCACCCCCTCCCCGCTCTTTTACTAGCGCCATTTTTCGCGCGGTCTTTTCTTTCCTCGTTCTTTGCTCCCAAACCGCACGTAGACGCTTGCTACGCAAGCTGACTAGATTCAGTTTCACTTTACCTATCCGCGAAGTTATTCAGTCGATCAGAAATATTCTCAAAAATGCAGAACTGAGGTCATTAAAGGTTCTTACAATTTACGATGCTGACTGCGTCAATTAATGAGAAATTTGTTGTTTTCAGCCTCAAAAGAGAGTAGCCTCGGTTGTTCATATTTCTTTTCCAGTTTTTCAAAATACCTCAACAGACACCGGAAAAGTTTTTCTTTCTAATATTCAAGACGAAAAGACAATTTTAAAACCACTAGGCATAACATCATCGCATTGTAGCACCGTGTGTTACATATTCTTAAGTTATAACATACTGAATCAGAAAGCCGGTAGGCAAAGCTTATCCTATATCTTAATCTCATTTTAGTTCAAGATCATTGCATGAAGGGAATTGTTTGAAGTGCGGGTTTATGACCGATGAAAGGAGATGCACTTGATTGTGGTCTTTTTATATTCCTCCAACCGCACAAGATACGAATCGTTAAAAAGAACTTGGTATAAGCAGGACAACCGAAAAGGCTGATAAGAGGGATTATTTTTTAATGCCTTTAAAATATTAATTGAAGTGATCGTGGAGTTATCCGTTGTTGCGGGGCTAATATTGGTAGGTCTATACTCGTCTTGACACAAAATGCTTATTGACCAACAACCTTATCTGATCGTCTATAGTAGATAGACCTTGTCGTCATGGTAGTAAACGAAACCTTTGAAAAAGTGGGAGTTCTATTGGTCCAATTCCCTTGATCATATAACTCCATTGATATGATAACTTGGCCTTACGCGGATCCATTTTTTCACTTGCTTTTTGAAGCTGGGTCAGGTTAACATGCTTGAAATGGCCGTTTTTTTGACAATAATGAGTTTTCCCATAAGAATGAAAACTCGGAGAAAACGACCTGTTCTCAAGGGACGAAGAAAAAGAAATGCTTTTTAGTAAAGTTTAAATTGTTTAGCCTTGTTGTCATGGAGGCGATCCATAAAGTTTAAACTCCTGTTAACAAGCCCATATAAAATGGCCATTTAAATCACGCCTCTTGGCTCCTCATCAGTAACAGCTTTGTAATTTGCTAATTAAACTTCAGTATTTTAAATAATACATTTCAGAGTTACACAGTCAATAATCAGATAGGGGTTAGTGGATGGCTAGGATGATGAAGTCCTAGTCTCCTCGGATAAATCACGATGATTCCGAACATCTTTGTACTGTGAAGGCTGAAGGTTTTCTTGAGCTTATTGTCAATCAGACAAGATATTAGACGCTAGGTAGCTGCTGCTGAGTGGAGCGTACTAACCAGTTGGCTCATGATCAGTAAGATTGTTCCACTGGAATGTTTTCCACGACAGTCCATGGACATTTATATAATCGTCATTGTAAAATTTAGGTCTTTACATATTTTTTGATCACGTGATTAGTCACGTGACAGACATTACACGTACGGAAGAAAATGACCCAGAGATATTATATATTCAGAGAAAGTTTCTTCCTTCGAGGCACTTCTATTCTCTTAAGCAACCCAGCAAAAGATATTGCAGACAATCTCATTTCTTTCTAGATAAATTTTTGAGCTAGCCGTCATTTTTTGTCATATTGTTCCTTCCAAAATATGCCACGACTGTGGTGAACAGCTTTCCTCTTCTGTCTCCCTCTTGGGCTGCTATGGGATCAGGAGTGACGTGATCATGACTTACTTTGTGTGAAACAGAAGTGTTTTAGACCTGTGCGCCAAAAGAATAGTTGAATAGAATAGCTCCAGGGTGAGTTACAGTATTTTCTTATTTGACTGCCAAGAAAAGATCACCGATAATGATCACAATAAAATGTCGTATAGGGAAGGTAGTCGCTTATGGTGATTAGCAGATAGAAAGAAAGGTTCCAAAGCAAATTAGCAAATTAAAGATAAGTTGGGAACGATTGATGCAAAATAAAATACAAATCTTTTTCTTACTCTCTCGTTTTTACATCAATGTATTTTTCGGTAAGGGTAGGGTGGCATATTCTTACGGTATTTCCAACTACTCTCCTTTTGATGCTGATCAAGGGAAGCTCAGTGTTCTTCTTTAACTGCGCCTTACAAAAGTCTCCGTAAAAATTGAATTGTGTATAAGTGTACTTTAAGGGTTTGCTACACTTTTTATTCCTCATTTTATATTGCTGATTTGTATTCCGGTATGATCAAAGGTTTTCCGCCGGCAGGGGCAGTCAAGTATGACAGTGAATTAAATCTGCATTGAAAATAGCATACGTAATGTGCAAATTAAAATTTCGATGGTCTCGCCGCTTTTTCTTGTTTAGAAAAAAAAACATCTTCCCATCCATATTAAACTCGCCATTTTCTACTGAAAACCAAAGGAGAGTGAGCTAAAAATGCTTCGCTTGGTTATTCCGTTGTTTCTTGTTCTCATCTTGCGTTCCTTCGCAAGCCAGAAAAAATCTTCAAGCAATGCAAGTTTGGCTTGTTTAGTTCTATTCCTTTATGCATCAAATAATCTGGTCTAATTTAAAAAGGACGAAAGAAGATAAACTATGACAATGCCACTTAAATCACTAAAATTCACTGACTAATACCTCGCGGTTTTCTTCTTCAGGGAACAGAGAAAAACCACTGTTGTAACTCGTGTCGCGACGGTAAGCTGAAGACATTAGGTGAATCCCGATTTTTTTTTTCTGCACATGTTATTCTGACATTTTTCATTTTTTGCTAGGACGGGACGGAAGAGATGGTCAGAACGGTAAGATAACACATCGCACATTTCAATATAACCATGTTTTCATTAACTGACACAATGTTGACGATTCAAGACCCAGACTCACACCTTCTGCCCATGGAATAGTAGATTGCTGGCACGAAATACTGCCATAGGAACTTAAATTAGCCATGTAGTTACGTTCCACATTACAACTGGGCGAATTCATCTGAAAAAAATATGAGAAGTTCTAACTGTCGAAAGTCGAAAAGCGAGATGGTGTAGAACAATAAATGAAGTATTAAACGGGAGATCAATATCACTGACGTGGCATTCAAAATTGTTGTCTTCCGCTTTCTTTGCGTGCGTTTTCTCTTTCTCTTTTTTACTCATCAGGCATTCAATTATTTTATTTTTTCACACCCAAGGAAAGGATGGCCGTGATGGAAGAGACGGGATCAACAGAAACGGAATGAAGGTAAAAATATTAAAAAGGAATAAAGTTTTTTCTGCCATGTCAAATTGATGGTAAATTATTTCTTGGATCAAAGATGAATAAGCCAGAACACGGGACTAAAGGCTAAGATTATTCAAGTTCCCTGTAATCCGAGATGTGAGCTGCCTAAGAAACATTCTCTAAAAAACCCCGTTTGTTTAACCCCAGAGTCTATTTTCTGTAGTAAAAGGGAGGGACACAGTACCACCTTACAAAAAATGACCTTAGTCTGCTCTTATCATTAGTTACATAAGAAGAAGAATCCCGTTTAAAATCTGACGAAATCTCAGCGGTAAGGGCCAGTCGTAAGTAAAAGGATTACAGAGAAGGAGATCTGAGTCTTCAAGTTTCCCCAACCCTAGATTGGTTTTAAGAATAGCTAAGGACTTGTTTGTTTTTCAGGGTCAAAAAGGAGAACGTGGTTCAACAGAAAACAACGCAGGGGGCGTAATTAAGTTTAGCGATACCGCTGAGAAATGTACCTCGAGCATCGCCGGCACTGTTAGCTACAGTACTTCCCAGAAATCCTTGCAACTCTGTGATGGAAGCCATTGGCTGCCAGTGTTGGCTGTTAGAAAAGGTTACACAGCGGATAGACCAGGCCGCCATTGTTTGGATATTTTAAATTCTGGTAAGCTTAAATTGTGATAACTAAAAAGAATCCATAAGAGACTGAGGAAAGTAATGATGGTTATAGAGAGTGCTGGGAAATAGCTGGCCTGCAATGCAGGCGTATATATTGGGAGCGAGTGAAAGTTGCGTTTTAAAGCTTGTAATGTCGCGGCCGCCATCTTTGATCCTATTTACAGAGGACGATTGCGGAGAGTAGAAATAAAAACCCTTGGGGTAGGCGTAAGGGTGAAAGAAAAAGAAAAGCATGGGCTTGGGTACTGGGGAAAAACTGTCATCCAAAGACTTTTTTCGTAAATAGGCCTACCAAAGTTCATGTTATTAATTATAATTATATAAACAATAAGTAGAATAATATTCATTGTTCAATATATTTATGATCAGGCCAAAGTCATGGCAGCGGCCTTTACTGGATTGATCCAAACGGTGGCTCGACAGCTGACTCGTTCCAAGCCTTTTGCGACATGGAAACTGAGCGTGGAGGTTGGACCCTGGTTGCCACCAAAGTATCCCCAGGCTTCCCCTTCATAAAGACTGTTTTCTCACCAGCGGCCGCTGCAACTAAGAACACAGATGCCGCGAGTCACATACATCCAAGCATGGGGAACTGGAAAGAGGTTATGTTCCGCTTTGCTGACGTTGATACCATCCGACTTATTTACAACAGAAAAGCGGGCGCACCAAACAAAGACAAGGAGGAATTCGACAAGTTCTTGATGGGGAAGTCCATGCAGTTGATAAAGCGCGTGAATGGATTTTACAAGTACAGTCCAGCAGAAAACAAAAGAAATCCCAGCGTGGGGTTTGCCACCATATCCTCTTTCCACTTCTATTCAAACGCTGGGATCTCAGAAGCTCACATTGGCACGGATAAGTGGCTTGACATGTGGCATGGTGCTGAGGGCTCAAACAACTACATCTACAGCGATAACAGCAGGGCGCGGGGCACCAAATGTATCGCGGGCTACTGTTATCTGAACAAGCCAATCTGGGTGATGGTGCGCTAGTAAAACCAACCAAGCCAATACACGAGCAGCTGAGCAGGCGAGAAAGAATTAGATCCTTAGATGTTAAAAGGGGATAATAAAGTAGGTTTGAAAAAGCACTGCTGCAGTGTCAATCATTCTAACTAAGTTGTCAAGATTACAATGACCTGAGATTAGTCCAGTTAAAGGGAATTCTCGCATTCTGTACTGACGGCTCATAAAATAAAGCATTTAAAAGTATTGGCGATTTGGGTGTGTGCATTTCCTTTTTTGTTCATTTTTTGTTCTGTTTGTTCGTTTGTTTTATTGGGGGAAACAAACCTTTTCCCCCTTGGGTAAACTAGATGAAATAAACAAGGACTACATTCAGCCTTGGCGATTTGGTTGTGTTGTTTGTTCTTTTCTTAGTTTTTAACAACAAACCCTTTGCGCTATGAGGAGGGAGTAAAATAAGCAAGAACAAGATTTGTTTAACTTAACCCATCCGCTATGCTATAGCCAGTTTCACGAAAAAAAACTCAGAAATACAGCACTGAGATTAAGGTTCCTACAATTTTCGGTACTGTGCTTTTTCTCGCAAAAGAAAGAAGCCATTTTTCATATTTCTTTCCAGTAGACGAAAAACCAGGTTTTCAAACCACCGGACATTATAGCACCCTGTGGTACATACTCGTAAGTTGTAACATATTTATTGCCTACTACTCAGGGTGAAGACGGGCTTGCTTGTGACCTCTAAGTTTTCTCCAACCAAACAACGAAAGGATCGTTAATAAAGTTGGTAGATGCAGGGTCACCAAAGAGGTTTAACTGAATTTCTAATAAGAGGGATTGCGTTCTTCAATATCTTTTAGGATCAAAATAATCGTCGAATGATCCATTTTATTTCACGGATAATATTGGTAGAACCGAACACATTTTGCTCACGAAATGCTTTGTAACCAAAAACCGTATTTGATCATTCTGTGAGAATGCCTCCACGTTTCCTACTTTGGAAAACAGGATTTTTTTTCTGCAATCCCCTTGATGAATGCCTTGCCCTTTTCAAGAACTTCGTGAAAACGCAAGAAATAACCTTTAATTAGTAGGCCTTAATTTCGACCATTTCTACTGTTGTTTTGTTGAGCTGGGCCAGGTTAGCATGCTTGGTATGACTTGTTTTGGCCAATGATGAGTTTTCACAGAGAGAGATAACTAGCAGAGATTGACCTGTTCTTAACTAGGAAATGGATATCAGATTTTTAACAGCTGGCGTTGTTAAACCTTCTAGACATAAAGGCATTTTAAGAGGTTCTAAACGTTAGTCTGTTAACAGACTGGTATCATTATTTTGATCATTCATACAGCATGGAAACAATTCGCAACTTTATCGACAAGAGAAGACAACTGAAGCCGAAATGCGTCCCGCAATTGTTTCTGGGATCGTTAGTTGGGACGCGCTGCTCAGCCATTGGCCAATTTTTCCCCTGGCTCTAGTAACAATCCCAGGAGTCTTTGCGAAAGTTAACCCGACCCAGATTCCTTTTCGTTTCTAAAGTGGCGAATTAAACGAAGTTTTGCAAGGTGCAAATTAAATAATGAAATTCAATGGAAGTATAAGGATTAGCTTTCAGATTTACACAGTAAATAGCCAGATAGGGATCCATGGATGGCTAAGATGATGGTTTCTTAGCCTCCTTGGGTAAATCATGATAATTGAGGACATCTTTGTACTGTGATGGCTGACGGTTTGCTTGGGCTTGGTGCCAATCAGACCAGATATCAGATGCCAGCTCCGCCATGCGTTTTTTGCGCCTCAGTTCCTTGTACTTCATCTCCACCTTATCAGCAATTAAAGCTGCAAGGAAAAACCAGACGGTATTTTTTTCTTTTAATACCATGCCGGGAGAGAATACACTCTGTCCATAGGCCTTTTGCATTAGTTGATCATGTACTCACACAAATCCTTCTAATTTTCGGCAGCCGTTGCAATCACCACTTTTGAGATATGCGACTAAAAATTCACAAGTTACTTATTAAGTTTAATATGCATTTTCAGTTCCTGCTAACACAATTTTCCAAAAGCAAAGTATTTTCGTGTTTACAGAAAGTTGATCACGTGACCAACTATTGCCAAAGACCTATCACAAGACTGAAAAGTTAATGCTTTCAATGGGTCATACTCAACTCCAAAGAGCTACAGCATTTTAGAGCCAACTCTCTCTATGATGGACACCACTGGGGCCGTCTCTACTTTATGAGAGATGTCCGCTCCGTCTTACAGAGACAAGGAAAATGGAAGAACATCGCTGGGGACCCTAGGGTTTTATTTTCGAGAAGTGTCCCCGTTCTTGATAGTCATCGAAAATGACTAAAGAACAGCAGTTAAAAACTCTTATTGTCCGATTTAGGGAAGTTTCCGCCTTAGAGAGAGTGGAAGAAAATGACTGAAGAATGGCAGGGACCAACTCTAGGTGTCCGTCTTATAGAGAGTAAAAGAAAATGACTAAAGAACGGCAGGGGCCAACACTTAGTGTTCGATTCAGTGAGATGTCCGCCTCATAGAGAGTCATAGAAGATGTCTGACGACAGGCAGGGACCAAAGCTGGCTAACCGTTTAAGGGAGCTATCCGAAAGAAGAGATTAATTTTGTATTTTAACACTTTTTGACTGGAACTTCTTTTGCCCCACCAGAAGTTAAACCAAACCTTGATCCACACATGGCATCGACTGAAAGATCAGGAATGAGCCTGGGTTACAATGACGGAAGGCGAGTAGCCTCATCACTGATAAACATGTTTTAGTACAGGTTATAAAATGTGAAAACTAAACTGGGACAGCTTACCTTCTTTACAGTGGGCGACAGTCAAGGTTACACGGCCTAAAATTGAAAATTGGGCAACTTGAGATAAAGTAGAGCAACACCACATCAGCATTTTCTGAACTATTAATTCTTTAGTTCAACGACAATATCGTGTACAACACCGAGATTTGCTTCGATTACTTAGTTCTGTTCGGTGCCCGTAGAAAGAATCTGACATTCAGTCATTCCCCTTCCCGGTTCTTCTCAGAAGCAGATTTGGATGTGCTGGTGACCTACAAGTGTAGGTTAGGCAAGAAGCACAGAGGAGCAAGGAATTCGTTTTACTTCCCGGCCTTCAGGTCAACTTAGCTACAGTATTAAATGGGGACAAAAAGTTCTATTTCGATGTGTGCAACGATCAATAAATGATTAGTATTCATGAGAATCTCGATCTGTTACAATATTAATAACATCATCCTGATAATTCTTTACTATAGGTAAAGAAAAATATGTTGTGCGCTTAGATGTACATGAACATTTAGCCAATCACAAATCAATCAAAAAATGTAATACTTAGCAAACCAATGGAAGCGGTCTTCAAATGGAGAGAAGAGAGACCAATTGTCTGTACACGTTAAAAGTGACCAAAACTATACTGTGAATTTTTTAACCGAATAATTGTAAGCCAACAGAGTTTCCTGGGCCCCAGATGATGTTTAATTTTCAATGACTCACCAGAGACTGATTTTAACAGATTAACTGCTCGCTGATGATCAAGCCCTTCCATACTCTAAGGGAAACAAAATATGCTGTGCATGAATAAACCTTCTACGGATAAAAGCTGCTTTTAGAAGCCATTTTGAAGCCATGTTGATCTTCACTGGAGACTGGGTCAGTGTTGTGTTGATTTTTTACCATAGGGCTCTTTTGGGTAGCCTATGTAGAAGGTACATTGAAGTAATATGGGCGCAAGGAAGAATGGGACATGCAAAGGGGACATGCGAGGGAAGAGTCTCCGTCGCGCGCCTCGGTCATTTTTGCCACCCACCAGGGTTCTATCTAGGATTTACCGTTTACTCCCAATTGGCCGAAGGCCAAAGCTTCCTAGAGGGGTCCGGTGGCATGGCCCCCCGGAAATTTTTATGCGGTGAGATGCAATCTGCTGCATTTTGAGACACAATTTTGAGAAATGTTGCAGTGTACGCACTGACCTCATCGCGTCTGGATGATTTTTCCGATATAGTTACTTATATTCTGTAATGTTAACACTATTTTTTTGGGGGGGGGGGGAAGCTGGGCATTTTGGGGGGGCAAAGCACAACCTGACAATGGCCAGTACCATTGTACGTGACACACTCGTCTGCAAAAAGCCAATAAGATTTACCCTTCAAAAATTCCCTGATGGTACTTGCTTGCCAAATGAATTCGAATTGCTACAATCAAACCATCAGATCTTTGTTGGGACACAGTGAGAGTTAGCCTGCGTAGAAAGCGTTTTCTGTCTTTCATGAAAGTTGGAAGTAGAGAAAAAAAGAGCGAAAACTCTAACTTACTGTAAAGGCTTAATGACAGTTGACTTCCATATTATTTTAAATGACTACAGAGAGGTTTATCAAAGTTTCCAAAAAGCACTGCAAGGAACCAGAATCTTGCAATATGGGCATGGTATTGAGATCTGAAATAAAAATTAGTAGATCCCTCCCATCACAATTTTTCATACAAATTATCACAATTTAGCTAAGCTTACCCTGTCATTCACAGCAAGAATCCTGTCACCAACAGACAATCCCCCGTGCCTGCAAAATCAAACAAAAATTAGCTCTACATTTCTTGTGGTACTAAAGGAAAACAAGTTTCATAATCAAGATATGTTTTTGGTGATTACACAGTAGTCTTCCTCATGTTATCCTGAACATTATAAAGAGATATTACATCTTACTGTGTTTTTTCTCCTTTTTCACTTAACTTGACAAGTGTCAGTACCGGTATTTTTTTCTACATTGTTCTTATTCTTTTGTTTTTTTCTAAATTTAACTCCTTTAGATTAGTTAGATTGATCGATTGTTCGATTTTTGAATCATCTTGTACTTTACTCTATTAGCTTTCTTACCGCCTCTAGATTTTTTGTGTTTTTTTCATGTCACCTTCCAGAAAATGTGATGTCATTGTTGGAACTGCTCAGCTAGTTTAGTTTTTGCTCTTCTGAGTAGTTTTTCAATGATTTAGTTAATAATTATGTTCTGCTCATGTAAACCTTTTTTAATATGGCAAATTAATAATTAGACTACAAGCATTCTCTCTTTTTACTTAATCCATTGGGCCTAATTTCTCACATCTTGATGCTTACATGCACGTGTATTGTCCTCACTAAATTTGCAGAAAAAGGGAGACTACCTGCAGTCTGATAATTAATGGTTGGTTGTTGTACATGGTGGTCACCAAAGGGGCAAAAATGATTACGAAAAGACAAGGTGAAATCTTGTACTTACATGTCTGCCACACCACCAGGTACAATGTGTGATATAAAGATGGGTGTGGTGTAATGGAATACAAGCCACTGTTCAGTTCTCTTCTTTCGTTTCTCACCACCCTTGATGTGAAAACCAAAGCTTTGTTCTTGTCCCTTGAAACCAAAATTATCAGAAATACTTTATATTAGCAAGTCCTTTTAAAGTCAAAGCTGAATAGACAACAGATTTGATGAACCTAACCCCTAAACAATCTTACCTTGTCGAGTTCCACAATTCTCTGTTCAGAGGCTATCAAACCAAGGTCAACATCTGTCTCAACTGTAAATTCATCTTTATCATTCATTGCTAAGTGAAAACTATTGAATTCCTCACCATAATGTGCTATGAGGGCCTTCTGGCACGCCTGAAAGTGAAGGGAACACTGTAATTTAGGAGTGACCCAAACATTTCAAGGGAAAACACTTCACCTTAATGTTTAGCCAAACATAACAAGACATCAAAATGAAATAATTCATCCTTTTAAACAAGACAGTGTCAAATAAAGATAGCTTCTATTAAAACCACTTCTTTATGGAGCCAGAGCAGCTAATGTAAAGGGTTGTCTAATTTATTTACCGTATTTATTTTATTTACTTATTTTATTTATTTAGTCACTCACAAAACCTTATACAACATGAACAAAACTTGTTAAATTTAAGTATAAAATTAATGTGACAAGGAAGCCTAAGGCATCTATGGAAAGTATAAGTAGATTGAAGTACTATAAATGTGTATTCACTTTCTTGTTGAACATGTCAAAGGAAAGAAATCCAGCCGACTAATGTTGACAAATTGCCACTTCTCTTCTTTAATTTCATTCACATGCCTGTAAAATTATGTCATACCTTCTTCTCTGCCAACGTTAAACTGTAAGAGACCTCTAAAAGTGAAACATTAATGCATGTTAAATTTAAAAACTTCACTTTCAGATGGAATATGAGAATAATAATATTAGTTGTCTACAAGTGCAAAGCCAAGTATTCAAGGAGCTACATGTACTGTGTTCAAAACACAATACAAATGAATTCTGCTTACCGGTAACTCTCAAAGCTAACTACATATAAATGACTGTTTCAGCTCCTCTGACCACCTTACACTTCTATCAAAGTCATTTAAAATTTCTTTCTTTCCTTTTTTTCTTTTATCTGTTATTTTATTCCTACGTTACTATATACAGTGTAAATATTATATACAAGTGTGAATAAACTGAACTGAACTGAACCGAAACCAACAGAGAGGAAAACAAAGCATTGCAAATAAAATTTCTATGAATTAGAATTTAAAAAAAGCCTTGACCTAAAAGGGTATGTAACAGAGCCTGCCCAAGAGGTATACACTATAGCTTTGTCTACAAACAGGCCCTTAATCAGGTGGAGACTACACTGTCTTGTACAAAGAGATTCTATAAGAGGGATTTATCAATAGCAGTCACATAGACTAGAAAATGCTCTAATAAAAATGCTATCGCACTTCAACTAGAATTAATGAACAACGAACAACCAAGTGGGGAAATACCTTGGGCAAGGACCTCATTTTCTTGGCCGCGTACAACACTGACACAATAGCTGAATGGATTATCTAAGTGAAGATGTGATTTACTCTTTTTTGAGTAATCAAGCCTGAAAAAGAGAATAATATGATGGACACTTCTCTAAGACACACCTCTGCAGGACCCAGCAGTGGTATTCATCTTACACCTCTTTTCTAGAGACAGTTGCAACTACTGATTCTCTCAAAATATTATATTATGAAATAATTTAACCCCTTTTATTCCTTAATATATTGGCCAAAGAAAAAATTCACAAAACAATTCAAATTCTTATGTATTTAGATTTAGATTTTAAAATCCTAAGAAATAAAAATAATACTATGCAAAAGTTCTGCCCGAGAGGTTTCATCTGAATGGTAACTTTACTAACACCAAAGAATCTTGTCCACAGATTTAATAGTTAGTGTAGAAATAGTGTAGAAATAATCTTGCCATCACTTGGACTTGGCGTGAAAGGGTTAAACAAGAATTGATGAATTTAACTGAATTTTCTTTACACCTTGATTTCCTTCACAAAAAATTATTTGACTTACACAAAGCATGAATTATTGTCAATGACTTACCTTGTTTTAAGAGGGAAGTGACCCACTTTTTCTGCTATTGACTGAAGGATAAACTTTGGGTGTTGCAGCTTCACTACTTCTTCAATCTCATTTCTTGTAAGCTCAGGTATAAGATGTGACTTGACAAATGCATCTGCCTTCTCAGGACTCTGATAACAAAACAAAGGTTGGGTATGATATGAAAAATTATGCAGATTGAGGACAGTGTTAACCACCAGCACTGCAGGCAAAGGCAGATAACGCTCTCATAATTTATATCAAATGCAAGCCAAATTCAAATAATGTTGTTTACAGTACTGTTCATTTAAAATTTTTCTAATGGTGGTTTGCTGATCATTATTCTTCAATCTAAACATAATGAGTAGTCAAAATACACATAGGAATCACTGTTTAAAATTGCACTTCATAAATGAGCAGCACTGACCTCACGAGTATAAACTGCCCCTACAAGAGCAAGAACAGTTTGACGCAGCATTAGATCCTGGGGATGTCTCTGAAACAATATTGTGAGAAGAATTACCTAGGCAGCATGGACTAGATTGCACAAAGACTCATAAAATAATCTTCAGCCATCTCTTCACCCTGTCCCTCCGAGAGATGACCAAGCCTGAGTGCCCATTAGGGGGTGGGGTGAAGAGATGGCTGAAACTTCAGACTTCATAAATTTCTGTTACAAGATTAAAAAGGAGTAATGCAGCATGACAAAATAAAGCCCGGTTCTCATATGCTGTCCAAGTACCTATGACGTACCCGCCAGTACTGCCTGTGATACTATTCCAACATATGAGGAAATAACGCTGCCGGCTTGAGAAAGATTGCAGGTCTTTACTGGGAGCATGCCTGCGAAGTCAAACTTGTGTCAACTTCACAGGCATGCCGGCAGTAAAGACTGACGTGGTCTCTGTTGCTGGCGACTTCTGTTCTCATATCGGAAAGGTATTGCAGGCAGTACTGGCAGCTTTGTTGGAGTTATGTCGCACGTAGCTTGGCTAAGAATTTTAAGACCACAGAATTAAGAATAACCATGTTGCATATTTTATTACAAAAAATATTAACAATGCAATAGTAGTTACTATCACAACAAATTGTAGTTGAAAGTCAAAACAAACTTACTGAGTAAAGGGTTATTGCTTTTATATTCCATTCAAGGGCTTTAGAGAGAACATGATCTTCTAATAATCCTGTCTGCACATCCCTGAAACAATAAGTCAAATAGAGTTCTATTATAAAAGAAGAACATTAGATCAGATTATTTTGATGAATGATATTCTTTGTTTCTCAAGTGAAATACAGAGAGTTTTAGGTGTACCTTTAGTATTTGTTAAATAATAACCATAACATTTTTAACACAATAAGAATCCAAAAATAAGGATCCTAAAGGTAATAAAGTATCCTGAATACAAACTATTCAGAGACAATAATACTCACAATAATTATTACCGTATTTATTCGACTATAAGCCGAGACCCCAAACTTTGAACGCGTAGACTCGGCATAACGAGAACCAAAAATAAATCGAAAACACCCGGCTATAAGCCGAGACCCATTCATTATTACATGACTGAATTGTTAACTACGGAAAAACCTAACATTTTCGGAAAAAAATCACATTGATTGTCATAAATGAGGCTTAGACGATAACAAAAGAGAAAACACACGCGAATTAATAAAGATTACCCGTAACTAACTATTCAATTGAAAAGCAATGAATCATAACTCAGATGAATTAATGTAATCCAAAAAATGAATCTAAAACTAACTGTGTTGTTAAGCCGTATCACCAGTACCTAGACATCCGTAGCGTCTATCAAACAATCTCGTGTTCGCAATCGTCTATTTCAAGTCAAGTTGTCATCATGCCCGGCCCAAGGCTCGTCGCACGTCATACAACCTCGCGCTTAAACTTAAAATAGTCGCCGAAGCAGAAGCTGTTGAAAATAACTCTGAAATCGCCAGAGAATATGGCATCAGTGAGTCCATGGTCCGTCGCTGGAGGAAAGATCAAGCGAACCTTTTTAACGGCGAGATTAAATTGTCAGCGAAACGGAAGACGATGGGATGCTTCACGCCGAAGTATCCGGAGCTCGATCAAAGAATACTGGAATGGTTTACAGAGCAGAGAAGCCAAGGTAAGTTTTTTGTCGAGCATTGATTTTGTATTTTAAAACAACGGAAACAAGATCACGAAATAAATCAATCAGCTGATTGCAGAGTGAATATGAGTTGAATGTGTGACTCTCAAAACTATCGTAGTATCATGTGACAATATTGTGTATGAAAGATTCTCATTGGCCAGTTTTCACAGATGTCAAAACAAATTCAAGACGTGTCAAATTTTTAACCTTTCGATCGTTTGGTAACCTTCTCACTTCGTTTTGCATATGGGAATAGCTGTTAGCGGATTGATGGTACGTCTAAAGGCAAAGGAATTCAGCGAGGATTCTGAGTTTAAAGCGTCCCTCGGCTCGTACCAGAAATGGAAGCGCCGCCATTCCGTCAGCCTTCGCACCAAAACAACACTCGTTCAGCGTCTCCCAGAAGATTTGGAGCAGCAAACAGTCAAGTTCCATTGATTTGTAATCACATCCCGTCAGCGTCACGGTTATTCCCTATCAAGAATCTTTATCTTTTCAGTGAAAACACATTAAATTTAACAAACGGCTCCTTTAGGAGCCACCACATTCTTAAAAGTTAATAACCAACGATTGCATAATTATTGTGTTTCTTTACTTTAGCTCGGCTTGTACGTAAATACTTCTCGATTTAGTAGAGTTTACATGCGCTGAAAAAAATTTTTTTTCAAAAACTTTCGGCTATAAGCCGAGACCCCCTCTAGAGCCCAAATTTTAATTCACTTCAGTTTTAATTTTGTGTAAAAATTGCTCGGCTTATAGTCGAATAAATACGGTAATACAAATAAATTTAACTTTTATGGTTCTTGCATTTGCCATAAAATACACGAACACACTTAATGAATACTGGTAAATTACTTTAAAAAGCTACACTGTACTCCAAAATAGTAAAAACATAACTGAATACCATGCTTCACAATCCCTCAAGGCACCTACCAAATTTCTCTTGCTGAAAGTTCAGGAAAATTGTGGTAGAGGTGCTCTGTAACACACTTTCTCATAACTTGTGCACCTAGGAAAACATCATGAAGATGCTGTCACTAAAATTTCAAGTTGCTAGGTATATGCAAAGTTACTAGGCAAGGAATTGTACAGCAAGGGAGTTCTTTTGATTCTATTTTTCTTTTTTTATGAAAGTAACATGGGGTCACCATAGTTGTCAGAGGCTAGGGAATCCCTATTATGATAAAAAAAGGTCAGGTACTTTTGGCTACCCAAGGCAACAAAAAAACAGTCACTATGCTTGGCTTAACAATAACACAAAACAGTACACAAAGAAAGTGTTTTTTCTTAATTATGTCCTATTTTGCACTACTGCCAAAGTAATCACTGTTTACAGCTATCTTGAGAAAGATTGTCAGAAAAAGTGCACGCGATAATCCAGAAAGGTATTCTGCAGGGTAGTTTTGAGTTCACTGTTCTTCAAAGTTATTTGGAAGAATGTCACAAGAGGCCATGGACAGTTACAGCTACAGTGTCAGGAACAGGGTATTGATCATATCCCATATAACCTTTCGGGATCGCAGCATACACATTTTTCCTGGCAAGCTTCTCAAAATAGCTGTAAACACGTAAGGCAGTATTTTTACATCATATTGAAAGTATAATGGATATAATTTACGGTAAAACTAATGCTGGTTTGATAAGCTAATGATTTAGCTGTAACAGCAGCTCACTAACATTAATAACAGATTCATGTTTTATAACATCTTACCAAAGCAAATGAAAACCAAAGAAAAAATTATCTTGGCTTTATTTCCATGGTGAGAACCCCCATGCTGCATGACCACACCCAATGTTCCCACAGCTAATAAAACAACTTGATTACTGAAAAACATTTCAAGTCTTACCTAAAAATGCCAGCCTTTCATTACTCTCATGAGGCCCAGACAGCTTGTGGACATTTGCCAGAAGGTATGACTCATGAGTAAATGGAGCTAGCAGATGATTTATGTCTTGGATATTTACATTTAGCTGAGTACAGAATTTAACAACATCCTTCCTGAACCCTACAATGAAATAGGAAAAGGAAACAAAGTTCTGTTAGGCTCCGTTACATCAATAATATTATTTTCTTCTCAGTCTTAAAAAGAGAGGCTTACTAAGGTGTGTTATTACTCTGAAATTATAAGAAGAAAAACCTGGGATATTCATTTGATTAGCCTACTACAGACTGGTCAAGTCTCACAACCTATCTCACACTCTTATGAGTTTTTTACATTCTTCAGCCTATCACGACTTGCTGCTGCCACTAGATGTTCAGACTCACTGTTAGAATAAACCTAAATCTCTCATCTCATCTCATCTCAAATTTCTGCATGTCAGCAGTGACAAAGATTGATGGTGTTGTTTACTGCTCTGGCTTTAAAATGATACATGTACATTTAATATGACTTCTTACACTGACAAGTTGTTCCGAACTTTGGGACATCTCAACACTTTTCTCACTTCTCACTATTTTTTCCAGTTCTACATGTACAATATGGGTAAGGCCCGGTTCACACACTGAACTTTTCATGAGCCGAAACCTAATACATTGAATTAACTACATGAAAAGTTCAACATCTGAATCAACTAGGAATGCCTGTTTTAATTATTGGCCTAGCCAGGCCAAAGATTTCTATTTTGGGTAGACTTTGGAAAACGTTTGATTCAGACGTCAAACTTTCCATGTGCTGAACCTAATGCATAAATTGTTATAACGTCTTTTGTAAGCAGTTTGACTGAACTGAGAAATTTCCTCCTTTAAATTTAGTTCAGCTCTAATAAAGATCAGCTTCTGAATCAATTCATCCAGTCTAAATAATTTGGGTTGGCCATAATTTGAATTACATTTGTTTGTAGGTTTGGCTCCTGAAAAGAGTCTGACGCAGGACTAAGGAATCTTAAGATTTTTGCCTCTTGGGGGTTGGCAAGTCTGCTACTATTCCAATTCCAGAATACAACTGTAAGCTTAATGTATTCCAAACATTCTTCTCCGTGGAGCAGAATGCTTGCAAAAAAAAAGCAGAATAATGACATCATTTTCCTTGTATCATGACCAGACCAAGATAACAAAGAAAATGGAAGGTGTTGTCCATGACAATAAATACCATTATAAGACGAAAACAAGGCACACCACAAAAAAGGCTACCATTAGAGCAGAAAAGAAGCTCTGGCATAATTACTCCCTTACTCAAGAAGAGTGAAAAGGTCATTGATTTGTATCACTCAACAAAATCTGTAATGCAAGCCATTTCCCAGTCTACATTAAAAATTAATATATAATAGCTTTAATAATTAAATAATTAATTAATTATTATTGTCCAAAATACCTTCCACACAAGAATTTCCCTTCACTAGAAGTTGACACAAATCAATATGTGACCGTGCACGGGAAAACGTACCTTAACGCTTATCCGTTAAATGCTCTCTAACAGACGGATAGCTAACGGATTGTTAACGGCCTTCACAGCATTCTAACGTTTTGTCCTAATGTTCTAACGGTTATCTAGTTGTGCCTAACGGATGATCAAAACGTTCTAACGCTTTCTCCTAACGGTCTAACGGCTAACTAAGTATGTCTAACGGATGAAGAAAACGTTCTAACGGTTACGCAGTTTGTTCTAACGGATGACTGTTTAATGGTTCGAGTCCTTTATTATTGTGTGAGAAGCAAACCTAACATCACTAAACCTGTGTGTAAACAATTTTAATCGCCAGTCGTGGTGAACATTTTTTATTGTTTTACTCAAATGGATTTGTCGCTTGTACTTATTTTATTTTTTACACCATGACTCTGTCAAGAGTTTTTCTAAAGTAACTGTTTTACCCGGGCCAGCCGTGGATTCGCGAAAGATTACGCTTTCTATCTTGAGCGAGGATGCGAAAAGCGCTGCCTTTTGAAGTCACGAAGTCAGTCTCGAAGCGACAAAGTGTTGGCGCTGGTTTCACCAGATAAAGTTGTTTTCGTCACATGCATGTAATTTAAAATTAGTTTCGTCTGATTCAGAGTTAGACAAAAGTCTATCAAAATATTCATCAACCTTTCCGCGGAATATGGCAGTTTCTCACATCTTGGAAAATGTAAACAACTTTATGCAAATTTTTGAACCCCCACTTTGTGAATTGAAACCAAATAATATTATTCTACTTAAGTTCGAACGACAAAGACCACTTAATTATTTTAATGATTGCAAATAGCGATTAAGGTATCATCCACCCTCAACCACCCTCCTTGCGTTGATCGGCGCTAGGGCTTTTGCTTTTAATAAATACCCCCATAAACTGTACATTTTCTTAAAGCTTAATAGTTCCAGATTATTGCTAATTCCTTTTAAAAAATCAAAATATTAACGGGTTTCGGAAATGAGAAGCTTTTTGTGAGAGTGGGTGTCACTGTAAATTTAAGTCCAGGCCAGCCAAAAATAAACGGAAGAAGCCAATTAAGATCTCATTCGCTTCTTAACACGTTTGACTAAAAAACCGTGTCTCAGATTTTTGTCAAGTGGGTTTGTTCTTTTGTTATAAGAAGGTGAAGTCAGGGATAGCAAATCATTAGCACTACCTGTGAAAAAAATACTCTTACTCGAAAACGAAAAGAGAAATCAAAATTTGCAGACACGTTTTTTTAGAAAAACTATCTGACAGTAAGTTGGCCAAATTTTAGCCAAATTTGTTCACGGGTTGCCAACTTGGAGTTTAAAATGTACCCTCAACTTGCCCTGATTTTCATTTCGAGAAAACAGGGGAAAAAGATTTTTGGCGGCGTATTACCCGTGATGAGATTATAACAGATTATAACACCAAAGCTGTCAATGTTGATGCGTACCAGAAAAGGGACAACAATAGTGACATAGTAGGAAGACGATACAAACGAAACTTGACAACAATTTATTTCAAAGGCCCTGCTCTGTTCGATCCTTCTGTTGTCCAGAAAGCATTTTAGTTATTTGCGACGGGCAGTTTTCATCTTGAGCCAAGCCAACTTTTACTTGATACATTTTCTAAAAGTTCGACACTTCCCTGGAAAAATTGACAACAAACCGCTTCCTGGAGTTTTTCTTGAAGCTGCTCTCCTGCTACATGTACAGGAGACTTTCAAAAAACTCCTTTGTCCAATTTTTTTTGTGGCGCGGGACCAGTCGTGAATTTGTCGCCCGCTTGGCCGCTTTGCAGCCTAAAAAGCTGGCTCCGCTCGCTAAGAAACTCGTGAAACTCAATTTCACGGTAGTTTCAATGGGTTTTTCAGAAGCTTTGTCATCTTTTAGCCATTTTTCTTGATTGTAGTAGAAGCCCTTGTCCGCTAATTTCGAAGCCCACACTTTCCAAAACGATTTTGTCGTCTTCTTTCGTCTGGGAGTCGAGGACGAAAACGGACAAGCTCTTTTTTTCTTCTTTGGAGGCATTCACTTCCAAAATCCAGGGAAGAACAGTGAGCACTATTGTAGACTACGATTTCTGTCAAATTGCATGATTAGCTTGGTTCAACAGCGGCATGCGTATCAAGTATGACAGGACTTGTCAACGATCAATTAAATTAATTAGCATAGAAAAAACTTTTGCGCTCCATAGGTCTGCACAGAAAAAAATTTTTTCCTGGAATTTTTTTTAAAAGAAAGCTCTTGATGAGCTCTACTTAATCATCTAAAAATTGAAAATTTCGAAAAATGATTATTTTTTACCCGGATGATACCTTAAAGGGAACGGAAGAAGGTTATTTAACGGATACTAGTTTATTCTAACGGATCCTAACGGCTTCTCTAGCCGTGCTGACGGATGCAGAGTTTTTGCTAACGGTTATGCTGACCCGTCTAACGGTCTGATGCTAACGGCTAACGGATATCTGTCTCTTGCTAACGGTTACACTGTCCGTTCTAACGGCCTCATGCTAACGTCTAACGGCTGGGCTAACACCTCTAACGTTCTGAAGAAAACTTTCTAACAGATGACTAACGGATGCTTAACACTTTTGCTTGTCTAACGGATAAGCGTTAAGGTACGTTTTCCTGTGCACGGTCACATATTCACTCTCTGGTACCCTGGGCTTACTGTCACTCCATAGTTTTCATTCGCCTAAATGTACCTTAAACAAAGTAACTGAGGGCAATCACAACTTTACATTTTTTCCCATAAAATTACATACCTGGGTTATCCAAAATAGCTGAATTAAGATTCTACAAGAATGAAAAAATAATTGTTGTGATTGCAGCAAAGAAAAGTTAAATTGTGTAAGGGTTGTAGGTAAAATCCATTATCAGGTTAACCAGTCCAGTATTCAGTCTAATGTGATTTATAATGTCCTTTGTTTCTTGGCCCTGATTATTTACAGAAGACAAAGGAAAGAACCTTGGAGGATTTGTGCTGTTCTTAATAGGGCAGTCTTTTGAATCTGAGCCACACGAAGATTCACCCCTATGCTTTCAAGATGGCCAACTAATCCTTTTAGGATTATCCCAAGTGCCCCAACAATAAAAGGCAGAACTCTTGTTTTGATGAATCAAGGAAGATTTTCGTTGCACATGCAATACATATTGCTTGGATTCAGTTTTGAACCCAGGCTTATTAGCAGCACATTTGAGACAGAGGGGTCAGGTATAAGTTTGACAAGAGAAAATAAGTTTGACTAGCCCAGAAATTAGGGCTACGGTCACTTCAAAGGCTTGACACAATTCAAGTGGAGCCTCCTTTTCACCTCCTTGATCAAGAAGACAAAAGGAGGCTCTGCTCCCAGAGTGACCTCAAGGTGACCTGACCTTAAACCCCGGGTGGGGGGGGGGAGGGGTACTCCCTATGAAGGTCTATACGGGAAGGTTCCACCTGAAAGGTCTGCAAGCTTCAGTTATATGAGAGGGTAGGCACTTATTTTCTTGTACATATTGTAAAACGCTTTAGAATATTTTAATAGTTAAAGCGCTATATTAAATGTAATAAATTATTATAGGGATTTCACTGGTTGAAGTATACAAAAGGGTAGGGAAATCTGTCACTTGGGTCTGTGACAGGGACCACAAGGGCTAACAGATGAATTTTATGGCTTTATAAAGTCAAAAAAATGTTGCATTTTTGTGATTGATTCTTATTTAACGGACAGTGCATTTACAGCAGTTAAAAGGGATGTAAAAATGTAAACAAGGTATGTGAGAGGGGATCATTTGTCCATAGAAGGTATTCGAAAGGGGTACCTTTTCCATGAAAAATGGTTTATAAAAGGGTGAGGGGTGGGACATAAAGATTTGTTGAGTACCCCCCGGACCCTAAACCGGCAAGCCACAGAGCCACTAGTACGATAAGCTTGTTCTATTTCAGTGGAGAAGTGCAAAGTCAAATACCAAATAAAAATTCTAAAAAAAATTGCCCTTCATTAAGTAACTATCCCTACCACTAAAACTACATGTACGTACCGGATATTGATTTTCCTTCGTTGAGAACCCCGCCATTTGTGTTTTAGTGAGCGCCAAAATCTTCTGTCTTTGAGTTTGATTGCTTTGAAGGCGTTCATTCCCGCATACAGCACAAGCTGAAATTGGCCGTGAAGTACATGCAACCAATTCACTTGAAAGTTTACTTAGAATAGATGTCCTGAAAAGAGGGATAATAGTTCTTGTTTGTAGCACTGTACGGCTCATTTTAAAAAAATATCCTTCTTCCTTGTTGAACTTAGATGTTATGTAAGCTCGTTACTCTTACGACTGCTTCAATGTAACCAAGGAAAAAGTTTCCTTTAGACACCACTCCGATAAAAGCCAAGTGCTTATAACTGTATACAACCACTGAAAACTTAAAAAATCTGTGAAAATCAGAAAGAACTTGGTAAAAAGTAAGGTCTAGTTACATAAACCTCGACACTAGCTGCCGCCATCTTGAAAATTTGCCAAACGACAGGTACACGTGACTCGAGGGTTAGCGTCTAGTCCTCTTTCAACTGCTGAAGATGCGCCGGATAAACGCGGGGTGCACAGCAAGAAAAGAAAAACAAGATGCGAGGACGATGGAGCCAGCAAACGAACGAAAAGAGAATGTTCTTCTGTTTGTTCCCAACTTAATAGGTAAGACATTTTCTTCCTTCTCACTGTTTCTTTTACAGGCAAATGCATTTTCATATAACGTCTGCTGATGTATATTTAGACAGTAGTGCTGTTAGCTCTCGTCAAAAACCTTCGCTTCGTTATGTACGGTTTTCAGTCGTTTTCGGCTCCTTCAGTGGACCTTTTAATATAGGTTTTGTTTTCCCAGTACAGGTTATGTCATACTAATCTAGAGAACTGTTTATTTTCGCTCCATTACACGTCCTTATGTACATGACTGTACACATCATTTTGGAAAAGACAGAGAGGAAATTCCCTTGAAAACAAGTCCTGCCACTGAAACTACATATACCTGCAAGCTATTGATTGAAAAATACCTTGGCCAAGTTGAAACCTTTTTTACCTCTTTTAAGACAAGCCTTTTTATGTCACCCTGATTCATTTCCCATGTTGGACAGTACGTACCCACTTAGGCCTAAGGAATGCCAGCCCCTCCCCCACCCCCCTCACTATAGTTGCATAGCCATTGCATAAGGTCATTACATAAGGTCTTATTTTTAAGTGTTTGCCTTGTACTACCAATAGTGTGTTTACCTCAAATAAGTGCCCAAACAAATAGTTAAAGTTTTGTCCAAAATTAACAGTACTATTTACTGCTCATAAGGTGGCTCCTCATTGGTCGCAGAAAACAATAACACAACATTGTTTATCGTTATTTCCATGGTTTTATGGTAAGAGTAGCAAACCAGTTGGCTTTTAGGGTTAGGATAGCTGCTCCATCTAAAATTAGGGGCACTTATGCAAAGGAGTGGGGCTTTCATCAAGGTTTTTGTCAGCAAACCTAAGATTCAAAAGTACATGAATATCAGAGAAAAGTATAGGCACGCGTACACAGAGGTTGGGTTGTCACTAAGAATTTAAGTTACCAGGTAAGTACAACAAGTAGGCTGGGAATTGAACAGCTAGGGGTTTCTTTTGGTTCTATTTTTCTTCTGTTTTCCTTTGAAAGTGGCTGGGGGCCACGTTCAAGGTAGCCGGGGGAAATCCCTGGCCCCACCTCTTAATGATACTCCTGAGAGGTACAGATAACTGGAATTGACTAAACTGTTCTTCTTCGTCATGTAAATTGATGCTGATGTAATCAAAGCTGAAAAAATGATAAACATGACAAAGGAAAGAAAACTTTTTTAAGAAACTTTTTTCACCTAAGAAATTGAGGGAAGGGCAGTGGTGGTCATTCAAGAGGGGCTTTTATTTGCTGTTATAGGGCACAGCAAAAACATCACTTTGCGTACATGTAATGTTAATTTGTTATTAATAATAGGCGATGTGGCTCCTGGATTTGAACCAAGGATCATGTACAAAATTGTATCCCAAAACTGCTCTAGAAGCTTCACCAAAGTTTAAATTCGTTGTGATTATCTTTAAAACATTTGCAACCTAATTTAAATATGTATATTCGTTGACTAGAGTACATTTATTATCATTAATAATGGTTAAATTTTTGCCATAGGCTATGTTCGTCTGATCCTTTTAGTAGCTTCTTGGATATTTTTCTCCAATCCAGTTCTGTTTCTGTCTTTCTATACAGCTTCAGTTTTATTAGATGGTGAGTGTTTCTTTAGAGGTCAATGTTATGTTTGGTTATTTGTTATGATTTACGGTGAAATAGCAAGGGAATTCTTCTGAGCACCCCAAAGCGTTTCACAAAAGTTACCGGGATCGATCCTTCATGGCGGCAGCACCACAGCTTTGCAACAGTCTTTCTGTAAGCATTAGATCTGCTTGCACCAAAAGTGATTTTAAACAGAAACTTAAAACATTTTTATTCAGCAAGGCATTTTGTTAGTACAATTATTTTATATTTAGATTTTTATATTAGTTTTTCTGCAAATTACTTTTCTTATAACCAATTGTAAATAGTGTAGTTTTCGTCTTTGATTCCAAAGTGACTGTAAATAGGTTCTTATTTTGTATTTATTGTAATGTTTGTAATACGCATTTGATTATTTTTATAGAAAATGTGCAATGTAAATATTAAATATTACCATTATTATTTATTATTTGTGGATGGTAATGGAGCAACCTGTATGGGCATTGCCTGTCATTCTAAATTTTGCAAGCAATAAGCTGTACAGAGCTTGATTAGTGCTGGGGATCATGTATCAAATGACGTCAAAACATAAAGTCATTTTATTAGCATACAATCTTGGACAAAAAGCGTTAAGAATTTTGCTTTTTCACACCCTCAGAATGCCTATCCCTCAGATTTGATTACCACTATGACCCCTACCCCACTCCGCTCAATTTTGTTCAGTCATAGGCAGAAAGGATCCAGCCGGATTTCAACTTTGTTTTTTCGGAGGGAAAGGCCAGGGAAATATCTCGAAGGTAGAGGTGGTCACATCCATTTTCCTTAGTATTAATTTTATTGGCCAAGACTGTAACCTGTATTTGCACTCAAGTCCTCAGCTCATCAATTATTAACAGGCTGAGGAATCAGAGAAAAATTTAAGCTTCTTTTCTTTGTAAGTTATCATGATCACTGCTTTGCTCCCTATGACAAGCTGTGATTTGTCTTTCAGTACAGCCTTGATTTTGAGCAAGATAAACTTGTACAGAATTACTGTGTATATATAAATGTGTATAAATTATATATATACACATGGACACACAGATTTCACCAGGAACTAACCCATCCATGGAACATGTTTTGTTTTCTTCAGGTATTGATGGAATTGTAGCTCGTCAGTTGAATCAGACCTCAGCATTTGGTGCTTGGGTATGAAACTCTTGAGTATTACAGAAAGCATATTCACAAATAAAATAATATGGCCAAAATTATTTTGGCGGTATGTACAGTTGAACCTTGATTTAACAAACCTCTATACAACAAAGTCCTGGGTAAAAGGAACAACTTTTTTTAATCCAGAAATAGTAAAATATATGAAAAAGAAACTCGATATACAACCAAACCTCAGTATAGTGAACAAATGTACAAATTTCCCAGTGTCTTAGGCCTTCAATATTTTGAGGTTCCACTGTATATGTTTATATGTCTTTGTTTTTTTTATGTTCTGGGTATACAGTTAATGAAAACAGAGCAGTAGGGTTCTCCTCTTTATCCTTTCCCTTCTACAGTGGAACCTCAATTTAAAAAACCCCTATGCAGCCTTGATATAAATCCTTGGTATAGTAAACATTATTTGTCATTCAAAATATTTCTCTGTTTCTGTTTGTCTCAAATCCCTTGGAAAATTCTTCATAACCAGTTTGTGGTGACCCCATTTGTAAGAGGTATGCAATATCTTGTATTAGTATTTACCAAATCAGTGAATAGTGATTTTCGCACATTTTGATTGGCTCCCGTGACTCAGAATATCCTTGGCTATTCACTGTTTTGCGACCGGTGCCAAGATGGCTTCTCACTTCAAGGCATTTTTGGAAGACGAAATTTGAGCAATAAATGAAGCAGTTATATAAACAAATTCAGGGGTTTGCTAATATTTCTTGTGAAAATTAGGGCTTTTGTCATTTAAACCTCAGTGGGATTACCAAATTTGAATATGAAGGAAAAAATGAAACAAATTCTGGTCTTAGTAGTAAAAAGACCTCATCGTACAAATGGTGTATTCTAATGTTTGTTTGTTTTCCAAGTTAGATGTCTTGTGTGACAATATTGGCCGTGGAATGCTATGGACCTTACTTTATCAGGTATGAATGAAGAAATTTTTTAGGTTAAAGAAGAAGTAAAAAAGCTGAACTCAGACTTAAGATGGTCTATTATTTTGTAGGTTGCGTGAATACTGTGAGCCTAACCTTTTTTTGTTTTGAAGCCTACCTACATCATACCCCAGCTGTCTTTATTAAAGTAATGGTACATTCATACTGTATGGTTCTTCCTCGGCTACTTTGGATTTTTAGGTTAAGTTGTGAAATGGAAATGCATAGGACAGCCTTTTTGCAATTAGGTTTCAATTCAGCTTTCTTACAGGCTAATAGTCAAACGTAATGGAGATGAGGATGATGATGATGATGTTGATGACGGTGATGATGATGATTGATGATGTTGATGACTGTGATAATGATGATGATGATGATGATGACGCTGATGATAGAAGTTGTCTTGATGGTGACAACAGTGGTAGTGAAATTAGTGTTGGTAGTGGGAAGCTAGTGATGCTGATGATAATGTTGCAGGTTATGCTGGTAGCGTTGTGGTGATAATGGTTGATGATGGTACCCTTCATTTTTGTTGGCATTATTGTTTAAGCTCATCACCTAAGAAAGAAAGCAAAGATCACTCTTTTTAAGGGAATGTAAGTGAAAATAGAAAATATTATTGGGTATCCTTGAAGAAATCGTCCTGAAATCAAGGTTTTTTGAGATCTGTCCAGGATTGTAAGTTAAAGAGACTTATGCTCCTTATGGCAGACATCACATCAGTGTCCATTAGCCCTAATCCTCACCTAAATGCAAGCAATTCTACTTACATGAAGTCATATGGAAATTAGAATTTGTGTTTATTACAAAGGACCCAAGTTCAGACTTTTTTGCATTTCTGGACATAAGTGTTGGTTTGATAGGGAGATTTAAAATAATTTCTGTTGTTTCTGTCAAGTAAAGCATAATCATGGCAATCTTGTTTTATCTCATTTATTTTTGTTACTGCATGACAGTGGGGCTACTTTATCAGTGCAGTAGAGTGGCTGGTATTTGTATGCACTCATACACTTGGAGCACAGTGGAAAAGCACCAAGGCTAGTCCTCCCTCATGGGTGCAAACTGTCATGGCTAATGGTAAGTAAAAGGTATATTATTATAATGGCTAATTTTTAAGCATTGATA